ATGCAGGTACAGTAGCTTGAACTCAGCAACCCGGCATGCTCTCAGCTTGCTTGATTACAGCTGGCACTCTACCACTTGAACCATGCCTGCGGGACAGCATTTTACTGGTGAGTTGGACATGGAGTCTGGCGGACTTTACTGCCGAGGTTGGCTTTGAACGTCAGTCCTGATGTCAGCCTCCTGATTGTAGGCATGTGTCATTAACACCTGGTTGGCCTTGAACTCTCAGACTTTCCTTGATGGCTTGACCTCTGTGAGTGCTGGTAGTACAAGTAGGTGCCACTATACCTGGCTTTAAAAGAAAAAGCTGGGGTCTTGCTGTGCTGCCTCAACTGCTCTTGAAATCCTGTGATGAGCTATCTTCCTGTCTCCAGCCTTTTTCTGTATAGCAGGGACACCTGGGCACACCACCACACCTGGGTCTCCACTTTAGAAATCACGGTAAAACAACTAACATGAAACTTAAACCGTTTAATCATTTTCATGTTTGTACATGGGTGGCGCTAATTTATTGTGTCACACCATTATCACCATCTAGGTTTAGAAGTTTTCATTTAGTCACAGAAGGACAATCTTGAATCCATTAAGCACGTACTTTCTCAACTACATGTCTGATTTGTCCCTGGGTTTTCCAGTTCTCTCCATTTGAAAGATGTTTTTGTTAGGTATAGAATTCTAGATGGGTAGGTTTTTCTTTCTTTGAATTTGGTGCTGTAATTTACTTTTTTTTTTTTTTTTTAAATTTAACTCAGGGCCTGGGTGCTCTTCCTCAGTTCTTTGTGCTCAAGGCCAGTGTTCTACCACTTGAGCCACAATGCCAATTCCGGTTTTCTGGTGGTTTATTGCTGAGGCTGGCTTTGAACTGTGATCCTCAGATCTCAGCCTCCTGAGTAGCTAGGATGACAGGCATGAGCCTCCAGTGCCTGCCTAGACTTTTATCTTGTTTGCATTGGTTCTATTAAGAAACTGGATGAAGGGCCCAGCTAGTCCGTAATAATAATATTATTGTTTATCTGTCTGGTTTGGAATGAGTGTAAAGCTTGATAGAATGAGCTTCGTGGTATTGCTTCCCTTTCTTTCAGTTCTGGCTCACACGACTCATTTTCTCCCTGCAGCTGATTTCGGGCTGTCTCCCTTTGACAACTTGTGTAGTACCATGTTCTCCTTCTACTTTAAGTTACTTAATGAGTACTTTGTCTGGAAACTCATATCCTCTTTTTCTCCACTTTTCTTGAATTATGTTTCTCTTGGTTGCTACTCTTTTCAATTGTCTCTATTTTTCTATTCCACAGATGATTTTAACCACATCCTTTGATCCTTACGTTCTTTTGTTACTGGGGCTTGAACTCAGGGCCTCACACTTGCTTGACTTGTTCACAGCTGGCACTCTGCCACCTGAGCCACGCAAATGTGCAGTAGTGTCACAGCCTCATGGCACGGTGCGTGCTTCCTGTGAGGATGGTTAGGGCTCAGTCGCCCACGTTGGCTGTGCAGTGTTCTGTGGAGGAGCTTCACTAGTTGGTGGCTGGACTGTGCGCATTATTGCAGGCATGTATGTCATTTGGTAAGTGTATGTATGTATTCCGGTTGGGTTTACACCCAGGAGCATTTCCAGTGCAGGAGATAAGAGTATTTGGTGCTAGTGTTTTCTAAACACAGTTGTAGCTACATTGCCACTGACAGGTTTCTTTTGAACTCAGGTTCTTGCACTTTTGCTCAGCTGTCTTCACTCACAGCTGGTGCTCTACCACTTGATATACATTTTATAATCTTTTTGATGATTCATTTGGGGATGGAGTCTCAGACTTTGCCATGTGGGCTGGCTTTGTACGTCAATCCTATCTCAGTCTCCCGAATAGCTGGGATTATAGGTGAGCCACCAGTGCCCAGATTCATAACAATTTTGAGTTCTGATTGTTCCAGTCTTCCCTGACTGTCTTTATCTTTTTAACCCTTTTGGTAGTGCAGTATGTGCTATTATTTTGCTGGTTCTGGGGTTTAACTCAGGGCGTGGATGCTATCCCTGAGCCTCTTCGTGCTCAAGGCTAGCGCTCTACCACGTTGAGTCACATCTCCACTTCTGGTTTTCTGGTGGCTAATTAGAGATAAGAGTGTCAGGGGCTTTCCTGCCGGGGCTGGCTCTGAACCATGATCCTCAGATCTCAGCCTCCTGAGTAGCTAGGATTACAGGCGTGAGCCACTGGCACCTGGTTTGGATGGCATACTTTTAAGGTGTACTCATTTTTTTCAAGAGACAACCTAAGAAGATAGCCTTGGAGTTGGAGAATAGAGGAATGCTTTCTGTACTTAGCCAGGAGGAGCACAGGTCGCAACCCCCAGCATTTAAATCTAAACAAAGGTCTTCTCTTTGCTAGGAGGGGCTGTGCCCATCCACTTCCAGCACCCTGGGCAACACACAGGATGAGGAAGGGAAGATGCGTGCCCCGTGCTCTCCTAATGAACACACAGTGGAGAGCCTTGCTCTGAAAGTGCATTCATGAGGGAGGGGAAAAGAGGTGGTATGAGTGAGGATTCTCACGATAAATGAGAACCAACTGGGTTTGACCCGTTTTCAAAAGCTCCGTGTCATGAGACTATGGAGGGATCTCATCAAGGAAAGGGTAAAATTTGGGGGTGGGTGGATACAGCATGGCCCTTCGTATTCTAGAATAAAGACCTGCGGGTCATTGCCAAAAAAAAAAAAAAAAATGAGAACCAAGTTAGGTTCTCAGGCACAGATGCTAGAGGCTATGTGGGGAGGGGATGCAGGGGTGGATACACACACACACATGCACATAAACACACACACACACACACACACACACACGGGGGTGGGGAGGGAGAGTGAGCCCTGCCAGCTTCTTACCTCTTCATGCGTCGCTGTGGCACAAAGTTGTGAGCTGTACTACGCGCTCCTGCAAGCCCGTGCTGGGAACAGCCAGATTCCTGCTGTGGAAACCCTCCCCGGGCAGGGGAGCACAGAATGGGTGGCAGGACGTGCAGGCCCGGCCCGGCCCTGACCTTGGCTCTGGCTCCTTCAGCTGTGTCCCCATGGGCAAGGGGGGCAGGTCAGAAGCCTGGTGGAGTAAAAATCACGGACTGCACAGACCATCGTCATTAGAAACACTTTAATTCCCAGCCACTTGGCGGCGCTCAAGGACCAGAGCCGTCCAAGCAACTCCAAGCTTTGAACTTGCTCAGCAAGAGTAGATGATCGCACACTTAGGGTAAATCAGAATTAGATGAAGGTTATTTATTGGTGTGACTTTTTTTTTTTCCTGTAGTGAGCTTCCTTTACACAGCATAGTGTAAATCGCATCGGATTGAATGAAAAGTCTGTTAAATGCAACCATAAATAATTATAATAAATATACATCAAGTAACTTTACAGCACACGTAGTTTAGGGCCGCGGTTTGGATCTGTCTGGACCTCAGTGTGCTCTGGGAAAAGCAGCTGCGTTAGCAGCGCTTTCCCATTCACGGCTCTTGTCTTCTGACCAAGTGATGGGCCGACAGAAGCTTCCAGAACCCCTCTCAGAGAGGCAGCTGACAGACTCCAAGTCCCTTCAAGGGATGTGGATTGGAGGGAACCAAGAACGTAGATACGGGGAAGAAACCACCTGTGATAATTCAAAGGCTCTTTCATTACGCAGAAGTGAAGTGAGAGGATCCTTGTGGGAGCGCATCCCGAGGTGCCCCGCGCCTCCATCCAGGGGCGGGGGCGGGGGCGCCAGCCATCTTCTTTCAGAGCAGCGGACTTGCGGTGGACACTCATCTGGGGTGACTCTTGCCCAGTGTGGCTGTGGCATCACCAGGGACTAGGCTGATCTTGTCCTCAGGCTTGGGGGAGGGTCTTTCCTAAGCACAGGAGGGGGGAGCCACTGCTGCTCCGGCCGCCGGGAAGGGGATGCGGTCCTCCGGTGCACAGGGCAGGCCCTCCTGGGCGATGTCAGGCAGCGTCAGTCTCCGTGGGAGCTGACAAAGCCAAGTGACAGCCTCCAAGGACGTCTGGGCCGCTCTTGCACAAAGTACCACTGGGCAGAAACTTACTTGGGGCGCCAATGCACTGGGTGTTGGGTGCACCCGCGGGCAGCTCAGCCCTGGCATGCGCACACTTACTCAGAGCAGGAGGAATGTTGGGTGGGTGGCCGGGGTGGGGTGGCAGAGGGACCCTCTGGAGTCTCCATCTGGACCTGCAGGTCTGAGTCGTTGACGTAGACCCTGGGTTGAGCAGAGCACCTCAGTCTTGAAAGTGGGCCCGGAGCCCTTTTCTGTTCCTCGTAGGGAAGCGCCATCTCTGCGCGCAGCAGCAGAGGACGCCCGAGTCTGTGCTTTCCTGATCAGTTTTGGGAAAGGCCCACCTTGAGCACTGTCCAGCTCCGGATGTCCTGTCCATGCTGGGCCGGGACACCCCAGCCTGCCCCTCCGAACGGAGGCCTGGAGTGGCCCCTGGGTCTCCGCTCCCTGGACGCCTCGGGGAACGCAGCCAAGAGGCCTGGAAGCGTGGAGGCAGATGGGGCTGCGTGGTGGGGCAGGGGCCACTGTGGGCTTTTCCTCCGGAAAACCAAGGCCAGGAACAAATTGTAAAGCAGGAAGATGAACATCCAGCTCCCAGTCTGTCTCCTGCCTGTTTGGACAACAGCCCAACCATTTCAAGATGGAAGGAGGCTCACGGGAGCTGCTTGGGAGACTGGCTCTCCAGGAGGGAGGACAGGCCACTGGCTGCCGTCATCCCAGCTGCCGCCTGTGGGGGCTCTGTGGCGAGCAACCAGCGGACACCTCAGGGCATCAGAACCTGGTAGCCACGAGGGACAATGTCCAGGAAGATCAAATTAGACACAAACTGTCCAGGAACTAAACTATCATACACATACACCACAACAGGCAGCAAAAGGACCGACCCACCCACCACGAAATGGACAAGGACAAAGGCGAAGTCTCCTGAGAGACCCTGAACACAGACCAAAGTTCAGAAAAGCAAAATGTCGCCAACTCCTTGCGCAGGGCCCTGGAGGGGCGCGCCTGCAGCGCAGGCTCCCCAAGCCGGCACAGCGGTGCCACGGTGAAGGCCAGCTTTGGCGCTTTCTTCCGTCAGCCACTTAGGGGGTCTTCCCGGTAGTGAATGGCGCAGCGCAGCTTCTCCAGCATGATCTCCGGGGAGGAGTACTGGGGAAGCTTGATCATGAACATACACGTCTCCACACGGATGTAGCGGGAGTCGGGGGACCCTGCAGGCGACATTGGGGTGCACGTCAGAGCTGAGGCCCGTGGCAGGGTCCGGGGAGCCTGCCTGGCCTCTGCCTTTGTCTCCTGGGCATTCCCGGGCCTGCCTCAGCTTGAGAACCTGGCTGGCTGTGAAGAGGCTTCGTTCAGCCAGTGTTATCCCCATCCCTGGGCAACTGGGAGCCAGGCAAGAGGTAGGGGGACGGGATGTTCTCCCTCATGTGGGGCCTGCGGGTCCCCGTTAGGAACAGGAGCTGGGGTGGGCAGACCTGCTGTGCCATCCGGAGGGGCGATCTTCATGGGGTATGGGGGCACATGGGCCGTGTCGGGGCCTCCATCCTTGCAGGGACAGGTGAACGGGATGCGCTCCTGGTTGCAGGCAAACTTGATGAACTTGCACAGCTCCTCTTGTGTGAAGGTCTCCAGAGCCCCCCAGAAGAACTCGATGTGCTGGTCTGTCTCCATCAAGCCCACCTGGTACATGGTGTGCGCCTGGGGGCGCGTGAGGAGAGCGGAGTGAGCAGGTCCTGCTGCCCCCAGAGTCCCCTAGCCCCGGCTCCGCAGGCTGCATGGGGGCCGCAGTGGGGTGCGGCTGGCCCAGCCACCTACCTTCAGGAACTCGAGGTTGATGTAGGGGAGGCCGCAGGTGCGCAGCTCCATCTCCAGGGGGCTGAGCGTGGTGAGCAGCTGCAGCGGGATGATGGAGCCCAGGCCGGCCCGCACGGCTGTGACGCACTCCACGTTGTGCAGCTCTCGAAGCCGCAGGCTCCGGATGGCCGCCGCATAAATATCCTTGTTCTCCCACCTGGCAAGGGGTGGGGTGAACCGAAGAGGCTGATGAGATTGCTCCTGGACCTGGGGTCACTGCCCCCCCCACCCCCGGTCCCCCCAGGCAAGGTCCTGGCTGCTGCTCGCTCTGCTGGCTTCTGTCCGGGCACCAGGCTCTCCTGGCTCTGCCATTTCTCTCTACCCCTGGCGTCCCCTCCCTCAGAGCTGCTGTTCCCTTGCAAAAGGCCTAAGCTCAAAACTGTCTTGCTGCCCTGGTGGCATCTGCCTGGCCCCTGCCCACTCCACCAGTGCCCTGGCCGGCCCTCCCGGCGCGCGCACTCACGCCACGGGGATGTGCCGCCCATGGCTGCACAGTTCCACCTCCTCGCCTGTCATGGTCAGGTAGGTGAACCTGCAGCAGGGCTTGCCCGGCCCTTCGGGGCTCTCGGTGGCCAGGTGCTGGGACGCGATCTCGGCACACAGCGCCTCCAGCTCCGTCTCGTCGTTGATCTGTGGGGAGAGGCACGGTGAGGTGAGGCTGGCCAAGGCCTCTGGAAGATATAACTCTGATCGGCAGCTGGACAGATGTCAGCAGGCGGGACATTTCTCTCCTTGGCATATAGATAGGCCCAGGCCTATCCACAATCATGTGGCCTAAAACCTAGGGCCGTGCCAATTACTGTCTGGAAGTAAGCACCCAAAGAATAGTGGGCCTGCTACTACCATCTTTGCCGGCATGCTGCATGACATTGTCTGAGAGTGCTCAGTGGAGACAGGATCTTACTATGTAGCTCAGGTTGGCCTCAAGCTCACAATCCTCCTGCCTCAGCCTCTAGTGCTTAGATGCCATGCCTGACTTTGGAGACTCAGTATACTCCATGTCCCTCAGCCTCCTTCATTTCCTTCCGCCAGAGCTTTTGTTGTCTGCCCCAGATATTGGCTTGCAGCTCTGCCTGCCACAGTCCCTTGCTGCCACCCAGAGCCTAACAGAAACTTCCACTTCCAGCCCATGGAGGACATTCCTCAGACCTTAACAGACTCTCATCTTCCCTGACCTCCTTAGGACTGTGGCTTTGCTCCCTTGCAGGCCCCCTAGTGGTGGTGGAGGGGACAGCTAGAGAGCCTGGCCTTAAGAAGCCTCAGTGACCTGTTGCGTCACACCAGTAGAGGCAGAATAAGAGGAACTTTCCGCCCAGGTCCCTGTGGAGCATGGCCTGGGCCAGCCTCAGACTCAGGTCACCTGGAGTAGCAGAGGGAGGCACCCCCCGGGGGCTGGCTCAGAGGAAAACCCCCTCCTCAGGTGTGAGCGGCTCTGTCATAGGAGCTGGTCAGACCTGGGTCGCTTGGTAGCTGTGCTCCCAAGCCTCTCCCTCCTCTGCCATGGCTGTGAGAATAAAATGAGAACGGACGTGTCAGGCTCTTACTCTATTCTCACAGGAGTGTGTGGATCTGTGGTAGAGCACCAGCCTGGAGAGAAAAAGCTAAGCAAGAGCGTGAGGCCCAAGTTCAAGTCCTAGTACCAGCATTGCACACGAAGGACCTGCAGCAGGAGCTCCCCTCACCCAAGCCCCTCTTTTGGCTTCCAGGGACTCCCCACTGGGTCCTTGGGGGTGGGGACCTGGACGGTGCTCCTGCTGGGGTCTGGGTCTGGGTCAGGGGGAGCCAAGGCCCAGCATGCATTCTCACTTACACTCTCGAACTTCTTGATGTAATTGTAGGTGAGTATGTCTGCCTCCTGCAGGTCCTGTTCGGGGTCCACGGGTTCGCCCACCAGCGTCTTCCAGAAGGACGGCAGGAGGTCCAGGGGGAGCGGCACGTCTGCCCGGATGGCGATGCCCAGCAGCTGGCCCAGGAAGTGCAGCAGCTGCTCCTCCCCGTAGGTGATGGGGCTGGGCGTCAGGATGTACTTGCCCTGTGGGCGGAGATGGGGGGGCCCTCAACACCCGAGTGGAGGCTGCCACCAGGGCACCCCATGGCCAGGAAGGTTTGGGGAAGGTGCAGGACAAGCCCGGGGCCTCACCTTGTTCTTGTTGACTGCGGAGCTGGGGCACAGCAGGAGCAGCGACAGCGAGGAGCTCTGCAGCTCCCGGCACACCTGCCACAGAAAGTGCCGGAAAGAGCCGCCTGCGGGGTGGGGGGCAGGCAGAGCATCAGTACCCAGGCCTGTGCCCAGGGGAGGCCCCACTCCCCACAAACACACACCATGTGCTTTGTCTGTTTGGAAAGAAAACTCAAGGACTGAGGACCTGGGGCCAAGTCCTGCACCCCTTGAGGTCTACCAAGGAGGGGAGGTGCTGGGGGGCAGCACTGTGCTGGCTGTGCCAAGAACTAAATGAGGGCAGGTCAGTCTGTGTCCCAACATGGGCCCCTCTCCCAGCCACAAGCACATCCTTGTTCCAGCCACATCTGTGTCTGGGCTGTACGGAGGGCGGGACCCCCTGCTGCCTGGCTTGGCGCCACCCCCTGCCATGCTCGAGAGCCTGTCCTGCCACAGTGGTGCATCCAAGGACCGTCAGATGCTTAAATGCAGCGCATGCATCTGGCCCACGCTGGACTGGCATGCTGCGAGCACCGTGACCCTGCTCTTGGCACAGCCGGCGCTGACCACAGTGCTTCCCGGATGCTGGTAGCAATGGCGCATTGGGCAGAGCAGAAGGCAGTGCGGGGACTCAGCCCTCAGCCCTCCTTCCACAGGAACCGTGCAGAGCGGCAGGGACCGAGGGGCCGGGGGTGTGTGCTTATCACAGGCACCCTCAAGCTCTGGCCAGCTCTTGCTGGGCAAGAAAGCTGCCACCTCACGGGACGGTCAGCTGTGTGGTCACCACGTCCCAAGTGGGGACAGGGACCCTGGCAGAAGTGCAGGGTTGAGGATGTGGGATGGCAGCCCCTGGGAGTTTCTGTGCACTACACTCAGCCTCCAGCAGGGGCAGAGGTGGGCAGGGGCTGGTGGTGATGGGCAGTGGTGGGCAGCAGTGGCATTGGTAGACAGTAGTAGACAGCGATGGGCAGTAGTGGGCAGCGGCAGCGCTCACTTACTGGTGCCGTGGACTTCCTCCCCGGTGAAGCGGATATTGAAGGCGTAGGTGGGGTCGCCGCCACTGGCAAGCTTGACACAGAGCTGAGAGGATGGCACAGATGCCAGCTGCCTGGCAGCCTGGCAGAAGTAGGAGTTTTCAGAAGCTCTGATTTCCCCTGCGGAGGACACAGGAAGAGATGAGCATCTTCCCTCCCGTGTGCCTGTGCTGTCCGCCCTCCACCTTCCTTCTGCCCTCAAGAGATCTTAAAACCTCTTGGCCTGGTGCCTTCTGCCTAGAACCACCTCCAAGGTCTCCAAGGTGCTGGTTCTTCATCTTCTAGAAGCTTCTGATTACTTTCCTGACTTTCCCACCTGGCTTCTCCTATCCTCCTTCCTGCCAGTCTCGTCTCAGGCTGTGCGGGTTCCAGCCCCCTCCCGGCGGCTCCTCCCTGTCCCTGACACCAGGCTGGGTGGCTCAACATGGCAGCATGTGCCCGCTGGAGGATGCGCTGAGGTAAAGGAGTCTGGGCCTGTACACTCGCTCCCCTAGGCAAGCTATTTTGAGGCTCATGGCAGCCCACCGTACCTCCCACGATCTCCAGGGGGTCCAGGGTGATCTCGGGCGCGGCGTGGTCAGCCGTCCTCTGCACAGTGGCGTTCAGCACCCGATTCATCACAGTCACCTTCGTATCATAAAAGATCAGCCCTGAAGGGAAGAAGGTGGGAGACAGGAAGGATGGGGCTGCATCTCAGTCACCCTGGGGCCCAGTGGCCACCTGCTGCCTTCGGGGCTGACCGTGGAGGGTGCCATGCACGCCTTTATCCAGATGCTATGTGCCTGCCACACCTGATGCACAGCTCACACACATGCAGACGAGAGAGGTATCAAACCACCCTTTAAAAAATTATTTCTTGGGGCTGGGAAGGTGGCTCAGTGTCTGTAGAGCGCTTGCCTTGCATGCCTGAGGCCCTGGGTTCGATTCCTTAGCACCACATAAGCAAAAAGAAAAAAGGCGGAAGTGGTGCTGTGGCTCAAGTGGTAGAGTGCTAGCCTTGAGCTGAAGAGCTGAGGGACAGCGCCCAGGCCCAGAATTCAGGCCGCACGACTGGACCCCACCCCCCCCCCCCCCCCCCGCAAAAAAAAAAAAAAAAAAAGAAAAGAAAAGGGTCTCATGGACTTTCCTGCCTGGGATGGCTTTGAACCATGATTCTCAGATCTCAGCCTCCTGAGTAGCTAGGATGACAGGTGTGAGCCACCGGCGCCCGGCTTAGTTGTTTTTTTTTTTGTAGCGACTGCTCCTGGCATCCTGCTGATGGAAACGTGGCCTGGTCACTCTGGTGGGTCCAGGCACTCACCTTTGGCCTCTTTCAGCAGGGCGGCAATGCTGTGGGTGAGCACAGGTGTCTGGCGGAGCTCTACCAGGGGCAGGAAGAAGGTCTCCAGTGTGGTGTTGAGCGACTGGAGCAGGGCGAAGCGCAGGCGCAGGCTCTCGATGGGCACACCTGCGGGCAGCAGCAGGTCAGTGTGGGGGTGGGGGATGGCTGCTTGCAGGTGGCCCCGTCCCTGGGAGGGCCAACTAAAGGGGGGACCTAGGGCTCCTCCCCTGCTCGTGGGACTCCAGAGATGCCATCAGAGGTAAAGGGCCCTCACAGTGCCCAAGCTGAGCTGGCAACAAACAGAACAAAGGGCAAAGCACTAGGACTCCAAGGCCAGGCCAGGACTGTATACTCAATTACTTTCATTCTGAACTCAGGTCCTTGAGCATGCTAGCGAGTGCTCCAGCGCTGTTACAGCCCCAGCCTTACATTGGTCTGCTAACTTCTATTTTGGAATAATTAACAACAAGTAGTAACAAAACCAGTGCAGTACTATGCATCTATCCCTTGGTTCCCAGATGGACATCAGGACACCTCCTGACCCACCTTTGCTTCCTCAGTGTCCCAGAGTGGAGGCCCTGCACTGGTGGTGCCCTGGGCACAGCAGTGGCTTTGCCTGCTGACTGGGAGGGAGTGATGTATGGGGCACTAGTACATCACTGCTGCCATGCAGCTTCCCTCCCCCCCCCACTGCTGCACTGCCCGGCAGTCTGGCCTCTGCGGGCAGCACTGGACATGCCTGGCACGGAGTGGGCCTCATTATGAATTCCTGTATCCCCATACCCGTGGCTTGTTGCAATGAGCAGACAGAAAGCCACAGCCACAGCTCCAGTCTCTTTTTTGCCCCATGGGTGCATGTTAGGGGTTCTCAAGTATTTCTGCAATACATATCTACATGGCTTCAAGCCCGTGTAAACACGTGTGTCCTGGAAGCACTCCTAGTAGGCTGGGCGGGGGGGAGGGGGGGAGGGGGGGGAAGGGTAGCCCAGGGGCCACATACTTGTAAGACAGGCCACCCTGGGGTCAGTGGCATCTGCGGAGTCCAGATACACCTCATGGGGGTGGAGCCGGGCAGGTGTGATCGCAAGGTGGCGGCATAGTCGGTTGATGTACTGCACCAGGGCCACGTCCATTTCCAGAGTCCACTTCCTTGAGGCCTTCTGCGCATGTCGGACATCAATGCAGGCGCACCTGGGGCAGGGGAGGAAAGAAGGGCCAGGTGTGGCATTATCTACAGGGCAATGGTGGATCCCTCCTTCAGAGCCATGTCTCAGCCCTGGGAGCACATTCAGAAATGGCTTCCTCTTCCAGGGCGGGTGGGGAGGTGTGAATGGTGCAAGCCTCTGGCAAAACCAAGGCTCAATATAGCCCCGTGCAGGGCGCCACCGGCTGCTGGCACTATGGCCACGATTACTCCCTGTCCAGCAACCTCACGCAGCAGCTACCTTGGAATAGCAAAACACAGCCAAGATAGGCTTATGAAGGCTGAGTTATTACAGCTGCATAAGATGCAATGGGAATGCCCAGCACTGGGACAAAGCACACCTGACAGAGGAGCGCTGGCATCCATGCAGCGGTGGCATAGAAACACTGAGAATGAGGAGGATGTGAAAAATGAAAAGAGCAGTTTCCAGAGCACTGTGTCTTGTCTGGTTCCTCTTCAGTGAGCTCAAGCATCTGCCCCCCAAAACCCTGGGAAAGATGTGTTCTGAGCACTATGCTGCTGTCACCTCTGGCACACAGCTGTACACGCTCTGCTTGTTTGGGCCTGTGTATACTACATGAGGTTTGTAGTAGTGTGCACCTCCTTCCACAAACACTACGCTATTAACCCAAGATTGGCAGTGGCCAGCCAGCAGGGGAAGGGGACGACGGGAGTCCCGATGGGGGCCTAGGGTCCTTGGGTCTGCCACAGAAATACCGTGCTGTTCTGTTATGGTAGCCTGAGCCAACTAGCACAGCTCCTAAGTCATGATGTGGAGGAACAGAATGGGGTTTGTAAAATGGGTCAGAAAAGTCCTTAGCAATTATGACAAGTTAGACTGGGCTCCCGCGGCATGATGAACAGGCAGGACGGAGCAGCTCCCAAAGTGTGCATTCTTCCACACAGCTACTTGCTGAAAACTTCTTGTTTTTCTTTTGGATGGTATTAGGGATTGAATTTAGGTTTTACACTGCAAGGCAGGTGTTCTACCACTAGCATCATGCTTCCAGCCCTTTTGCTTTATTTTCCCCACAGGGACTTCACATTTTTGCCCAGGTCACAATTCTATTTATGCTTCTTGTATCCCTGAATGACAGCGCATACCACCATGCCCAAACCATGTGCAGCTATTGGTTCAGATGGGGTCTTGGGAACTTTTTTTTTTTTGGGTCCGGTCGTGGGGCCTGAACTCTGGGCCTGGGCGCTGTCCCTCAGCTCTTCAGCTCAAGGCTAGCGCTCTACCACTTGAGCCACAACGCCACTTCTGGCTTTTTTCTTTTTGCTTATGTGGTGCTGAGGAATTGAACCCAGGGCCTCAGGCATGCAAGGCAAGTGCTCTACCACTGAGCCACCCTCCCAGCCCTTGGGAACTTTTCTTTTTTCGTGCTGTTATGTGAACTTAAATAAGGGCCATGAAGTCTGGCTTGATTTTTTTTCTGCTCACGGCTAGCACTGTACCACTTGAACCACACATCCTATCCAGTTTTTTGCTGATTAATTAGAGATAAAAGTCTCATGGGCGGGGCACCGGTGGCTCATGCCTGTAATCCTAGCTACTCAGTAGGCTGAGATCTGAGGATCCCGAGTCAAAGCCAGCCCGCAGGAAAGTCCATGAAACATTTATCTCCAATAAACCACCAGAAAACCGGAAGTGGCGCTGTAGCTCAAGTGGTAGAGTGCTAGCCTTGAGCTGAAGAGCTGAGGGATAGCGCTCAGGCCTAGAGTTCAAGCCCCATGACCACCACCACCACCACCACCACCACCACCACCAAAAAAGTCTCATGGACCTATCTCTCTTGGGCTCAGATTTCTGCCTCCTGAGTAACTAAGATTACAGGTGTGAGCCACCAGTGTCCAGCTGAGAACCGAGGGTCATCTCTTACCTGTCAAAGTGCAGGTCATAGCCGCAAGAAAGAATCGCCCTCCAGACACTTCGGATGTCCTGCTTGGCTCGGTCAATGACGAATTTGTGGAATCCTTCCAACGTCAGGTATTTCTCCTCTGGGACTGGTGGAAGAGGGCACCAGTTCAGCAATGTGGAGGAAGCTCCGAGCATGTGCCTCCCAGCATGCTCCTGTGTATGGCTGGACCTGCCTGACCCTGTCCACCTGCTGGGTTCCCTGCCCCAGGCTAGTCCCCAAGCAAGACAGAGATAGTAACTTTCTCCAATGCTGGCTGGGTCCCGAGAGGCTGACATCTACACCTGGCTGAGGCAAGTGCCTTCTAGAAGAAAAGGGCCAAATGGATCTCCAAATCTCTAGTCACCACCATCTATTGTCCATCTTAGTTGCCCCTCTCTAAGCTAATAGGTACCACAGACATCAGCCTGGCACACCTAGCATTGCCTGTAACACTTTCTAGTGATTGCCCAAAGCCCAGGCAGCAGGGCCAGCGCACGCTAGCCCGCAGGCGCTGTTGCAGGCGCAGGTGCATGCGCAGGCGCAGGAGCATGTGCAGGCGCACTCACCCTCCTGCTTCCTGGTGGGTGACTTGTCTGGGTCCTTCTCGTCGGGCTTGCTCTTTTCAGGTGACTTCGGCTTTACAGTTGGCTTCTTCTCACTTAAGGCAGTCCTGCTGTGGAGGGACACTGCATGAGAACCCGTGTTCCAGCAGGGGTGCACACCCCACATGCTCAGTTCACAGACTGCAAGCCCGATGGGGCTCATGCTTCACATGGGTTGTGTGGAAGACTGAATACCTTCCACACAAGAAGAATTTCTGAGCAAATTACAAAGACAAATCAATGTTCCACGATGTAAAAAATTGTAAGCTTGGGCCAAAATGTTCACAAAAACTTGTTTTTTTGTTTTTTAATGTGTGTGCCAGTCCTGGGACTTGAACTCAGGGCCTGGGCACTTTCCCTAACTATGGTGCTCAAGGCTAGTGTTCTACCATTTGATCCACAGCACCACTCCCAGCTTTTCCTGGTGGTTATTTGGAGATGAGATTCTCATGGACTTTCCTTCCCAGTTGGCTTTGAACCACGAACCTCAGGTTTCAGCCTCCCAAGTAGCTAGGATTACAGGCATAAGCCACCAGTGCCTGGCACAAAACCCATTCTTAGCTCATGCTGGATGCAGTGGCATGCACTGTCACCATGGTTAAAATGAGAGGAAGCCCCAAGTAGATGGACTGTAGTCTAGGCAAGTGTAGAAGGCGAGGCCCTATCTCAAAAATAAACCAGTGTATGCAGGTTTTGTGGCCCATGCCTGTAAGTCTACCTTTTTTTTTTTTTTTTTGGTTGGTTGTGGGGCTTGCACTCTGGGCCTGGCGCTGTTCCTCAGCTCTTCAGCTCAAGGCTAGCACTTGAGCCACAGCACCACTTCCGGCTTTTTCTGCTTATGTGGTACTGAGGAATCGAACACAGGGCCTCATGCATGCAAGGCAAGCACAATACCACTGAGCCACCTTCCCAGCCCAAGTCTACCTTCTTTTTTTTTTTTTGTCAGTCATGGGGCTTGAACTCTGGGCCTGGGCACTGTCCCTCAGCTCTTCAGCTCAAGGCGAGAGCTCTACCACTTGAACTACAGCGCCACTTCTGGTTTTCTAGTGGTTTACTAGAGATAGGAGTCTCACGGTCTTTTCTGCCCGGGCTGGCTTTGAACCGTGATTCTCAGATCTCAGCCTCCTGAGTAGCTAGGATTACAGGCGTGAGCCACCGGCGCCTGGCCCAAGTCTACCTTCTTGAGAGGCACAGATCTGAGCAGCACAGTTTGAGGCCAGCCCAGGGAAAAAGTTCGCAAAATACCATTTCAAACAAGCGCTGGGCACAGTGGCTTGCACCTTTTGTCCCAGTTACAGGAAAGCGCAATGCTGTGTGTGGTATCACCCCCAGTAACAAGGGAAAGCATAAGTAGGAGGACTGCAGCCCAGAAAGCCCAGAAAATTCTCCTGAAGGTAGGTTCAGATGTGGAATAGAACGCAACTCCCAATATGGCGAGGGGAGGGATGAAGCCAGGCCCTTGTGGGTGCCTGACAGGTACAGCACCATGGAGCCTCAGCTGCAGGGTCACGCTCAGCCTCAGGGGCATCGCTCTTTACTGATGTGGCACTGGAACACTGCAGAGCCGTGCTGTAGAGCCAGCACTGACACTGCGCAGGGTGCACATGTGCACATACATTCTGTCTTCATAGACAGTTCTGGAAGGCCTTCCAAGTGATCTGGGTAGTCCTGGGAGGGAGCTTTGAGGTAAGGATGGAGGGAGGAGGAATGTCTTCTCACTACATATGCTTTTAAGCTTTGGGCCATTTAAAAACATAATACAGGGGCTGGGAAGGTAGCTCAGTGGCAGAGTGCTTGCCTTGCATGCATGAGGCCCTGAGTTCGATTCCTCAGCACCACATAAGCAGAAAAAGCCGGAAGTGGCGCTTTGGCTCAAGTGGTAGGGCACTAGCCTTGAGCTGAAGAGCTGAGGGACAGCTCCCAGGCCCAGAGTACAGGCCCCACGACCTACAAAAAAAACAACAACAAAAAACCCCACAATACACATGCATAAATGAAAGGTTGTAGAGAGGCATTTCACTGTGTGGGTAAGTTGATTCGTGGATGCTGGGGATGGAACCCAGGCCTCACACAGGCTAAACATAGTTCTACACCCCACCACAAATTACATCTTCTTCAGTGCACATAAACATTTCGTATCTTTCTATAAGAGGTATGCACTATTTGTGTGGTTAAACGAAGTGGGATTTGGGTAGGGTGCTGGTGGCTCATACCTGTAATTCTAGCTACTCAGGAGGTTGAGATCTAAGGATCACAATTTAAAGCCAGTCTGGGCAGGAAAGTCTATGGGACACTTATCTCCAATTAATCACAACCACAAAAAAACAACCAGAAGTGGCGCTGTGATTCAAGTAGTAGAACACTAGCTTTGAGCACAAAAGTTTAGGGACAGCAGCCAAGCCTTGAGTTCAAGCCCTAGGATGGGGAAGAAAAAAAAGAAGAGGAGGGGCTGGGAAGGTGGCTCAGTGGTAGAGCGCTTGCCTTGCATGCATGAGGCCCTGGGTTCGATTCCTCAGCATCACATAAGCAAAAAGAAAAAAGCTGAAAGTGGGACTGTGGCTCAAGTGGTAGAGCGCTAGCCTTGAGCTGAAGAGCTGAGGGACAGCGCCCAGGCCCAGAGTTCAGGCCCCACGACCAGACTCCCCCCCTCCCCCCCAAAAAAAAGAGAAGTGGCATTTGAAACCTAATTCTATGCATTGGAGATGTTTTGCTGACATAGCACCGTGGGCTCTCCACTTGCCTGGCCCGGGCTTCAGGGGATCAAGGACCCAGGACCCCCACCCTTCTGCAGCACCTGACACTGTTGAGCACAGCCTTGTCCTTGGTGGGTGGCTTGCTGGCGGGCCGCTTGGTGCTCACCACCTTCACTGGGTGCTGCTCCTTGCCCGCCTTGCTGTACTTGCTCTTGTCTACCTTGGGCTTCGGTACGCCATACTTCCTCAAGATCTGCAGGGCACAGAGGTGGAGAGGGGCTCTCTACCTGCCCCAATGACCCTGAGGCCCAGCCCGGGCAGGGCAGGGCAGGGGGTAGGAGGCTACCTGTGTGAGCTGGTCCTCCAGCACCTTCTTTGGAGGCCGAACATTAGTGAAGAAGAGGTGGAGGAGGTTGCCGGGTGTCTGTGAGTTGATCTGCTCTTTGCTAAGATAGATGTCTGACACTCTGATGGGCTTTGCTGGTGTCAGGCTCAGCGTCTGCTCCGAATGGGCACAGCTCTTAAATATTTCCGTCAGGACCTCTCTGGCCCCAGGCACCAGCTTCTCACCTGTCCCAGAACAGTTCTGCTGTGACTATCTTTGGTCAGCACGTGCTCACAAGCATGCAGCTGGCTTCTCACAAAGCACCCTGCAGCTGGACACAGTGTGATCAGGCACCCCCTCTGACCTTGAGCCTTGGTGATGGGTCAGGCTGCGTGGCAGCAGCTCAACCTCCAGCTCTTGCACACACAAGGAATCAATACCTCTATTGTGAGCTGCTATGGTCTCTTATAGTTTGGTCTATCGTAGCTTAAGCAGCCATGAACGGGCTGGAGAGTACCAGCTTTGGAGACACCAACAAACTTCACACAACATTCTTGAAGGCCTCTCCCAGGGCCAGCGGGTACTCACTCCCTCTGCTTCAGGTCCAGAACATGCTGGAGGAAACCCGAGGGTGGACGGGCACCATGCAGGGAGAGGCAGGCAGTGAGCCACCGAGGCCAGCACCGAGCCTCCAGCCCTGCCCTCCTCCACACAGGGTGCTCAAGAGGGAAACAGGTGGGGGTGAACATTGCCACTCAAACTTCTGTAACCCAAAAACCGCTCCCATAAGAGGCCCATGATAGGGCTGGGAATGTGACTGAGTGGTAGAGTACTAGCTTTGAACAAAAGCTCAGGGACGGTGCCCAGGCCCCAAGTGCAAGCCACAGGACTGGCAAGAAAAAAAAAGAGGTCTGTGATGACGAAACCCCACAGCCCACCTTTAATGGACTTGTCGTTGAAGTAGTCTTCCAGGCCCGGACTCCCCTGAGTGTCAAACAGACTCTGATTCACCACGGACACTGTGAGAATCTCCTCCGTGGACATCTCCATCAGTTCATCTTCCCCATCCAAACCCGATAAACCAATCAGATCGTTATTGTTAAAGAGACTCGCTCGAATTTTCTCAATTTTGGCTCGGGAGCGAATCTGTGTGGAGAAAGAAAAGGGTCAGGACCGGAAGCAGGGCTGCCCATCCCTCAGCACGCATCATCCAAGGCCTCCCCGCCTCTCCTTCCCTCCTTCCCTTCCCCCAGGACACTGCTCAACAGGCAGCAGGCCTTCCTGGGAGACTCCCATGTGCTGACAATGGTTACATTTAGGGATTGCTCTTATTAAACCCTGGCCAGGCCTGGGGCTTTGCTCTTCTGCACAGGCCAGGGAGGCCCCAGGAAGGAAGCATTCCAGAAAGAGGGATTCCAGGTGCTGCTAGGAGAAAGCAATGCAATCTAAGGGTTTTACTTTTGTTTTCTGCTAGTACCAGAGTTTGAACTCTAGGGCCTCATACTTGCTTAGCTTGCTTACTTAGCTGGTGCTCCACCACTGGTGCCACACCATCAGCCTAGCTTTTTGCTGATTACTTTAGAGATGGGAGCCTAATGGGCTTTTTTGCTGGAACTGGCCTGGAAACCCTGTTCCTTCAGATCTCAGCCTCCTGAGTAGCTACCATTACAGACATGAATTGCCAGTGCCTAGCTGCAACACAAGTTCTTAACTTGCAATACAAGTTCTTTATTGTCTGCTGGAAGCCAAGAACTTCTTTGGCCTGTCTTGGGCCTTGAATTCAAGATCTAGGTACTGTTCCTGAGCCTCTTTGTGCTCAAGGCTAGTGCTCTACCACTTGAGCCATAGGGCCATTTCTAGCTTTTTCTGAGTAGTTTACTAGAGATAGAAACTCACAGACTTTCCAGCCCAAGCTGGCTCTGAACTGGAAACCAAGAACTTCTATGTATTGAGAACATGCTTTACCACTGAGATCCCCGAGAAATGCGCTTTTACTGTTGAGTCTAAGTCTGCTATGCCTAAGTGTGGAAAAAGCATGTGGTGGCAATCTGGGCCTGCACCCCATGTGGCTACGAGCAGCGTCCACCCTCCCTCCGCTCAGGTAGACACCATGCCTGGAGGCCTCTGAAGACACACCAACCAGGGTGCACCGTGGCGCCCGACCCTGAGGCCCTGTGCTTGGCCTCTCAGCAATGAACTGCATTCACCTATGACGCCAAACTGGTCATCGCTCCTGGACATGTGACCTCTGGCAGAATAGGTTCTGACAGCTGCAGCAGCCCTGGCTGTTCCCATTCCCCTCACTGGCCCATCTCTTGGAGATAACTCAGGATGCCCAAGGTGCAGGGGAGCAACACTGGAGAAGGCTGAAAGCTATTACCTCCACGACCGCAAAGCCCTTGATGGGGCGTGCAGTGAGGGGCTGGGTGTCCAGGGAGGTCACTGTGTACATGGAGCCCACGTCCGAGCTGGAGGCTGCCTCCGCGTTGTCCAGGGGCTCCCCCAGGCTGCCCAAGCTGCCCAGGCTGCCTGTGCTGCACAGAGAAATGTCCAGGCTCTCCTGACTAGACACCACGTGGGGCTCCAGCAGGCCCGGTGGGACAGGCAGCTCGAAGCCCGGGGGCAGAGGGTCCACCGAGAGGTCACTGACGGTCTGTGAGACGCCCTGGGAGCTGCACACGGAGGCCTGGCTGGTGGAGGCGGAGGCGCTGATGCTCATGGCAGGGGCCAGGCTGCTGGACGTGCTCCCTTCCAAGCTGTCTGCGCTGGGGAAGCCCAGCGTCTTCTCAGGCTCGGCCTTGCCGTCACTGCCTTCGGCCTTGTCTTTGGGCTTCTTGGGGTCATCGTCCTGCAGCGGGATGTAGATCTCGTCTTTGAAGATACCACCATGGGCATTGCAGGCCTTGCGGATGGCGCCCCTGACTACAGTCTCCTCCAGGTGGGTGGGGATGCCAGAGATGACCAGCAGGCGGCTGTGGGCAGTGGGGCCCACCAGAGCCTGGCAGGCATCAGCGATGGCATCGCTCGTCACACCCAGGCCCTGCGGGTCCTTCCCGGTGAGGTGGCGGAGGATGAGGAGCAGGGTGAGGGCGCGGTGGAACCACAGCATGTCCTCGGGCTTGCTGCCCCCGATGCTGAGCACTGTGCTGTCTGAGTCCCCGCTGCGGGATGACTGGCGCTTCCCAGAGGAGGAGGCCTTCTCCCGCTTCATCTTCACTTTCTTCCTCTTGGACAGGAGGCTGGGGCTTTGTGGGGTTTGTCCTGGGGAGGATGAGGATGATGAGGACGAGTCACTGAGGTTTGGGGCGGTTGTTGAGGTCACGCCGCTGGCAGTGACACTCATGTTGGCGGGCAGGGTCACTTCAGCCACAGCCAGGCAGCCTTCCATGAGTGCGTGGAAATACGTGGAGAACCTGCCCTGCTCGCCTGTGACCACTGTCCCAGAGCCCCCACATGCACCACCCGAGACCCAGCCCTGGGTCTCCTCATCATACAGCTTGTGCAGCTCGGACTGCAAGGCCATGAGCATGGCCAGGCAGGGGTTGAGCTGGAGGGCGATGGAGGAGGACAGGCCGGCAGGGTGCTTCCGCTGCTCCAGAGCATGGATGGTACGCAGCAGCTCTGCCAGAAGGTGGAAGACCAGCTCCTTCACGCACGCTGCCATGTCTGTGGTCCAGAGGAAGTTTCCTGAGCAGACAGAACACAGGAATAGCTATCACTCCACAGCACTGAGGGCCAGTGAGAGGGGGAAGAAAGGCCCAGGGTACAGCCTACCCACTGGCCGGTGCTCCTCTGCTGCTGGAGCTCTGACCACCACAGTTTCCTATGGCCTGTGTGTTCCGCTGCTCGCTTTCCTGCCACCCTTCACCCCCAGGCACAGTGAGCGGCCACCCAGGTCAAGGGCTTGGGGGTCTAGGCAGAAGATACTGAAGTCTATGTGCATGCCCCTACTTCCCCAGCGAGCCGGGCCTCACCAAGAAGCTCCACCACGTGCAGGAGGACGGAAGTGGGGATGGCATCAGGCTCGTCTTCTGCCCTCCCTTCGCCTTCCTCTGGTTTCCAGGACAGCAGCTGCTCGGCGAAGGCCATGGCCAGCGGGAACTCCAGAGGCAGGGAGTGTAACACCAGCACAGCTCCGGGGGGTGGGGACACGCCTACAAGGGCCCAGGAGGAAAGGGCATGGTTGGCAACATCCGAGTCAGGTAAGCCTGAGCAAAGGAAGAATCAGGGGCAGAGAACTCAACCCTCATCTGCTCAAGTAGAAGGAAGTGTGAGTCCTGCACACTCGACTGAAGGACCTGCAGGTAGAGTGACAGAACCAACAGCAGGAATGGGAACCAAGATGGACAGCATCTCCTATTCTGTGATACCAACTGGTGCACTGGGCCAGATGTGGTAGTACATTGCCTGTAGTTCCAGCACTAGGAAGGCAGAGGTAGGAGGATCTTGAATTTAAATCTAGCCTGTGCTACGCAGTTAGAGCCTGTCTCAAAAAAAAAAAAAGAAAAAAAAGAATAGGAACTGACTTTATATTCCAGAAGAATTAACTCACCAGAGAAACTCTAAGGTTGGTAAAGAACTAATAAGTCCTAGAGGCTGGAGGTATGACTCAAGTGGTAGAACACCAGGCCAATGAGCAAAAGTGTAAGATACTGAATTCAAGTCAGTATTTTTTTGTTGGGGTTCAGACAAAAAACAAACAAAAAAAACCCCAAAAACAGTCCTAGAAAGCATGAAGCCCTGAGTTCAAACCAAAGTACCTTAAAAATCAATAAATAAAAAGAAATAATCATTCATTTAATTTGGCTGAAATCCCATTAAGACCATTAAACCTAGCCAGGTGCTAGTGGCTCACACCCTTAATCCTAGTGACCTAGGATGGCTGAGTTCTGAGGATTGAGGTTCAAAACCAGCAAAGTCAGAAAAGTATATGAGTTTCTTCTTTTTTTTTCTGGTCAGTCATGGGCTTGAACTCAGGGCCTGGCACTGTCTGAATTCTCTTTTTGTTCAAGACTAGTGCTCTATCACTTTGAGCCACAGCACCACTTCCAGTTTTCTGGAGGTTAACTGGAGATAAGAGTCTCATGGACTTTCTTGCCTAGGCTAGCATTGAACCTCGATCCTCAGATCTCAGCCTCTCAGCACCTGGCAAATCTAAGATGGCTATTTCTAATTAACCAGCAAAAAGGTGGAAGTTTGACTCAAATAATTGGTAGAGTGTCAGCCATGAGTGGAAAAAGCTAAGGGACAGTGTGAGGCCGAGTTCATGTTCTAGTACACACACACACACACACACACACACACACACACACACACACACACACACACACACACACACACACACACACACACACACACACACACACACACACACACACACACACACACACACACACACACACACACACACACACACACACACACCCATATACCACTGCCCAGGCAGTCTGTTCTTCATCAACTGCAATTAGGACGCAACAAGGTATGCTATCCCTCATATCTGCCTACAGAAGGCCCGTAGCCACGGCCATGGCTGCAGCCCCACAGGAGCTGAGGGGAACTCACCCAGTTTGATGTGGACCCTGTTTGTGGACAGGACCACAGAAGGGTACTGGTGGGCAGTGGGTGGAGGTGACAGCCCAGTGTTGGCTGGGGACGCATCCCGAGGGTAGCAGGCGGCCTCGATGAGATTCAGCTGGCCTGTCCGCTTCACTTTGTGGCCGAGCCCGTATACAAGCACGCGAGCCCATGGAGCCTTATACAGAGAGGAGCTGACAGGGAGAGAGTTGCTGGTTAAGACAGACTCACTACGCATGCCAGAAGGGGAGCTGAACCAATGTCATCTCCACTGCCATCTAGAAGGCAGCTCTTCACCTGTGGAAATGTGGGAAGAACCTTAAATGATGGTGAAAGATCAAGACTCTGAGAGAGCTTTTCCTGTGCCAAGTCCCCTGCAAGGAAGCCCTTTGCTCTTCTCCTCCCCACCCGCCCCGCCATGTTGTTGAAAGGGGCAACTTACTCTTTGCGGAATCCAGACTGACTTTCTTTGCAAGACACCACCACAAAAGCAGCTCCAGGGAAATTAACGTCCATGTTGACCTTGGACTCAGAAATCGGGAACTCCTCGGAGGGGAACTGCTCCGGTGCTTTCTGTGAAAGGACACTAAGTAAGGACAGTGCAGACAGACCTAAGGGGCGGTATTTCATCTTCCCATCTCAGGAGTCAAAGCTATCACTAAGGCACCCACTGTGATAGACCCAAATGGACACAGAGGCCCTGTGGGATGAAGAAAGCCACCCAAGAGATGATGCAGCAGCAGAAGAGCTGCTGAGAATGGGCAACCAAGTGGTGGGGGCCAGAGCAGGAGTGGGCGACTTGGCAGTAGCAGCGGTAAGCTCGGGTGTAGAGCTGCACCTGCAGGAAGGCGCAGATCTGCTTGGTGAGCTCCAGAAGGCTGTCCTCGCCCTGCTGTAGGGTGCGGGTGATGGCCACGTGCAGCCATGCTCTCATTGTCTGGGAGCTGCCCTGGTAGAAGAGGTCGGTGGCGGAACAGTTCTGTGAATGGAGGCAGTGTTGCAGAGACTGCGCCAGGAGGATGGAGCTGGAGCTGATGGTACCATCTGTAGTTGGGAAAGAAAATGGATGTGCCTTTAACTGCCATCCACAAAGGCTGGGCTGGATGGAGGCTAGCATAGATGGCACGTCACATCTCGGGTGACAGCCATCACCTACAAGGTCTATGGGGCAGGAGTAGGGGAGGTAGGACTCAGGGGACCAGTGGTGGCAAAGCTGTTGCCTGCAATAAGCTGCTTGTCAGATCACAGCGACACTGCTGGGTCTAAGAAATCTTTGGGCCTGACGTATTTATTCAGCTGGGGCCGCACCCAGGTTTATAAAAGGAAAGTGTTTGGTCATCATAGGAGAGCCTCTCCCATAGGTATCAAGGGCCTCAAAGCCCTTGGGGGTGGCTGGCGGGTGCTGGGGTCCCACTGGGCCAGTGGGAATGTGGTGCACACAGGTGCTGCCAGGGACCCCAAGGCGGCAAAAGCTGCAAGGCAGCTGCTCCCACTTCCCCACCAGTGCCCCCCTCTTAGTGGCTGGAGATCAAGGGGAGCTGGTGGTGTCTGGGGCATCAAGAAGTCAAAGGGGCTCCCAAATCTTGGCCCGGCCAAGGCAGACTTCTCACGGCATTCAGCAGAGGACAGGCACAGGGTCCTTAAAGGTCATGCAGACACGTGAGCTTTGCCTGAGGTCTCTCTGCTTTGCAGGGCCCCGCAGCAGGCCTAGGTTTTCCTAAACACTCACTGTTCTGGACCCACCATTGAGGAGGCTCAGGGAGAACTTGGTAGATCACTAAGTGACTCAAGTGATGAGACACTTCCATTTTCCAGAGTGAGAATGTGGCCAAGACTCTCGGTTCTTACCGGGGAGGGGAGGAGCGAGGAGCTGATCCGACAACAGCTGCAGGTGCTCCAGTGTGATGTCCTGGACGGCAGGGATGTGGAAGAGGCGGGTGAATGAGTGTGGCAGCTTGGGGGCGAAGATGCCAAGCAGGGCCACGCGGCAGTACAGCTTGGCCAGGGAGGCCTCACAGCGCAGCAGCTCTCTGTAGGGGAGAGGGTGTGTGGGAGGATGGTACCGTGCACCTCACCCCTGTACCCCTCCAGTGGGTGAGCTCCAGGACTGGTGGGGTTCAAGTTCTGCACCTCAGCAATCACTTTTTTTAAAAATAAGTTTTTTTTTTTGCTGGTCGTGGGGCCTGAACTCTGGGCCTGGGTGCTGTCCCTCAGCTCTTCAGCTCAAGGCTAGTGCTCTACCACTTGAGCCACAGTACCACTTCCAGCCTTTTCTGCTTATGTGGTACTTAGGAATCGAACCCAGGGCCTCATGCATGCAAAGAAAGCACTCTACCACTGAGCCACCTTCCCAGCCCATGGGTACATTTCTTATTAAGCATTGTTGCCTCCTCCTTTGTTTTTCCCCTAACATCCCTTCCCTCCCACCTCCACAACTACACTCCTCCCCTCCCCAGCAATCAATTGTTTCTTAAAATCTTCACTAGTCATGTTTGATTTTTCCCAACTCAAAAAGCACCAAAGGAAAAAGAAGTGAACATGTTTGTCTGACAGAAGCTCATGTGCCTTTTTACAGCAACATTGTTTCTAGTATTTTTGTAGTCCTGGGGTTTGAACTCAGGGCCTTGTGCTTCTCAGACAAATGCTCTAGCACTTGAACCACATCTCAGAACATTATTTTTATTATTATTTTTGTCTGTGTGTGCCAGTCCTAGGATTTGAACTCAGGGCCTGCGAGCTATCCCTGAGCCTTTTTGCTCATGGCTCAGTGCTTTAGATCACTTAAGCCACAGCTCCACTTCCAGGTTTTTTTTTTCTTTTTTCTTTCTTTCTTTCTTTTTTTTTTTTTGGTAGTTTATTGTAAATAAGGGTCTTACAGACTTTCCTGCCTAGGTTGGCTAAGAATCACGATCCTCAGATCCCCAGCCTCCTCAATAGCTAGAATTACACACATGAGCCACCAGTGCCTGGTGTATCATCATTATCATCATCATCATTTTGCCAGTCCTTGGACTTGAACTGGACATTGTCCTTGAGCCTCTTTGTGCTCAAGGCAAGCTCTCTACATCTGAGCCATAGCACCACTTCTGGCTTTTTCTGAGTAGTTTACTGGAGATAAAAAGTTTCACAGACTTTCCTTCAAAATATGATCTGCAGATCTCAGATCTCAGCCTCCTAAGTAGTTAGGATTATAGGTGTGAGCCACTGGCACCTGGCTTAGTAAGTAGCATTGTTTTTAAGACCCAAATTCCCATCAGCTTAGTGGTATACCCACACAGCAGAATTTTACTCAGCAAGAGACACAGAGATAAAACACCATGTGAGGATGGAGGTGACACAGCACTAGATGGAAATGAGCTCTGCATGGGGCCACAGTAAGGGGGGCAATGCCTGTGGAAGGGCACACAGTAGGGAGTGGGAAGGGCACAGAGCAGGGAGTAGGAAGCTCTAGCAACACCCACCCCCCACCATGGCAGGCGGTAAGAGGTGGGGGCTGAAGCCTAGGTAGGAAAGCGATTGCCTCTGCAGATATGTAAAGCCCAGAAAGTGGGGAGAGGTTTGAGGGAGTACAGATCCCAGCTTGCAGGCTACTATAGTTCCCTGGTAGATTGTTTGTGAGTGAGAGAGGCAACCAGGCAACAGCATGGAGGGGTGTTACATGGGGGACGGCACATCTGGACCAGGAGTAGCAGGAGGGAGAAAGTTCTCCAGGGACATCACACCTGCCAAACTTCCAGAGCATAGCATGCTTCCTGCCAAGACCCTGGCAGCCATGAGGCTGGGAGGTTACCATGAGAACCTGTGGGCAAAGTCCATCCTTCACCCCAGGTGTTACTAGGCCCTTCAACTTCCTGTTGAAGGAACATCTGTGATGCTGCCTTGTGTACACTGAGTGGTACACACAGGTCCACAGTACACACAGGGCCCATGGAACACACAGGGGCACACACAGAGGTACACAATGGTACACACAGGCCACACAGTCTGTGGGGCCTGGGCCCAGGGGAAAGAAGGGCTCAATTTTACCTGTGAATTTGAAGGTTGGTGTTGTCCAGTGTGACCAGCCCATTTGTGGCAGTCCTTCGGTAGCCTGCTGGTGGTCTTTCCAGCATATCAATGGGGTACCAATATCGTACCAGCACCCCTTCACTCCGGAGGTATGTTTCTACCTGCACCAACTCATTCACCTATAATGGGAACGAATGACTATTTCTTATTGTTTTTCCTCAGCATCAGCTTTGTTTTCCACATTTGTGCATACACACACACACACACACACACACACACACACACACACACACACTCACTCACTCACTCACTCACTGAGTCTTGGCTTTTAGATAATGCAATCATAATTTGTACCTCCTTGCTATTTCATAGAGGAAATTAATGAACTAAAAAGGAAGTGATGATACTTTTTGAGTTTTTTTGGTGCTGGGTAAACCAAAGGCTCACACATGCTAGGCACGTGCTCAATCTCCAAGCTATAACCGCCACATATTGCAAGTTTATGCTACATAAGCTGGAGTCCGGGCCTCAATAAACACAAAAGGGTTAATGCACCTGTGGCTGTTCACTTACTGAATCAACATCCAGGACGACGCCGTGAAGGCCAAAGGTTTTCAGCATCCCTCGGATGGCAAACTTTGGAAGAGCAGTTCCGACAGCACTGCTAGCGACGTTATTGCTGTCTGGAGAGCGGGTTACTACTGTGAGACCTGGGAAGAAGAAGTTCCTTCAGGAGGGAGTGCCACAGCACTTTGAGACCTGTTTTAAAGGGTGTGAAACAACTGCAGCCTTTGACAGCTTGCTGAGTCTTGTTATGACTCAAAGGAACACAGCTCAGCTGGGAAGGTCATACAACAAAATAATGTGAAAACCTTGACAATTCACAAATTAAAAAAAAAAAAAAAAGCAAATCACTTAGAAATGTTTCAGAAAAGGGCTGGGTGCTGGTGGCTCAGGCCTACAATCCTAGCTACTTAGGAAGCTGATATATGGCTTGAGGCCACCCAAGGCAGCAAAGTTCGTGAGACTGTTACTTCCAATAAACCACTCAGAAAAGCCAGAAGAGCACTGTGGCTCAAGTGGTAGAGCACTAGCCTTGAGCACAAAGAGGCTCAGAGACAGAGCACAGGCCCTGAGTCAAGCCTCAAGACCAGCAAAAGAAAAAAGAAAAAGAAAGAAGGAAAGAAATGAAAAGCATATGTAGCATATCCATAAAATGGAATTATTTATCCATAAAAAGAGTAGAATAAGCCAGGCGCCAGTGGCTCACACCTATAATCATAGATACTGAGATCTGAGGATCAAGGTTCAAAGCCAGCCTGGTCATATAAATCCTTGAGACTTTTACCCCCAAATAGCCATCTAGACAGCACAAGCTGAAAAAGTGAAGGGCAAGCACAAAGTCCAAGATCACTACAAAAAAAAAAAAAAAATCCAAAAAGCCCAAAGAACAATAATCATGTGGTTTATTGGCTCAGAAGTCTGAAGTGAGCTGGAAACCTGTGTGCACAGAGTGAGTGTAGGCTCTGCCTTCTTCCTTCCTTCTTTCCTTCCTTCCTTCCTTTCTCTTTCTCTCTCTTTATTTCTTTATTGGTCGTGGGCCTGAACTCTGGGCCTGGGCCCTGTCCCTCAGCTCTTCAGCTCAAGGCTAGCGCTCTACCACTTGAACCAAAGCATCACTTCTGGCTTTTTCCGCTTATGTGGTGCTGAGGAATCAAACTCAGGACCTCATGCATGCAAGGCAGGCACTCTACCACTGAGCCTCCTTCCCAGCCCCCCCCTCCTCACACTTCTTGACTTGCCTCACCTGCATGTGCCAGTGATCAGTGAGATCTAGGTGTGTGGGAAAGACCACCAGAGACCAAACCCTTTCTTATGCCCCACCAGGATGCTTGAGGAGCCCTTATGGGAGGGGCTAGAAGAGGGGAAGTCATTCAGAGGGAAAGGAGACCCTAGGAGGGAAAGCGCTTGGCTCCTGCTTGGGAAAATGCACTTGCTCACTTGATGGGGAATTTCACAGGTAAAGGAAAAGGACACAGAAGCAGAACCTTTTCGAACTTTGTCAATTGTGAACTTGTTTGCTTCATCTTTAATGTCCTCAATGGTGGGAAGATAGAGGTCTCTTGGGATGCCACCATTCTCCTCATAGAGAAACTCAACTGTCTGCCGGGCGATGTCCACCATGCCTGAAAATAGAAGACACTGAATAATTCCCAGAGACCCAGCCTTCAGAGCAATGTGCCACTGTGCTGCGTGAAGCAAGGATACAACCTCTTAGGAAAGGCTGTGCCAGGTTCAAATTAGTACACGCATTATTTGTTCTTGCATCTCCCTGCAGGAACATGCACTATAACAGTGTCAGCCCACAGTAACAACTAAACCATGGAGTAATGTGACAATAACATTTAGTTCTTACTCTCCAGATTTCCGTACTGCTCATCTTTACTATAATAAACACACATTGCTGACTTAGAGAAGTAGACAGCCTCAGTGTCAACTGTAACCCACCACTGTAATATGCTCTGTTTTGATTGATGGACATAGGGTCTCATTGTGTGGCCCAGGCTGGCCTCAAACTTACAATCTTCCTGTCTCAGCCCTTGAGTGATGAGATTACAAGCAGGAAATACTACACCTAGCTGCTGTGTTCTTCCCTCTCAGACAAAGAAGGTATCATTAAGTTTGAGGGCAAAAATGGGCACTGATATGCCAGGCACCAGGGGCTCATGCCTGTAACTCTAGGTACTTAGGAGGCTGAGATCTGAGGATCACAGTTCAGTCAGCCCAGGCAGGAAAGTCCATGAGATTCTTATTTCCAACGAACCACCAGAAAACTGTAAGTAGCACTATGGGTCAAAGTGGTAGAGCACTAGCCTTGAGCAAAAGAGTGCCGGACAGCACCCAGGCCCTGAGTTCAGGTCCTACTACTGGGGGGAAAAAAGCACTGTTAATAGTCCAAGTACTACCTGGCTAAAGAAAGCACTGTGAGAAGCACAGTGAGGGGGGCTTAAAGTCTTCCCTCCTGGGGCTGCCTTATGCCCCACAGTACTTAGCAACTTACAGGCAAAAAAACAGCCTTGACAGCAAGCTGTTTGTCAGCAACACTACTTCCATCACCCGCATCTACTGCAATGAAAAGACATGGGTGTAGTTTGAGTGCTTAAACAAAGAGCTGTCAGCCAGGGTGAAGGAGAAACTGGCCTGACATCAGCAGGCTATGGAATAATCATCTTTGCAACATTTCCAGAAGGGAGAGGAAAAAGAAGGAAAATACTACTCCGCTATCATCTAAGCAGGAGTCAGGGAACATGGAGGGGAGACTACAGGAAATCCTACAGAGGACATGGTGGTTTCTTTTATCTCCTGGGGGCCCTGGTAAGAGAAGGCTCTGAGGAGGGCCACCGGGCAGGGTTCTGCCAGCACTACTGGGCATGAGAGCTATGCCCATGGAATGCTTACCACCTACCAGTCTGCTTTCAGGAGCTCTTCTATATCAACAAATTGACTTCCTGTGTGGGCACCACAAGTGACTCTCCTGAAGGAAGAAGCCCCAGCTCCCAGAGCAGCCATATGGCTTCCATGGCAACCCTTCCAGCTGTGCATAGCAGCACGGTGACAAAGAAAAGCCTAGCCCTTGATGGAAGGTGAAAGACCCCAGCACACTGTCAAGGCAGGCACACCATGTAAGGAACACCTCATGGACATCTGCCTTGTCCCTCAAGCCTGTGTCTCCCTGGGAGAACAAAGAGCACAGACCTAGTTGTAGAGCACCCTTGATCTGGTCCAGGCCTGATTTCCGCTCTGCCTCATTGCGGAAGCGTCTTCGGATGGTGGGGAAAACCTTGGTCTCCCATGCTTTCACCAGCAGGGCGTAGTGGTCCTCCTGTAAGAGGAGGAAGGAGACGCATGAGCCGAGAAGGAGCTCCTCGTACAGCAGCACGCCCTCCCCATGTGGCTCTCACCGGGCCTGGAACCCACTCAGGGCCAGCCATGGAAACCCTGCTCTGAAACACCCTTCAGATGCGGGGAGGGATTCCTGGCTGAAGATATGCTCACAGCATGTGGAACTTCCTTGTGAGTAACTAGCAAAGTCCTCCATTCCTCAGCACCTGGACCTCTACCGGGCAGCAGAGCTCAGCCGACACGGCAACTGACAGGTGACTTCCCAGGCCCAAGAAGGAGCTAAAGGTACCCCACTGACCTTGACCTCATGTCCGAACCAGTCCCCAAGCTTGTCCTGACACCGGGAGCTGAGTGAGAACTGCCCAGGCCTGGGCCAGGCCACTGGTTCTCACCTGTGGGATGTCGTCATCGTCATCATCATCACTCTCATCGTCGGCAATGGGAGGCGGGTGAGGGTCTGGGCCAGAGGTGATGAAATTCTCATAGCTGAGTTCAACTTTGTAATGACAGGAGGTGTCACTGTCGTATTCTGCAACAAAGCATGACCAGAGCAAATTCCAAGCAAGAGCTGGAGAAATCAGCAACTCCTCCCTAGCAAAACCTCACTGACTCTGAACCTGCATGCTGGCAACTAGATTCCTTGTAGAGTGAGACATTTCAAAGCACAGCAACACGGAATAACCAAGTATCTGATTACCCTGAAGCCGATATCATCTTTTGGATATGACTTATTCATGTCAGAGGAGATTTGGAGAGTTCTTTATCATGAAAAAGCACCAAAGTTACTTTAGTTTGCAAATCAGTCAGTATCCTACAGGCCAACCAGGGCTTCCAGACAGTTTTAGTTTAGTGATTATTTGAAAACTTTCAAAATCAGGACAGAATTTAGTGCTCACTCATTAAATTTTACAACTGGAATTCTAATATTCTTTTATGACCTCAGCTTTAAAACATTTTTCAGTCTTTTTGATGGTGGCACTGGGCTTGGATTCAGGGTCTAGCATTTGTTAGGCAAGTGTTCCAAGCAATAGAGCCACACCTCTAGCTCTAAAATACTTTTAAAAAGCAGGTCACTGCTTCCGGCTTTTTTTTCTTCTGCTTATGTGGTGCTGAGGAATCGAACCCAGGGCCTCATGCATGCAAGGCAAGCGGTCTACCACTGAGCCACCTTCCCAGCCCTCCATGAGACTCTTACCTCCAATAAATTACCAAAATGGCTGGAAGCAGTGCTGTGGCTCAAGTGGTATAGTGTTAGCCTTGAGCAAAAGAAACTCAGGGACAGTTCCCAGGCCCTGAGTTCAAGCCAGGACCGGCAAATAAACCCCCAACTTCTTAAAAATGAGTAACCCACAGTTCAGGTTTTTAGCAGTCCACACTACTATGCTGGCACAACTCAGCAGACTTCTTGCAAGAGAGTTCACTTTCAGTGTGCCCTTCTCCTGTGCCTGGTTCTTCACCATGGCCTGTCACCCCATCATTATGGGATACCAAAGTCCACAGCCTCTGATGTTAGGAGCTGGCCAGGCACTTACCCTTCCCAAAGCAGTGGGGTCCCCGCGGGGGATGGGGAGTGGCTTACGTTGCTGAGCAGTGGCCACAGCAGCAATCCGGCATGGTGGCCCATGGGTGCCTGGGTCTGATGCTATACTGGTGCCAGCATCGTTGTCACTGTCAGATGCCATGGCAAAGGGCAAGGCCTCGAAGTTAGCGCTGATCTCCTCTGCCAGGTCAGTGCACAGGTCGGCGGCATTGCGGTGGGCCTGCCCTTCCGCATAAGCAAAAGGGCGGGAGCCAAAGTTGGCTCGAGTTTTGGTGTTCTAGAAAAGGGGATGAAATCAATGATTAAATGACCTAGGTTTATTTCTATTTATTTATAACACTTCAAGTGTACTTCATTAAGCATCAAATCAGGACTAAGTTGATCAGTGATAATATGTCTGCCTAGCAAGCTTGAAGCCCTAAGTTCAAACCCCAGTAGCACCAAAACAATAGCAAAACATCCAATCAGAGCAGCCCAGGGAAAGCAGCCATGAAGGACAGGTGTGACTGCACCCTACCAAGCTTACTCTCAGTCTCCTCCCTACTCATGCTACTCATTCCTCTGTTTGGAGATAAATCTATGTGGCTCAGGCTGGTTTGAACTCACAATCCTCCTGCCGTCACCTCCCCAATGCTGGGATTAAGGGGTCACCACCCGAAGCTAACAGTAATCTTGTCTGCCTGACCTCACTGCACATATACTGCTCCCTCCACCTGGAATACTCTTTCCTCCAACTTTACCTAGTTAAAACTAGATAATATCTAGACCTGGCTTAATTTTTTTTTTTTTTTTTTGCTGGTGCTGGGGCTTGAAGTAAAGGCCTGGGCACTGTCCTTGGGCTTCTTTTGCTCAAGGCTAGCATTCTACCACTTAAGCCACAGCACCACTTCCAGCTCTTCTGTTTATGTGGTACTGAGGAATTGAACTCAGGGCTTCATGCATGCTATGCAAGCAATCTACCGTAAGCCACATTCCCAGCCCTAACAGCACTTCTTCAAAGAACAAATTCTTAGTTCCATAAAGACAAATATTTTCATTCCCAATATTTGTTAATTTGTGATTGTACACACACAAACACACACACACCCACACACACACCCCTCTGTGATAATCTAATGTCCAGTTCCTCTGTTACTATCCTATGAAGACAGGCGCCATATGGTTCACTCATCATTCTACATATAGAGCTTGACACAGTGCTTGACACATCATAGTATTTGTGGAATGTATTTGTGGAATGAAGGGATGGAAAAGGCTGAGAAATGCTGTGTGAAATAATTCGCTCATGTCAGGTGCCGGTGACTCCGGCACCTAGCCTGAGTAATCCTAGCTACTCAGGAGGCTGAGATCTGAGGATCACAGTTCAAAGCCAGCCTGGGCAGGAAAATCCATGAGACTATTATCTTCAATTAACCATCAGAAAACTGGAAGTGGCACTGTGGTTCAAGTGGTAGAGTGCTGGCCTTGAGCTGAAGAGCTCTGGGGCAGTGCGTGGGCCCAGAGTTCAAGCCCCCAAACTGACCAAACAAATAAAACGAAAAAAAAAAGTATCACTCAGCATGAGATGAAGGACAGTCAGACATGACATAGGCCAGGTCCTACAGACCTTATAGGTCATTAGAGACTTTTTACAGCAAGTGACATAGGAAGGCACTGACTGATCTGGAGAATCTTTTTTTTGTGTGGCACTCAGACTGCAATTGAAGGCCTCACACATGCTAGGCAAGTGCTTGATCCCTGAGCCACATGTATTTGGGGATGGGTATCCGAGTGTGGTCTGGGTGGAGATATGGATTTGGGGCTGAGCCGTATGCCATCAGTAGTTATGTCCTAAGCACATGATGTTGGGGTTCTAGGGAAAACAACAGGAGCCCAGGAAGCTAGAATGGGAATGCTGGATTCCTCCAAGCTTTGAGAGGACCCGAGAGGGCCACATTCCCAACATTCAAGACAGTCAAGAGAACACGGTGCTAAGTGCAGTTCAGGACAGAGCAGTGCCCAGTCCAAAGCTGTGGGGTTGACGGAAAGGAACCGACTCACTCAGGCTGTCACGTGCAACTCTGGCTCATACAACAGCATCTTCCTTTCCTAACCAGGAAGAATCTGCTCTACTCTCCCTGCAAAGGAACTTGCCTTCTTCTGAATGTGAACCACAGGCCACATCCCACCCGAGACATCCTCGAGGTACGGTGAAAGGCGCTGCCCACAGTATGTGAAGTACACCCGGCCTTTGGCTGGCTGTCCTGGAGGAGGCGGGGTCCCTTCGGTTCTCTCCCAGCCAATCCCTGCCACATCACCTATGGCAGAGAACATTTTCCATATTGTAGATCATCAGGAACTCTCATTGCAATGTATGAGCATGTGAACAAAAGCAGAGAAGCCTATGCTAACCAGACAGGCAAAAAGGGTAGGGGCCTTGGGCGTGAACTTGGGGACAGCCGTGACAAGAGTTTGGTTTTCACTGGAAGACAAGTTGTTCAATATATCTAACTCCTACCCAGGTAGACCCATGCCTGGGGCCCCAGAAGCAAACAGGGCCAGGAGGCCCCAGCTGTCACTTACCAGGAGACAGAGTAACATCTAGGCGGACGCTTTTCCACTGCAGCAAGCTGGAGCCATTGTAGTGCACAGCCCGGCCGTTGCTGGAAAGGAAAGAAGCAGGTCAGAAACAAGACTCACCTGCTCTCTGAGGTGAGAGAGAGGAGGTCAAGGGAGGCTTCAGCCTTCCCCAAATGCAAATGTATCCCCATGCTTGAGGAGAGAGGTTTTGGTGGAACTCCTCTAGCATCCCAAGGTCATGGCTGCACCCAGACTGCAATGGGTTCGGGTACATGTGGAAGAAGGAAAGCAGGACTGTAGGACAGCTCGGAAGGACCTGTGCCAGCATGTATGGGAGGAAAACAGCGTGCTGCAGTCCTCAACCTTGCTGGAAGACCCACCTTGATTGTGACTTGAGGGACGCTCCTGTTCTTTACCACAGGGACCCACTTTTCCTTTTTATAAGACTACAAGCAGCAGCAGCCACTTACTTGTGGAACAGGCAAGTGCCCACTGGATTGGTCCACGCCCCATCTCGTTTCTCTGCCTCTGTAGCAAAGCCAAAGGAAACGATTGGTCCGGTGTCGTCATCAGTGTCTCCATAGGAAACAATTTCAATTTCCCAGTAAAAGGATGGGGCCTGAAGAGACACCAGCACAGGTGACAGTCAGAGGGCTTGCCCAGGGCCCTGCCACCTGCTCCTCCTTTCACAGGTGAAGCAGAGGAGGAACCTGCAAAGACTGGCGCGTGGACTCACCTGCACTGGCAGAGGCGAGGTGGCATAGATGAAAGTGCCCCGGGGCAGACCTCCCCCAGCGCTGGGGTCGGCCAGGAAGGTGACGGAGGTCAGGTGGGATGAGAACATGCAGGCGCGCACTGGGGGGAACACTCTAGAGGGGCTCCAGGTGATCTCTCTGGGCTGCGAGGAGGGAGAGGAGGGGAAGCCTTAGTCCATACAATTGCAGACATAAATCCCACTGTCTTCTCAAAGAAGAAATAATTTTTATCTGATGGTGTTAAAATCTCACTAAACATATACACACACTCACATATATTTATACATTTACTTAACCTTTCTGGTAGCTCTAGGTATTGAAGCCAGGGCCTCAAGAATGTTGGGACATGGGGCTGGGAAGGTGGCTCAGTGGTAGAGCACTTGCCTTGCATGCATGAGGCCCTGGGTTTGATTCCTCAGCACCACATAAGCAAAAAGAAAAACGCCAGAAGTGGTGCTGTGGCTCAAGTGGTAGAGTGCTAGCCTTGAGCTGAAGAGCTGAGGGACAACGCCCAGGCCCAGAGTTCAGGCCCCACAACCGGAACCCCCCCCCCAAAAAAAATAAAAAAATAAAAAGAATGCTGGGACAACATTTGGAGCTATAGCCCAGCCCTATATACATAGTTAAAAGTGTTACCTATTTTTTTTCCCTAAAGGGAACTTGATTAGTTTACATCATGAATCCCTTCTATGTCTAGTCCTGTTCCCTAAAAATAACCATGCCTTGAACTGTGACAGGTAATGCTCATAGTTCCCTGCTTCTCCTTCTCATGCTTGCTCTTTGCCTTCTCCCTTTAAGCACTTTTCTTCCCTTATAAGAAACATGGCCTGGGGCTGGGAAGGTGGCTCAGTGGTAGAGTGCTTGCCTTGCATGCCTGAGGCCCTGGGTTCGATTCCTCAGCACTACATAAGCAAAAAGAAAAAAGCCAGAAGTGGCACTGTGGCTCAAGTGGTAGAGCACTAGCCTTGAGCTAAAGAGCTGAGGGACAGCGCCCAGCCCAGAGTTCAGGCCCCATGGCCGGACTCAAAAAACACACACCAAAAAAAAGAAACATGGCCTGAATTCTGACACATGCTTCAATCCTTACACCAGGGAAGCTCATCCTCACAGACTACCTCCTAGTTAGAGGACAAATTTGGTTCAATTTCTAATCAGAGGGTACATTCCTACAACTGGATGTACAACTCAGAGCTAAGCACAGCGCCTCGGATGATACTGTTGGGGTTGGTTCCCTCACTCTTCCACTTCCATAATAGTTAATATAATCATTGAAATTTCAGGCTTCTCTATCAGACAAAGCATTTTCTTTTTTGTACCAGAGCTGGGACTTAAATTTAGGGCCTTGGCACTGTCTTTAGGCTTTTGTTGCTCAAGGCTGGCACTCTATAACTTGAGCTACAGCTCGATTTTCAGCTTTTTGGTGGTTAATTGGAGATAAGAGTATCACAGACTTTTCTGGCCAGGCTGGCTTTGAACAGCAATCCTCAGATCCTGGGTAACTAAGATTAAAGGTGTGAGCTACTGGCATTTGGCTTCTTTCCTTCCTATTTTTCTCCCTCCCTTCTTTCCTTTAGCAGTCCTAGGATTGAACCTGAGGCCTTGTGCTTCCTGGGCAAATACTCTACCACTTCAGCTGTACTCTGAGCCCTCTATGATCATGATAGAGATGGCCTGCTGCCTGGCATTCTTTATAAGTAGCTGCAGCGTGGCGGGTGTGAGGCACTGAAGACTCACCTGTCTCCGGTCTGCCTGCAGGGGAGGTGGTGGGGGCCGAGCACAGTCCCGGTACAGCATCCTCAGTCGTTCGCACTGGACCTCCACAACTGCAAGCCGCTCACCTGTGGAGGGGAATCGACCTATGAAGCACTCCCACCACCAAGAGGACACTGCACACTCCGCGCAGTACCTCCATGGTAAGAGTCACATAAAGAAATCGTGGAAATCCTCACAGAAGACACATACACCCTGAGCCCACCCACTGTGTCTACTGCACCTCAGCACATGGTAGGCTAGGTCATGCTCTGGATCCAGCTGCCTATGTGCAGAGTCTGGCTCCATTACTGGTATTTTCTACCTCATTTCCAACTGGAGGATGTAACAATCCCTATGCCTCAGAGTCTCAATAAGTGAGAGCTATTGTTCTTACTATCTAATAAATGAAGGCTGTTACCCTTTAATTCTACATTATTTTCAAAAAATGACTGCATACTGAATAACTCTTATAAGCAGTCACATGTGAGATGCTGGAAAGCACAAAGTTATGATAAGATGTGGATGCACATGTATACACACACACACACACACACACACACACACACACACACACACACACACACACACACACACACACACACACACACACACACACACACACACACACACACACACACACACACACACACACACACACACACACACACACACACACACACACACACACACACACACACACACACTGAAGTAGGAGTCTGCGCCCAGGACAGGAGAGTGGACGATGACTTCAATCCAGGACCTGAAATGGCCTCATGGAGACAGCATAAACTTACATCTCAGAAAAGACAGAATTTCAGTAGACAAAGAAGGAAGGGTATTCTGGTGGATTGAGTCTATGAAGGTCTAGAAAAGTCAAATGCTAGAGGTATTAGAAATGCCTCTTATGGCACACAAAAATTAACACATAATGCCTCAAACACCTAAAGAAACCCTGTAGTTAAAATTATAAAACTCTTAGCCGGGCGCTGGTGGCTCACGCCTGTAATCCTAGCTACTCAGGAGGCTGAGATCTGAGGATCGCGGTTCAAAGCCAGCCCGGGCAGGAGAGACCGTGAGACTCCTATCTCCAATAAACCACCAGAAAACCGGAAGTGGCGCTGTAGCTCAAGTGGTAGAGCGCTCGCCTTGAGCTGAAGAGCTGAGAGACAGCGCCCAGGCCCAGAGTTCAAGCCCCACAACCGACAAAAAAAAAAAAAAAAAAAAATTATAAAACTCTTATAGAGAAATCTAAGTTAAAGACCTTAGATTAGACACTATTTGTGGATTAAAAACTAATGGTTCTTAAAAAGTACATCAAAAGCATAAGTAATGAAACAAAATGGGATAAACTAAACATCATCAACATGTAATCAAGCTGGGTGCTGGTGGCTCACCAGGCACTGGTGGCTCACACCTATAATCCTAGCTACTCAGGAGGCTGAGATCTGAGTATCTGGCTTTGAAGCCAGCTTGGGAAAGAAAGTCCATGAGACTCTTAGCTCCAATAAACTACTCAAGAAAACAGCTGCAAGTGGTACTGTGGTTCCAGTGGTAAAGTGCTAGCTTTGAACAACAGAAGCTCAGACCCAGAGTTCAAGTCAAGCAAATAAAAACCAACACATAAAATAGGAGAAAATGTCTGCCACTCTGATCTGGGATTAGTGTATGCAGAATGCACAGAGAACTCCTACAACTCAGCAATCAGAAAACGTGCAACAGTCAGAGGGCATGTGCCTACATGAGAGCTCACCAACAGTTCCAACAGGGAAAGAGAGACACTGGGTTAAAGCAAGTGGAGAACACAAAGTGCTCTGCCAACACCTGCTACTGGGCTGAGGAGGGCTGCCTATCTGCTGCCAGGGTAGCAGCTCCTCGCTCAACTCCAAGGTCTCAGGTGAGAGTGGCTGTGAGGAAGCCTCATGTCTGGAGCTCAGCTGAGTGATGTGGGTATGGACACAGTCAAACTGCACAGGCGCTGAGCAGACTCAGCCCACAAGTGGGGACAGAGTCATAGGTACTCACCAGCACTACATTCATGGGCCACTAGGTTAAGGACTTCCACAGCTGCTGGGCACTGCTGTATGAATTCTTCACAAAATAAGCTGTCTTCCAACAGCTGGGCCATGACCAGGCATGCTCTTAATGTTAAAAGATTTATAATATTTCAAAATTATCAATCCATGTTCTTTTTCTCAAAAAGTTAACTGTGAAAAACATTTCAGCCAACTCTGCCCCCTTGTTGACGCTCCCTGCTTTTCTATAGGACTGATGTGGGCATGAGGATTCATCCAATATCAGATAGAAAACATGTGAACAACTGCATCTGCACTAGGCATGTGCAGATGTCTGTCTCCACACCTAAGGGGCGCAGTGTAACAAGTGCTTCCATGGTCCACAGCACCAGGTATTATGAAGTGGACTGAGGATGACTGAATTACATGACAAGTGCTGTATATGCCATTTTATGTGAAAGCTGGAGCATTTGAATTTAAGGGAGGATGGTGTAACTTTGTCACATGGTAACCACGGGGCTGCAGGGAAATGTCTGCTAGCTGAAGATACAGGCAGGTGAGGAGCCTTCTGAGCTTTCTCTGTACCATGTCCATTCCACAAGCAAGAGGAATCCCACAGCTGGGTACAACCGCTCTGATTTCTCTCACTTGACTCAACATGTCAAAAAGAGAAACTCGATACTCCTGTTGAGTGGGAAGACTTGATTCTCTTTCCTATACCAACACCCAATGTGTCCTGATTTTCCAGACATCCTGTGGGAAAGGGAGGGGCCAGATAGATACTAATGTGGCTTAGCTATCTTAGAAAGTGGCAGAATTAGCTGGGTGTGGTAGTACTGCCAAATGACAACACAGAAAAGAGTGACCGTTAATCCTGCAATGCAGTGCCTACATATTCTACACAGCACATTTCAAGTGTTTATCCTGTTGGCTTGATTTCACTGTGAAGTGAGGAAACAATCAGGGCACCACAGACTGGTGAGCAGAGTACAAGTCAGTGGTGGCTGCTTCTCACTAGCCTGAGCCTTGGGCCCAGAAAGGGGAAGGAGAAAGGAGGGCCCACCCAGTAGCCCTGCCTCCCTGGTCCTGCCTCTGCATGCAGGCGACATGGGGAAGGGCTCACCTTGTTCTGATTTCAGCCAGGAGCCGCACTACTGCCATCACAGGTGCTGCCCCATCCCCAGTGGCAGGAAGGGAGGTGTGGATAGAGAGACTTCCCTCCTGAGGGAACAACATAGACTGGACTGCCTGGACCACCTTCTCGGTGATGGACAGCTTATGAAGAGGCAGTGCCTGGGGGGTGGAGCAAGCAGAAGTCACAGTTGACTTGTATAGGAAAGGAAGGTGTTAGCATTAGCCAGAATTCTCAGTTTTTCAGCAAAATAGTCATCACAGAAAATTGCAAACCAGATCAAAACTATCAAAAACAAATTATGCTGCACAGGTTGGGGTCAACTTACACCTATAATCTCAGCTACTTTGGTGGTGATCAGAAGGATCTTATAGTTCAAGGCCAGCCTGAGCCAAAAGTAAACAAGACTCTGTCTCAACAATAGTTGGTGTGGTAGTACATCCGAACTACGCAGGAAGCCTAACTAGGAGGATCATGTCTCGATATGCCTAGGCATAAATGGGAGACCCAAGCTCAAAAAATAATGAAGGCAGATTGCTGAGAGAGGTCCAAGCAGTAACAGCTTCCTAGCAAGCATGAGGCCCTGAGTTCAAATATACATACATACATATGTATTTATATAGTCACACCAATGTAATCATTAAATACCTAGAACTAATACATAAATACATAACAAGTAAAACTCAAGACCCCGGTGTCTTTGTGCTTCTCTGCTAGGCACAGGATCATTGCTCATTTCAGTACAGTAAACATTTGCAGTGACATTTTACCATACCTCTGATCTTGGAACACAGAGTCTAGACAACGGAATGGTCAAGGTGTCGGATGCCTGCGAAGTCTTTCGACAGTCGATGGGTGGGAATCTGACGGTAGCTATGCCTTCCTGCTCATTGATAGAAGCCACGACTCCAATGCTTCCTGATATTCCTCTACCTAAAACCTGCAGACAGAAGTGTATTAGTACTGCCCACCTGCTGATGTGCAAGCAGCTATCCAAAGTGAAAAATAGAAGAATCCATTACTGTCATCATTATCTGTGCTATAATAATTCTTTATTCTAGCGTGGATGCCATGCCCAGAGCATGGATGAAAACAGGTCCATGATCTTACGGCAAGGTGATGACAGTATGTATCATCACAGACCTTCAATTCTAAACTAGTAACAACATTACTGACATTATAGGACACAGATTTTGTATTTAGCATACCATATTTCATTAGTACCTGAATAATGCACAGCATACTGTGAATTAAAATTCATGAGCTTCTTAGATTCATTACTTAGCTTAAAGGGCCAAGGTCCGGTTCAACTTGTTAGGATGCTTACACATGGAAACAATGACTGGGGTGCTGGGGCAGGATGGGACGGTTGGTTACCTGAACCTCGGATCCGATCTTAATCGTCTCCTTAAAGCCTCCCAGTGCACACAGTGCAGCCACAGCCTGGCGTGCAATCCTCTGAAGTTTGGCCAGTTTTCTGCCACTGCTGCTGCCATTTTCTAGAATACTTTCTGCATATTTCCCCAGCTGTGGAATGTACATCAATGCCTGAGACAGAACCTGAGCAGAAGAAGATACCAAGGATGATGAAGTGTCCACAACAGTGCCTGGGTCTGGTAGTATCCTGAAGGCACTCTGGATATAGGAGGGATCAAAAGCTATCAGGTATGGCCAGCAGCATTTTCCCCCATGTGTACCTTATGTCATCAGACAAAATGTAGGAGAATCAAAAACCTGTTACTAAAGCTACTAAAAGAAGCAATCATTTATCTAAGGGAAAGCCAGGCCAGTATATTGCCCACATCTTAACGTGCAATTACCTTCAGGCCATGTCATAAGTGGTCATTTGAAGAACCACCATGAAAAGGAGGAACAATACAGAGCTCTGGTTCTGGGCAGCTGGACCACTGCTGTAATGACCAATTACTTGCTGACAGAAGATTCAGGCAGTGGACTCACACAGAAGCTGCCCTTGGGCCTCCTGAGTACACTGCACATGACCTCCAAGACACATGGCAATACCAGTCTAATGTAAGCAAGAAGAAACAAGACTACCATTCTCTCTCTGAGGATACTGTCCTGGCCTCTATAAAATTAGAACAAGCAGGACAGGAGACAAATAGGAACAGAGCTCAAGCTACTCAGTCAAAACAAATGCCAGGGGAAAATGCCAACGAGTATACCTGACTCATATCCTACTAAAATGTCCTTTGTGCTGGGCACTGGTGGCTCATGCCTGTAATCCTAGCTACTTGGGAGTCTGAGCTCTGAGGATTGCAGTTCAAAGCCAGTCTGGGTAAGAAAGTCGATGAGATTCTTAGCTCCAGTTAACAATCAGAAAAGCAGAAGTGGCGCAAAGTGGAGAATGCTAGCCTTGAGTGAAAAAGCTCAGGGATAGCACCCAGGCCTTGAGTTCAAACCCCATGCCAGGACTGAAAAAATAAATAAAAAAAAAATGTAGGCTGGAAAGGTGGCTCAGTGGTAGAGTGCTTGACCTTGCATGCATGAGGCCCTGGGTTCAATTTCTTAGCACCATATAAGCAGAAAAAGCTGGAAGTGGTGCTATGGCTCAAGTAGTAGAGCACTAGCCTTGAGCTGAAGAGCCCAGGAGCAGCGCAAAAAAAAAAAAAGGGCTGGGCACCAGTGGCTCATGTCTGTAACCCCAGCTACTCAGGAGGCTGAGATCTGAGGATCACAGTTCAAAGCTAGCCTGGGCAGGAAAGACCATGAGACTCTTTTTTTTTTTTTTTTTGGTCGGTCTCAGGGCTTGACTCTGGGCTTGGGTGCTGTCCCTGCGCTCTTCAGCTCAAGGTAAGTGCTCTACTGCTTGAGCCACAGAGTCACTTCCGGTTTTCTAGTGGTTTATTGGAGATAAGAGTCTCACAGGCTTTCCTGCCTGGGCTGGCTTTGAACCGAGATCCTCAGATCTCAGCCTCTTGAGTAGCTAGGATTACAGGCATGAGCCACCACGCCCAGCAAGACCTTGAGACTCTTATCTCCAATAAACCACTCAGAAAAAAAAAAAAAAAAAGAAGTGACACTGTGCTCAAGTGGTACAGCACTAGTCTTGAGCTGAAGAGCTGAGAGACAGCGCCCAGACCCAGAGTTCAAGCCCCAGGACCAACTAAAATAAAATAAAATGAAATAAAATGTCTCTTGCTGTGCAGGATTCTAATGCAGGTGCCTGCTCAGTTAATCAGCAAGCCCACACTGACCTTTTCTGCCGTTGTGGTCCATATTTGAGCAGCATTTGATTCAGGTGCCATTAGCAAGCTGTGCAACAGGGCGATCACTTCTGCAGCCATGCTATTTGCCACGTGCCCGCTGATAAAGGGGCGGACGGGGTCAGTCCTGCAAGTGTCCACACAGAAGACTTGTCAATGCCAGTGATGGCTCCAAGTGTACCATCAGAGAGAAATATTCTTTACACACATGAAAAAGTGGAAGGTTTACCTGGCAAGTTCTGAGTTCCTCTCTCGGCAGATGGAAGTTTGGGCAGTTTTCTTCTTATCGCCTGTGGACAGTCCACTCACAGTCTCAGGGTTGAGGGCTTCCACAGGGGGTCCAACGCTGACGATGAGGCCTGACTGTGCCCATTTGGTTGCTTTCCGCAGGGCGGCGGTGGCCTCTTCTGTAATGACTTCACAACAGCCACCCTGGGGGCAGTTTAAGACATTAATTACTCATTTTACTTCTCTCTTCCCCCATTACCAAAGCAAGTCAGGCTCATTTAAAAAATTCAAAACAGGGCTGGGAAGGTGGCTCAGTGGTAGAGTGCTTGCCTTGCATGCATGAGGCCTGGGTTCGATTCCTCAGTACCACATAAGCAGAAAAAGCCAGAAGTGGTGCTGTGGCTCAAGTGGTAGAGCACTAGCCTTGAGCTGAAGAGCTGAGGGCCAGTGCCCAGGCCCAGAGTTCAGGCCCCACGACTGGCAAAAAGAAAAAAATAAATCAAAACAAAGTATTGTGTGTATGATGTTAAATTTCCATGCGTATTTGAGATAACTTTGAGTCTTCTAGATTTTGTCCATGCAAATTCTGATTTCCACAATTATAGGTCCTATTATATGCCTTTACATTTTGCTTTTAGCACTTTTCAGTTTATCATATACTTTATTATAGTTGTATATTTCATTATTCAAACATATGAATTTCATTAACTAATTTTCTATTTATGGATAGATGTAAACTATTTCATTTATTTTCCAAATAAAACTCTGAAGAACATGCTATTCATTTATTTTTGGTCATTTGAGAAGTTAACTTATCCTCACCTTGACAATAATGGGTATTTATATTTTACGTCTTTACTTTTTTTTTTGTTGGTCGTGGGGCTTGAACTCTGGGCCTGGGCGCTGTCCCTCAGCTCTTCAGCTCAAGGCGAGAGCTCTACCACTTGAGCTACAGCGCCACTTCCGGTTTTCTGGTGGTTTATTGGAGATAGGAGTCTCACTGTCTCTCCTGCCCCGCCCGGGCTGGCTTTGAACCTCGATCCTCAGATCTCAGCCTCCTGAGTAGCTAGGATTACAGGCGTGAGCCACCAGCGCCCCGGCCTTACGTCTTTACTTTTATTTATTTTTGTCGATCGTGGGGCTTGAGCTATGGGTCTGGGTGCTGTCCCTCAGCTCTTTAGCTCAAGGCTAACACTCTACCACTTGAACTACAGTGCTACTTTCCCGGCCTTACATCTTTACTTTTATTTATTTATTTTTGTCGATCGTGGGGCTTGAGCTATGGGCCTGGGTGCTGTCCCTCAGCTCTTCAGCTCAAAGCTAACACTCTACCAGTTGAACAACAGTGCTACTTTCGGTTTTCTGGAGATAAGGGTCTCAAAGTCTTTCCTGCTCAGGCTGGCTTTGAACTGTGATCCACAGATCTCAGCCTCCTGAGCAGCTAGGATTACAGGTGTGAGCCAACAGCGCCCAGCTTATTTTACATTTTTATAAATTGTTTGCTATAGTCCTAAATCTATTTTTCTCTTAGCAATCATCGTAATCTCAAAACCATTTGTAGGCTTTAAAAGAGCAAAGAAAAAATTATAAGTAAAAAATAAGAGTTCTCTCTCTCTCTTGTTTTTTTTTTCCCCAATCCTGGGGGCTTGAACTCAGGGACTGGCTACCATCCCTGAGTCTCTTTGTCTTCAAGGCTAGTGCTCTATCACTTGAGCCACAGTGCCACTTTGAGATTTTTCTGAGTAATTTATTGGAGATAAAAGTCTCATGGACTTTGCTGCTTGGGCTGGCTTCGAACTGTAATCCTCAGATCTCAGCCTCCTGAGTATTTAGGATTACAGGAGTGAGCCACACGTGCCTGGCTTCTCTTTTTCTCCCTCTCCCTTGCTTCTTTCCCATTGAGACAGGATCTCAAATTTATCTTGAATTCATGACTCTCCTATGTTAGCCTCCTGAGAAGCTGGGACTACAGACACCTGCTACCATACCTGGCTGCATTAATTTTTAAAAGATTTCTCTTGAAGGTCTAAAGCATGTCAAAGGCTCTTTCATCATAGGTTTTTTCTGAGCAGATCCCCTGTGAGGATTACCTTGGTCATGTCTCGATCCATCTTCACAACTTTCTCCATGTTGGCTCCAGTACCGAGTCGGAAGGGTCGTCCTTCTGAGCTACTGCAAAGGGGAAGGAAGATAGTGAACAGCCAGGAGGGCAATACTCATGGCCATGTGCTGCTAGGCACGGTCAGGATCAGGCTGTTCTGAGATGCTAACACTGGCTTTTTTTTTTTTAATTTTTTATTGTAAAGATACTATACAGAGGTTTACAGTTACATGAGTAAGGTAATGAGTACACTTCCTATTGGGCCTTGTTTACCCCCTCCATTGTTTTCCTCCTACTATCCCTTCCCTCCCTACCTTCCCCAGGTTCTTTTTTTTTTTTTTTTTTTTTTAATTGCTAACACTGGCTTTTAAAACTCATAGTGTGCTAGGGGCATGGCTCAAGTGGTACAGTACAAGAAGCCCTGAGTTCAATCTGTAGTACTCAATAAATAACAGGCAATCCACAGATAGAGGCTTCGTTTTCCAAAAAGGAAACAATTTATTACTGCACAATTATAGCACTTATATAGAGCCACAAACAGCAGCTATTTTTAGTTGTGGTGAAGCTCTAAGAAGCTATGTGAAAATGATGCGCACACAAGAGCTGACTAGTGGGGGTGCTCTGAAGCCAGCTGCAGGGAAAGCCTGATGCCGGAAATAGCAGAAAGCTCCCTCAGTCTCACAGGGGCAGCAAGAGCTGTGGCAGCAGCATGGACCAGTTCTCTCTGCCTAGTAACTCTGTTCCCCCTACCTCCCCAGCAAGCTCCACAAATGTCTTCACCAGATCTGGTCTGTGATTTTGGCAATGCTAAGAAAGTTTCTGCATTACTCTGCCTAAACTAACCTGCTGTGACCCTACAGAGGCAAGGCCATCTTGGCCGACAGTGAATTCATTATGAGAATGACAAAAGGGCCAGAGCCCTTGTTACCCCTCACACAAACACCTTGTGCTGCTCAGTAGGCCTTCCTGCTGCCCCGGATGCCACTAGCAAGGCTCTGTAGATCTATAATATATTTGAACAATAATAATATTTTTGCTTCCTGTTGTGCAATCCTATCACTCATGTGTCAAGGAATTAAAGCTTTAAAAAGCGTTTCCTAAGGGAAAAAAACTAATGGTTTAAATAGGGATACAGGTGGACCCATTGCAACAATGAGATGTACAAGTCGTTATGTCGAAAAACGAACTTTACAACTTTGGCCGGGGGGGGGGGGGGAGGGTAGGGGGGTATGGAGGGGGGGGAGATGGGAAGGGATGGGAAGGGGAAACAAAGGAGGAGGCAACAATGCTTGATAAGAAATGTACTCATTATCTTGCCCATGTAATTGTAACCCCTCTATACGGTATTTTCACAATTAAAAAAAAAAAAAAGTGTTTCCTTTCTTTCCCTCCCACTTTATCTGTTGATGGCAACAGCTGAAACCCAGCTGCATGATTCCTCATCACAGACAATGCGTGGTGTGAGTGTGCAGCACACTCAGGCAACGGCACACCTTAGAGAAGCCCCGAGTTAGGCTCAGAGCTTGGACCAGAGGTCAAGATCTGAGTTCCAATTCTGTTTCACTTTCTTCCTTTTTCCTTAGGGGTCACAGTGGTGATATGGAAGGCCTGAGCCACGGGAGGAGCCATCAACACACAGTGTGGCTGTCACTATAGTCACCTTAGCAACGGCTGGAGGACTTCATGAGAGGACTGGTCTTCTCGCTTGTGAATAAAGATGGAGAGCTTGCCATCCACTGCTTCGCTCTCTTCTCCAGGATCCTTATCTCCTTTTAAGGAGTTCTTGGGACTACTTTTTGTCAGTGTGGTATCAGGTTCAGAAGCAGTTGGGGAAAGAACTGTCTGACATCCTTAAAGCAAAAATCAAAGCCCATTCAGAAAAACTGCAGTAATGTCTGAGCAGTTTCCCAAACTATGAGAGGCTCATTCAAGGAAGCTCCCTCCCACTCCCTGTCTCCCCCAGTCTCCCTCCTTCAACACAGGACTCAGAAGGGAGCTATGCCACCCTCTGGTCAGGAGCTCCTCACCTGGGACTACATAGTCTGCCAGCTTGGCCAAGAGCAGGGAGGCAATCTTGGAAGCTGGATCGCTAGGATCCTCCTGCTCACTGTTCAGGGAGGGGACAGAATAGCTCCAGGGTGGGAGTTCCACGTTCCCACAGTCCTCCACGCTCATCAGAGGCAGGGCTGCTCGACACAGCTGGAGAATGATCAGGACCAGTTTTGGAGATGGCCGCTGGTCAAGCAGCAGGGAAAGGAGCTTGGATACACATGCTGGCTGGCTCAGGATGGCTTTTCCTATGTGGCTCCTACAAAGGGAGCAAGAAGAGCTCACAACCCCGTCTGGAAGGGCTGCCAGCAGTCATGGAGAAGAGCTTCCTGGATGACCTTCAATGAGTGGACCTGGCACTTTTTTTTTTTTTTGGTCAGTCGTGGGGCTTGAACTCTGGGCTTGGGCGCTGTCCCTCAGCTCTTCAGCTCAAAGCGAGTGCGCTACCACTTGAGCCACAGCTCCACTTCTGGTTTTCTAATGATTTATTGGAGATAAGAGTCTCACAGAGGGGCTGGGAAGGTGGCTCAGTGGTAGAGCGCTTGCCTTGCATGCATGAGGCCCTGGGTTCGATTCCTCAGCATCACATAAGCAAAAAGAAAAAAGCCAGAAGTGGTGCTGTGGCTCAAGTGATAGAGCACTAGCCTTGAGCTGAACAGCTGAGGGACAGCGTCCAGGCCCAGAGTTCAGGCCCCACAGCTGCCCCTCCCCCCCCAAAAAAAGTCTCACAGAGTTTCTTGCCCAAGCTGGCTTTGAACTGTGATCTTCAGATCTCAGCCTCCTGAGTAGCCAACGTGTATGCGTGCACGCGTGTGTGTGTCTGTCTGTCTGTCTTGAACTCAAGGCCTTGGCTCTGTCCCTGAGCTCTTTTTGTTCAAGGCCATTGTTCTACCACTTTGAGCCACAGCTCCACATCTGGTTTTCTGGTGGTTCACTGGAGAAGAGTCTCACAGACTTTCCTTCCTGGGTTGGCTTTGAACCACAATCCTTAGATCTCAGCCTCCTGAATAGCTAGGATTACAGGTATGAGTCCACAGTGTCCAGGCTGAGCAAAACATTTGATTAGCATTCACAACTAATCAGTGATACTCTGATTTTCTGATCTATGATATCTCACGTTGGCATGTTCAATTCAGTGTGAGGACTAGACTATACCACCTAAGCTGGGTGCTTTTTTAACAGTCATTTCTTCATAATGTATATCTCAAGGGCAAGGCTGTCACACAGCTTCAGGACTCGCCATGGCTGACTTGTCATCTCCCATGAAAATGTACTGAGCCCAGAGGGAGCTGGAGAACACACTAGAGTATGAGGACAAACCATTGGGTCTCAGGCCTAGACAGGGGTATTAGACCAACGTGGAACCACTCATGTTTAAGGTTAGAGAAGGAAAGCTCTTGGCGGTTCGTGTTGTTTTGCTGGGGGTGGGGTGGTGGAGTGCTAGCACGTCTGCTCTCAAGGCTGTTGCCAGCAAGGTCCCCTACAAAACCCTCCCATTTTAGCACTAATATTTCATACCTCCATTCTCTATTGCTTTTCTTAAAGAACAGGGGTGTCAAAAGGGCCTAAAATTTGGATGTTTAAAAAGACAGCTATCAGCAAAAGGTAGCGTTACCAAAGGGGAAAACAAGCTGCCCTCTAGGCTTTGTGGGCTTCCAAACCTTGAGAGGTCATTGAGGAGGCTCAGGGCATCCTGCAGAGCGTCGTTCCCAGCAGCTTGGTTGCCACAGCACTCGGTTGCTCGGGCAAGATGGTTGGTGAGGAGGCTAGACACCTGACGGGCCAGGCCCGAGTGCACAGCCTCGGTGGAGCCACCTTCAGTTAAAGGAAGAAAAGGAAGAGGACAGTAACTATCTATGGAGGCCATAGACAGACTTCTCCCTTTGGCCTTTCTGCATGACAGCCTCCCCAAGACACATCTTCTTCTTCTTTTTTTTTTGGTCAGTCATGGGGCCTGAACTCTGGGCCTGGGCGCTGTCCCTCAGCTCTTCAGCTCAAGGCTAGCGCTCTACCCCTTGAGCCACAGCGCCACTTCCGGCTTTTTCTGCTTATGTGGTGCTGAGGAATCGAACCCAGGGCCTCAGGCATGCAAGGCAAGCGCTCTACCACTGAGCCACCTTCCCAGCCCCTTCTCTTTTTTTCTATTGTTGCTGTTGTGCCAGTATTGGGGCTTGAATTCAGGGTCTTGCTTTCTTGCTTAGTTTTTCTGTTTATGGTTGGCACTCTACTACCTAAGCCATGCTTCCACCTCTGGCTTTTTCCATTTTACTAGAGATAAAAGTTTCTTTGATTTGTCTGCCTGGGCTGTGATCCTGAGATCTGTCTCTTTTTATTTATTTATTTTTATTTTTAATTTTTATTTTTTTGTTGGTTGTAGGGCTTGAACTCTGGGCCTGGGGGCTGTCCCTCTGCTCTTCAGCTCAAGGCCAATGCTCTACCACTGGAGCCACAACACCACTTCCAGTTTTCTGGTAGTTAATTGGAGATAAGAATCTCATGGAGCTGAGTGCTGGTGGCTCATGCCTATAATCTTAGCTACTCAGGAGGCTGAGATCTGAGGATCACGTTTCAAAGTCAGTCTGGGCAGGAAAGTCCGTGAGACTCTTATTTCCAATAAACCACTAGAAAACCTGAAGTGGCGCTGTGGCTCAAGCAGTAGAGCACTCGCCTTGAGCTGAAGAGCTGAGGGACAGCGCCCAAGCCCAGAGTTCAAGCCCCATGACCGACCAAAATAAAATCTCATGGACTTTCCTGACCCAGCTGGCTTTGAACTGCAATTCTCAAATCTCAGCCTCCTGAGTAGCTAGGATTACAGGTATGAGCCTCCAGCACTCAGCTTTATATATATATATATATATATATATATATATATATATATATATATTTTATTTTATTTTTTTTGCCAGTTCTGGTGCTTGAACTCTGGGTCTGGGCACTGTCCCTGAGCTTCTTATGCTCAAGGCTGGCATTCTACTTCTTGAGCCATAGTGCTACTTCTGGCTTTTTCTGTTTATGTGGTACTGAGGAATCAAACCCAGGGCTTTGTGCATGCTAGGCAAAAAAAATCTACCACTAAGCCACATTCCCAACCCCACAGATCTCAGCCTCTTGATTACTAGTGTGAGCCACCAGTACCCGGCTATGACCTTGTTTCAAAAACAAAATAAAAACAAAAGGGCTGAGGGCATAACTTAATGGTAGAACACTGCCTGTTACGCGAGAGGCCCTAGGTTTATTCCTAATCTAAGAGGAAGGGAAGCCGGGCACCAGTGGCCACACTTGTAATCCTAGCTACTCAGGAGGCTGAGATCTGAGGATTACTGTTCAAAGCCAGCCCAGGCAGGAAACTCCGTGAGACTATTATCTCCAATAAACCACTAGAAAACTGGAAGTGGTGCTGTGGCTCAAGCAGTAGAGCGAGAGCTAGTCTTGAGCTGAAGAGCTCAGAGAATGCACCCAGGCCCACAGTTCAAGCCCCACGACCGACAAAAAAAAACAAAAAAAAAGGGCTGGGAAGGTAGCTCAGTGGTAGAGCACTTGCCTTGCATGTCTGAGGCCCTGGGTTCGATTCCTCAGTACCACATAAGCAAAAAAAGAAAAAAGCCATAAGTGGCACTGTGGCTCAAGTGATAGAGCACTAGCCTTAAGCTGAAGAGCTGAGGGACAGCACCCAGGCTCAGAGTTCAGGCCCCACAACTGGACCCCCCCCCCCCAAAAAAAAAAAAGAGGAAGGGAAGAAAGAGGAAGAGAGGGAAGGGGAGCAAATATGCAACTGCACAATCCTTTCCTAAAAATATGTATGTGGAAACTGTTAGTTGAGCAAGAGATAAAGAAACTGCCTTCTCTGTTTTTTGAGACCCTGTCCTCCTCTAGGGAACTTGGACACAGTGCCACACTGATGTCAAGGCCCTCAGGACATGGTCCACTGGTGAAGCTTATCTGAATAAGTGTAGCAGAGCCTTCCCCTGTCCAGCACAAACAAGTCACAGCCAGTCATGCCAACAGAAGTGTTAGAAGGAGGAGGCCATCCTCACCTTCCTCTTTCTCCCACTCCACACAGCGGTTGGCAAGCACCTGGAAGGCAGCCCAGGCCATGGTGGCCACCTTCTGCTTCTTGGTCTGCTTCTCGCTGGAGCTGGACTCAGTCTGACTGCTCAGGCTGCACAGTCGGTCCATGAGCTGCACAAGGCCGCTGCGGACCAGGCACTTCTCTTCGCTCCTGGCAAAGGGCACAGCACAGATGAAAGAACTGGACAGTCCAGGGAAAACTGTCTATATGCAAAGAACACAAAACTTTGTTTCTTTTTCCTTCTTGTTTTACTTGGCAGGTGGTATGCCGAGCCACACCCCAACCCTTGTTTTGCTTTGGTTATTTCTGAGATAGTTTTGCTTTTTGTCCAGGACTTGCCTGAATTCCTCCTATTTTTGCTTCTGGTGATAGCTGAGATGACAGGCATCTACCACCATCCCCAGCTTCTTCCACTGAGGTGGAATCTCAAGGACTCTTTTTGCCCAGGCTGACTCAGAACCCTGATATTCTTGATCCCAGTCTCTTATGTGGCTAGGATGACAGGCACTCACCATCACGCTGTTATTGGCTGAGAAACTGTCTTGGGAATTTATTTCCCAGACTGACCTCAAACCTTAGTCGTCTCGATCTTAGTCTCCCAAGTAGCTAGGAATACAGATGTGAACTTCTGGCTTCTTATAATGACAATTTCCTTCATATACAAAAAAAGTCCCTCAACTTCTGTTCACATAATACAGCAAAAGTTTCCATAATAGAAAAATTATCATAAGAGTCATTAAAGATGGCACAAGTGCCTGACAACTCAAACTAGTAATTAAAATGACCATAGCCATGCAAAACTTTCCACCAAATATGTAAGTAATCTCCTAGGGGTTTTCTCTGAGGAGAAGGTTTCTTTGACCCTCCTCATCTTCACAGTGCGGTACAATCCATCATAAGTGAGTACTGGATAATAAAAGCATAATCAGCTGGAATGCAACTATACATGGGAAAGGCTGTTCTGTACTCACCTGGTATAAGGGATGGTACATAAGAGTCCAATGCTGTTGGCGCATGCGATAGGATAACGAGCACACAGAGACACAACCGAGGTCATGGTCTCACCAAAGGCTTCTTGGACCTGCTCCACCATCCCACCACAGGTGAGCTCTTCAATTCTATGAAACACAAATCAAAGCACATGCCTCCTGAACATGTCCATGACACAGATTGTGACTAGGGGAACAGAAGAGTTCCTTTGAGAAGCCCAGGGCCTCAGGAGGATCCCACACCAAAGGCACACCAGAACATACCATGCTCAGGGCCATAAAATACAGACCACACAAGACCATTGGGCAGGGTGTCTCTGTGTGCTTGGACACAGTGGTCCACATTCTAAAAGCAAGTCTGGGATATCCTAGCTTAGGGTAAGTTAAACAGGACTTTTTCTGTAGGACTTTTCAGAGCATGTTTGTTTTGTTTTTTTCAGAGTATGTTTGGCAAGGCTAATGGACACAGTGTTTTCTAAGGACAATGTTAGGCAAACTATTCATTTGAACATAGGTACAATATTCCTCACAGCACTCAATACTGTAATCACAGATGCATTAATGAGAAAACCAAGGCCCAAATAAATCAGCTAATGTACTTGTTAAGTTCATGCTCCAATTATTAGTGAAGTCCAAGAGCCCAGTTGATATGAGTAAGACTTTTACAAACACAACATAGGGCTGATTCTATAGTAATTAATATTAACTGAGAATAGAAACTCCAAGATTGCATGCATATATATATATATATATATATATATATATGTATTTTTTTTTTTTTTTGGTCATGGGTCTTGAACTCTGGGCCTGGGCGCTGTCCCTGAGCTCTTCAGCTCAAGCCAAGTGCTCTACCAGTTGAGCCATGGTGCCACTTCCGGTTTTCAGGTGATTAATTGGAGATAAGTCTCATGGACTCTTCTGTTTGAACTGTGATCCTCGGATCTCAGCCTCCTGAGTAGCTAGGATTATAGGCGCAAGCCACTGTCACCTGACCCAATATACTATTTTTATAATAGCAAAAGTAAGACTGAGGCAAGGTTAAAAAAAACCAGGGGATTGGTTAAGGAGTAAGACCCTTCTTGAGGCGTGTGTGGGTGAAGCAACAGCAGGAACAACTGACCTGGGTCCCCCCTGGAGGACCATTGTCACTGGCCCTACCAGGTGAGTCACTCCCCCGACCCGCACAGCCGCTGTCAGCAACTCCCGCATGTGCACCAGGGCCTGCTTGCGTGTGTTTCCCCGCCGCCACCTTGTCTGTGCAGCCAGAAGAAAGCTGCTGCTGGACACCTGAAACATAGGAGGAGGAAGCTCCTGATTCTGCAGACGGCCACAAGCCCCGCCACATCATTCCTCTGAGGGCTGCAAAACGTCACCTACTGCCTGGTCAGGGTTGGTGCCAATGAAAGCGAAGAGCTGCCCCAGCAGAACACTGTAGGTGGGCTTGTCCCTGCTGTCCTCAATAGCCAGTGACTGCAGGAGTGTGAAGGAACTGCTGCGGTGGCTGGCCCCATGGCGACGCCTACAGGGAAATGAAAGAAGCAGTAGACCAGCCAGACAAGAGCCACACTTGGGGAGTTGGTTCTGACAAGTACATTCTTCTACATGTGAGCTCTAACCTTGGCCACAGGCCATTTACCTCTGATTAGCTCTAGTGAATTCTAGATCTTCATTTCCAATCATTTCCAGGTCAGAAGGAGCCGACATGCTGCGAAGAAAAGCCGGCTGCCGGACAGCATGAGATATCACTTTAGTTTCAGAAGCTGATTTACAAGCTGGAAGAAAAACAAATATAAGCTAACATCTCCACCACTGCATTGTTTATTTTGTTCTTGTGTGCAGTGGTGGGGATCAAACCAGGGCTTGTACAGGTGAAGCCAGTGCCCCACCACTGAGCTCTACCCCAACCCTCTGCTTCCGAACTCACAGCAACAGCAAAACTTAAGAGAACTAACTACCAAACAGAATGGATCTTTGCTTTCTGTCAGGGTCAGCTAGCACAGCATACTGGTAAATTTCAGACCAAAATTTTAAACTCAAATATCAGGCTCAAATTAGTTTAGCTTGAAAAATTAATTTTCCTAATTGGTCTTCCAAAAGAAAGTTGAAAAATTATTTTCGTAAGTGTGCTCATTTCAATATAAACATTCTAAAAAGCAAGAGAGGACATAGAATAATTTCTGCAAGAACAAGTTTCTTAATTCACATAAATCCAGAGCCATTTTTGCCGGGATGGCCTTTGTCTCTCTTTGGCTCCCTCATGGCAATTTGGTTGATGGTTCTCCTGTAACCAGAGCTGGTAGAGCCAAGGATCCACCTTGAGCTGGAATGTGACTGGCCTTTCCTGTTAGACATTTATTTTTTTTATTTTTTATTTTTTGGGTCCAGTCGTGGAGCCTGAACTCTGGGCCTGGGCGCTGTCCCTCTGCTCTTTAGCTCAAGGCTAGTGTTCCACCACTTGAGCCACAGCACCACTTCCGGCTTTTTTCTTTTTTTGCTTATGTGGTGCTGAGGAATCGAACCCAGGGCCTCAGGCATGCAAGGCAAGCATTCTACCACTGAGCTACCTTCCCAGCCCTAGACAGTTATTAAGGGAAATCATTTTATAAAAGACTACTGAAATAGAAGCCAGGTACTAGTGGCTCACACTTATAATCCTATCTACTCAGGAGACTGAGATCTGATGATTAAGCCAGCTAAGCAGACAAATCTGACTCTTATTTCTAATTAACCACAAAGAACTGGAAGTACAAGTAGGTTCAAGTGGTAGAGCACCAGCCTTGAGTTAAAAGCCAAGCAAAAGCAAAAGGCCCTGAGTTCAAGCCCCAGTACTAGCAAAAACACAAACAAAACAGCAACAACAACAACAACAAAAACCAAACTCGTGGGCTATGCCCAGTATTGTGGATCTGTCTTAGGCAAGAAGACTCACTGATTTCCTTGAGAGACACAGTAAAAGGCTAACAATTAAAATATGACCAAGAGCCGGGCACTGGTGGCTTACGCCTGTAATCCTAGCTACTCAGGAGGCTGAGATCTGAGGATCGTGGTTCAAAGCCAGCCCAGGCAGGAGAGACTGTGAGACTCCGATCTCCAATAAACCACCAGAAAACCGGAAGTGGTGCTGTAGCTCAAGTGGTAGAGTGCTCGCCTTGAGCTGAAGAGCTGAGGGACAGCGCCCAGGCCCAGAGTTCAAGCCCCACGGCCGACAAAAAAAAAAAAAAAGAAATAACAATCTTCTCATAAAAATAAAATGACCAAGAAATTGGTCATATTTTATTGACAAAATTGACAAAAACTTAAGCAGAAAGTTCCATATAGCTTCTATAGAGGAAATGCAGGCTCAGCTCCTATCAAGAAGCAAGGATGATGCATTCCAAGACTTACACGTTGGCTGTTTATACTACTGTGAACTATTATGTTTTTGGAGAAACCATGAAGAACACAGGGGCAATACATGTCGTTGGGCCTCCAGAGGCAGGCAAGGAAGTGCCACTGAGGCTGGGTGACTCAGAAACCACCACAGGAATCCAAGTACTTTGTGACCAGAGAAAGCTAAAGATAAACAGAGAAATGTTCACAGGCCCTACCCCATGCTTTTTGGTAGTAGGGTTTTAACTCAGAGTCACATGCCAGCAAGGCAGGAATTCTATCACTTGAGCTACGTCCGCAGTCCATTTTGCTTTCTTATTTTTAGCATCAGATCTCTCCTGTATGCCAGCTAGGACTGTGATCTTCCTATTTATGCTTCCCAGGTAGCTAGGAGGACAGCCACTGGTTGAGATGGGATCTCACTAACTTTTACACCAGATGGCCTCAACTCTGATTGATTCCCTCTTGAGTAACTGTAATTACAGGTATGAACTACTGAAACTGGCCCAGGAGCAAAGTCTTTTAAAAGTAAATAATGTCTGTTCGATGAGGAGAATCAGCCCAGAAGCCCACGAAGCCTCTGGGGGCAGTACCTGGTGTCTCTGTGGGGGTCCCCGAGAAGCTCCTGGCGAGGCCTGTCTGGGCCGCAATAGTGACATGCAGCAGCAACTCAGCTCGGTTCATCAGACTCCTCACCAGGGCCTTTGTTTTGGCCAGTGGGTGTGAGGGCTTCTGAGTAAGAGAATTCACTTCTTGTAGGAACTTCTCCCTATAAAGAAACACTGAGGTATATTTACTTGTTCTTAGACTTGCCAAAACAAATTTTTTTAAAAAATGACACAGGACAGAGGGACAGAGGACAGAGGAAAACTAAGGCAGAGTATCCTAATAAACTTGGTTTACTGAGGGGAGTAGAACTATAACCTCTGGCTGGTTTTAGCTCTTTTTCTGTTTCAAATGCCTACGAAACCTTTTGAAGATTTGAGTCAAAGCTTCCAATTTACTACATGAGTTTCAACTCATGTATCTCATGACAGCACATTAAAAAGGACTTAAAGAGCTTTAATAGTTAGTAGCATCACTAACCTGAGTGATAGGACCATGTTTTCAAGATCATTTCCATCAAAGGAGACTTCCTTCATTGAACACAAAAGTTCTAGTTCTTTCATTTTGTTCTGAAGAAGGAAAAATCAAGAAAAGATGGTATGCAGAATCTATGAAAATCAAGCTTCACTAAATAGTTATTAAAATGAACAGAAAATGTAAAGGAATAAGCATTACCTTTGGGCCACTTACAGTTACACTAAAAGTACTTTGCAAGTTATGATTTGTGTATGTGTGGGGAGGGGGTAAACACTGCGTCTTAATGGAGATGGAACCCAGGGCCTTGGGAATGCAAGGTAGGCAGGCATCTACCACGGAGCTACATCTCCAGCCCAGTCTACTTTTTCACTGTGTAGCTAGGGCTGGACTCAAACTCCAGTTCTCCTGCCCCACCTCCCTGGACCTCTCTCCCAGGAGCTGCAATTACAATGCTAATTTCCACATGTCCCTGTTGCTGGCCTTTCCTCAGTTTACATTCTGTAGACAGAATTCCAACACACTGTTCCATTCTCACAGATCACCAGACAGCCTCTTATAATCCCACTTCATCACATGGACTAACATTTGGCTATTTTCCTTCTCATCTTTTCTTCTCCCACGTTGTTAGATGTTTTGATGATTAAAAACTGCATGGTCGGGTCTGGGAAGGTGGCTCAGTGGTAGAGCGCTTGCCTTGCATGCCTGAGGTCCTGGGTTCGATTCCTCAGCACCACATAAGCAAAAAGAAAAAAGCCAGAAGTGGCGCTGTGGTTCAAGTGGTAGAGGACTAGCCTTGAGCTGAAGAGCTGAGGGACAGCGCCCAGGCCCAGAGTTCAGGACCCACGACCAGACCCAAAAAAAAACTGCATGGTCTACTTTCTTGTGCTATCTGTGGGATTTATAGTTCTATCTAATTTTTGCCTTTTTAACACTTGATAGCAAAACTTGATATAAAATATTGATAAATTCTTTAGGCTTTATTAACTTTACTCAGTTAAGAATATCTATTTGTATAGACATGTTGATGTAATCTGTTTTCATTTAATCCCTTTAAAAACAGGCGTGTTATTAAGAAGAGACATTACCTTATCTCTGCACATGTGTGTAGCACACACATACACACAATGCCTTTGCTCTATAAATGGCACTGTCCCTTTGGGGAGCCCTGGACATGGCTCACCTCATTAAAATGGTAATCATAAAAGAAAGGCATGTTGTTCTCCAGTCTCCCTTGAATGGCATCTTCAACCTCACTTTGCCACTTCTGTTCCAGTTCTGCAACACTCTAAGAGAAAAAACAAACAAACAAACCAGTCTCTAAACAGATGCAAAATGAAAACAAGAGCAATCAATAAATTCATATATATAGATATGTATATATCTATATATAGATATAGATACATATATCTATATAGAGATATATATATGGGTTTTTGTGCCAGTCCTGGGGACTTGAACTCAGGGCCTGGACACTATCCCTGAGCTTCTTTTTTTTGTTCAAGGCTAGCACTCTACCACTTGAGCCACAGTGCCACTTCTGGCTTTTTCTGTTTATGAAATACTGAGGAATTGAACCCAGGGACTCATGCATGCTAGGCATGCTCTACCACTAAGCCACATTCCCGGCCTCATATATTTTCTTGTCACAGTAATTAAAAAAAGACTTAGATAATGGTTTGAACTTACTGTTGGTTTGGAGGAACTGGGGATTGCATCCAAGACCTCACATTTGCTAGGTAAGTGCTCTACCACTTGAGCTTTACCCCCAGCCAGCTCTTTTGTTTTGATTTTGTTTGTGAGATAGGGTCTCATTACCTCTGCATTGCTGACCACAAACTCAAGTCCTCCTGCCTCAGATTGCCAAGTTGCTGTGATTATAGAGCCGGCTACGTTTTAAACTTCTCCAACTTGCCAGAGAGAAATGATCTCCAACAGTTATAAGACATGTAGAAAAGTCTTAGCTTTCACTCACTTGCAGCTGTCTCTCCATGGCATTAAGCTTCTTAAAGGTCTCTCCCATGATTTTACACAATAAATCATATTCCTCTGCATGTTCTTCTTGATATTGGAAATTGATTAGAGACTGCAGTGCATCAACCAAGTTCAAGTGCTTAATAACACATGATACCACCATCTCCTCCATCACATCCGGCTGAATCACTTCTCTGTATGACAGTGGAAATCTGTTAGGTCTAAGCCAAGCTCTCAATTTATCAACACTGAGCTGGGTAAGCTGAAGACTGCAGTCTTTGACTTAAATGTCTCACTGAGCCACCATACCTCCTCTATTACACTACTGTAAGGGTGTGAACAGTGTAGGTATTGTAGGTGGCAAATCATTCACTGGTAGATTTTTTTTTTTTTTTTGGTGCCAGTCCTGGGGCTTGAACTCAAGGCCTTAGTATTATCCCTGAGCATTTTTGCTCTAGTCTAGCACTCTACACCACTGCAGCCACAGCTCCACTTCCTGCTGTTTTGGTAATTAATTAGAGATAAGCATCTCACAGTTTTCCTGCCTGGCTGGCTTTGAATAGTACCCTTCAGATCTCAGCCGCCTGAATAGCTAGCTAGAATTACAGGTATGAGCCACTGGTACCTTACAGAACTTTTAAGGGTTAAAAGAATGAAAATCAAAACTAAATATACTTCCTCTAGCATTTGTATGTTGAATTAGAACAGTGTGCTGGCACCATTTATATACTAATTTTTTGTAGTATTCAGGTGTGTGGAATTTAGTACATATGTGTTCTAGGATGAAAATAATGGCTTCTTTGGTATTTGTTTCACTTTAAGTTTCATCTGTTCCTTAAGTTTTGTGTTTTGGAATGACCAATCTTGCCTTTCAAGGCAGCGCAGAGGCCTACAAAAGAGACTTTAAACAGGAACAGCACTAACACATTTGTGACTGCAAGGGTGCATATTCACTATTTCTCTAGAAGTCAAAGATAAAGTCATATCCAGACTCTGAGCAGGCCCCACCCCCAGAGTTCTGATTCAACAGGTATGCAACAGGTCACTGGCTAACAATGATCCAGGTGCTCCCACCACAGCCAATGGGAACAGCGCAGCACAGGATGAGCACTTTTAACTGGGCACCAGCTGAGGGGTAGCTTGCGTTCCCACTTCCTGTTCATTAATATTTGTGAGGACGTGCGCTCTACCACAGAGCTCCAATAAACATACAATTCAAGGTTCACTTACAGGACTATGAAAAGAAACACCCCCTTCACTGTCTAAACATCCCTCCCCGCCAATTGGAAAAAGTAAAATGTGACATACTTTATACTTGGTCTGAACTGAGGTCTAGCACGCCCAGAAATTTCCCTGAGCTTTATCATGACTCCGGGAGGCAGCCTGATCCGGGGCAGGTCGAGGTAGCCTCCGGCAGGGGGCACGAGGACATCCGAGGGGTAAGTGAACTCTCTGTCTTCCTCTATGGTGAGAGGCAGTGGAGATGGGCTTGGAGTGAGGGCAGGGGAGATGACGCCATTAGCTTCCACTTGCCATTGGCACCTGGCAGAGAGAAAAGAGCTCTTCAGTCTCAGATCAGGCCTCCTGGGAAACTGATGTTTAGAGACACATCACACATATATATTAAGTATTTTTTCATCAAATCTTCAAAGACAAAAAGAGAAGTGAGACTCGAACAAGAGCACACCTTGGGAATCTACCTCCTCCCAACTTTTTATTATGAAAACATACAGAGAAATGAAAAGAATATCACATGCCACTGCCTGGCTCTACAGTCAATATATGGTCATGTCTAGCTATCATTTTGGGGACCCTTCAATGGTGCGACACTCGGGTTGGAGAAAAGCTTATGCAGTTCAAATATGTAAATTTAATTTAGCACAGCGAAGGCCAGAAAGCACTATGGCATAACTTTCATGTTCTTTTTCAGGCATAATGACACCCATGACAGGGTCAGGCAGCAGGCACAATTCACTAGGAAACATAATAGAAGTAGTTTCCCTGTCATTATGTGGTTCCCATTAGAGGAGTTTTCTTTTTCCTCTGTGGGCAAGAGTGGCTCAATTTGAACCCTTGTGTTACCTTTGCAAAAGTTTGGACCGCAATAGCTCCTGGCAGGCTTCTTCTTCTTTGGTAATTTCTGGTCCATTGTACAGGATTCTTAACATGGAACAAGCTAACACAGACAGACCTAAAGCCAGGTCTACCAGGAAGGGCAAGCCTCCTGAGACGTCCTCCGAGGACTCCTACAATGCAGACAGGGGCAAACCACACACGTCAGTGGACACCGGACTGCACTGTCCCCAGCCGGGCCTCACCAGGCGTCTCATGCCAGGGCTCAGGGACACAGGCAGAGAGTGCTCAACACCATGAGGAGATGGTGGCCCTGGGATGGCTACTGAGTGAGCCCTCACCACAGCTCTGTTCAGACCCGGCATAGAAATAGCACGAACCACAGCAAGAAGCCAGCTTCTCTGTGGACTTCCTTTGCACTGTCCTATGCAGGTACAGATCACTGTTCCGTTTGTTGCTTCTACCCTGTGCTCAAACCATGATGTTGAAATTTGTTTAGGAAATACCTGAGTGCCTCCTATGTAGCAGCCAGTTCTAGGGAGATGGAGATATGTGAGAAGGCAAAACAAATGCCCTGTTCTCATGGAGCTTAGACGCTAGCAGACAGGCCCACTATGGAAGAGCTTGGTTAAGCTTATGCAATCGCTAAGTCTAAAATGCATTTTTAAAATCCAGAAACTAGAACATTGCTCAAGTAGAGTTCCTACTGTTAAGATCCAGATTCCAAGTGTTAGATTATGTCTAGAGTGTTTGAGCAGAAGACGCTGGGGATGAGTTCCTCCCCAGGCAGGCCTTGAAGAGGAGCCCTGTCCATGGATTATTTTTGTGCCACTGAACTGACTTTAGGTCACGGCTGTCTCACTCCATCAAACAACACTAACTCGTAGTCACTTCCTACTGGCAGATGGAAGAGACGGATGACAGAGTGGCTCATATTCTGCCCTGTTTCCAAGGCAAATATGATGTATGTCGCCAAGGCACACAGGAGATAGCACACTTTGTTAGATTCAAGTACCTGAGCGCGGACTGTGCAAGCAAAGCCCCACATAGCTTTGTCAGGAGTGTTGTGTTCACGGCCACTTCTCATTTCAAAGGAGAAGGTGACTGTATCGCCTTCCACCTTAAGATTGAAGGGGGGAGAATGCACTTTAAAATCAAGACACAAAATGTTTCAAGAGAACATTGTATTTCAGAGATTTACTTCCTTTTCTTTTTTTGAGACAGGGTCCTTCTGTGTAAGTCGCCCCAGTAGTTACCATTCATTATAAGCAGGCACTGAGGCTGCCTCAGAAATGAGATTTACTTTCTACAGGACCATAGTAATACCTGACTCCTTTGTGTGTGTGTGTGTGTGTGCACGCGCACGCACGCGTGCACACGCCTACACATACATGTTGTGGTTTAAACTGAGGAGTTTCTGTCTGCTAAGCAGGTAGTCTACCACCTAAGCCATGCCCCTTGCCCTTTCGACTTTAGTTATTTGGGGGATAGGGTCCTATGTTTATGCCTGGGTCAGCCTGAACTACAATCCTCCTATTTATGCTTCCCACACTGCTGGGAGGACAGGTGTATGACACCACACCCAACAACTAGTTGAGATTGCTAACTTGCTGCTTTGCCCCAGCTAAACTTGAAGTTTGATCCTACCCATTTCCTCCAGAGTAGTTGGGGTTACTGGCCTGAGCCACTGCACCCAGCACCTCTCACTTGTTTTTGCATTCAAATTTCATCCCTTCTCATTTAGACACCAATCTTTCAGGTGTCTCTCCTGACCAGATAGCTTTTGGATTGAGGCATCTGTGAAATGGGCCATGACTGGATCAGAATGAAGATCAACCAAATAAACTCCTCATTCTATTCCTTTTTCACTCCCTTTGCTTCTTCCCTCACTGTATCACTAAGGCGGGCAAGTGGCCAGTCCTTCGGAAAAACGTGATGCTGGAGGGCATGCTCCACACTGCAGAACCAGGTCCATGGGTAAGAACACAAGGCAGCCAGAGGACAATCAGCATGTGCTGCCCAGATTTAGATATCGCCAGATCACACCCTGGACAGAATTAAAGATGCCACATCCTATACACAATAAACAGAAAGTCTGTTTCCCTCTGTCCTCAGGAAACAGACTTTGAGTACACTGTGGGGTTAAGGGGTTTTTGAGCTCATGTCACATTCTAGATACCAAGAAGTAGCTGAAGAGCCTATATATAAATCATGGCCTTAATCCCATCAGTTTGAGCAGGGATTATAGCTACCTCCAATGGCCCAAATTCACTTGAATAATTAACTTACCTAACTCAATATTTGTAAGTTGCAACAGTGCTGTGTGGTTCTAGGCTAGTGGTCTGTCATGAAGGAGTCTGGAGAAGTAACTGGAAGAACTAGTAGCCCTTTCCATGGAGGGGAAGGCAGAGCCATGGCACACTCTGCAAGAAGGGGCCAGTGCAGGGGACCCAGCTCTGAAATGCACAGGGGTCTGGCTTCCTACACATGGGGGGAGTCATCTTGAATGGAAGAAGTTCAAAGGTCTGGCAAAATTGCCCTTTTCTATCAAGGCTGATGTGGCCAGTGCTTCCTGGCATTATGGTTAGTGCCCAGGCCACGATGAACCTAAATTCACCTTTGCTTTCTAGAAGGCAATTGTGACTGGATACCATACCTTCACCAAGTCCTTCGGCCAACCAGTTCCTAAGACACTACGGCTGCCATATCCCAGAGTATTGCCTCCATATTCAGCAACCTTCCTACTGTTTGTGTTAGGCCCCGCGTATATCACCAACTTCAAAACAGAAAATAGACTGTTAGACTGTAAAAGAAAAACAAAAACAACATCTACCAATAAAAAGGCTGCAAAAATATTTGTTTAAAAACACATTTATAACCAGGCATTGGTATTATTACAACATAACTAATATGTCTTAACTAATTCTAGTTCAGAGGCCATCAGCCATTGGCATTAACGGGACAGCCACAGACAAATAACAATGATAAAAATTAAAAGCTATATTTTTATATTATCAAGTATTGTTGGCAGTAAAATTTAATTCAGTTATGCATATACATTTTTCATATAGCTATTTTAATCCTAATTAATTACATATGATTCACTAGTAACAGAATTTGACCCCAAATTTAATAAAATGTGCACATACAGATAGGCAGATGGTTAATATCCAACACAACAAAATAGAAGCACCAAAAAAAAACCCCTCCAATGAAGAAATAAGGATTTTAAAAAATGCAACAAATTGAAAACAAGCCATATATTCTTATAATATGCCTAATGGTGTAAGAACGTGACACAAACATAGGCTAGAAAGGGGTCTGTTTCTTCCTGGGTCCATTTTCACATGTCAGTGCTTTCTTCCATAAAGAAATCACCTGGCTTTCTAAATGGAGGTGGAACACTGACAGCTTACTTCGCATTCAGAGTTCCAGAGAAAAACTAACGTCTGATGACTCTGCACTGCATTTGCATCTCTAGGCTTGGATGCTTATCAGGATGATTTCTTATCCTTTCTGGACCTTAGGCTGACACCAGCAAGGGAGCACTGGAAAGTAAATGTACTTCCAATATGTCTGGAGCCTTTGTGCCTTATAATGTACATCAATGTCCATCATGGTATAACTTAGAGCACATAAGAAGATGTAAATTATTCTTTTTATAGGAGAAATCAAATGATACAAAGTGGAGTAGGCACCTTCCATTGTCATATTAAACAGTCACTTCACCTGAACCTAGGAAATGGTGTAGCTAAGTAAATGCCAGGAGCCATGGAGCAGGCTAGGCTGATGCCATTGGATATAATTTTTTTTAATATATAAATATATTTATGTAATACATAAAATATATTTATATAACAGTACATAAATATATTTATAAAGTATATTATATGACATACACATTTACATAATATATAAATATACATACATATATATATATATATATTTTTTTTTTTTTTTTTTTTTTTGGGTCCGGTCGGGGGGCCTGAACTCTGGGCCTGGGCGCTGTCCCTAAGCTCTTCAGCTCAAGGCTAGCGCTCTACCTCTTGAGCCACAGCTCCACTTCCGGCTTTTTTCTTTTTGCTTATGTGGTGCTGAGGAATTGAACCCAGGGCCTCAAGCATGCAAGGCAAGCGCTCTACCACTGAGCCACCTTCCCAGCCCTATATATATATTTTTTAAGGCCTACCAAAGACCATCTTTTTTATTTCTTGCTTCTAGCTAAGAAGAGTCCTGGGGACAAGCCTAAAACCTCTCCAGGCATCTGGGACTCCTGACCCTCCTAAAAGATAGTGGGGAGAGGTTCTGCAAATTCCAGTCATGTGTTATACCATCTCATGGCAGACATAGTTAAGAAGTTCTTTTCTTTTTTGCTGGTGCCAGGGTTTGACACAATCAATCAGGCTTGCTGGCTTGCTTGACTGGCTAGCACTCAACCACTTGAGTTGTACCTTCAGCCCTGCTTAATTTAGCTGGTTACTTTGGAGATGGACTCTCTTGAACTTTTCTGTTGAAGCTGGCCTTGAACATTAATCCTCTGAATCTCAAGTCTCCTGAGTAGCTAGGATTATAGGTGTGAACTGCCAGTGTCTGGCTTAGAAGTACTTCATTTTTAACCTAAAAGCCACTCCTGGAGAGTGGGAGTTAGGGCCATCTGCCCAGCTTACAGGTACAGAGGTAGCATGTGACTCAGAGCTTTTTGTAGTAGTGTCCTCAGCTAATCCTTCAGCCTTTGTCATGTTGTATATCCCACTTTCATTGCCTTTCCTCAGGTCCATATGCTCGTCTATGATACACAATTAACAGCAGGAAACAAGACTTCAGCCCTCAGATACTTCTTTTTTCTTGAGAACTGTTGAAGTACTAATTGGAAACCACTCTTTCTGAAAATCTACCTAGCAATGGTAAAGAACAAGAATGAATGTATGTGAGTGTGTGTGTGTGTGTGTGCGCGCGTGCGTGCGCACGCGCACATGCTCCAGATTCTAGCAAATTCTGGAAGCCCACCTTCACCCCAAGATATATGAGCAGTTCCCGGAATTGGGCCTTCCTAGATGAATGGCTATCACATTATCTACCAGCGTCCCAAGAGGGAAGGCAGGAAGTCAGCAGAATAGAAGGCAATTGTCCCTTGACTCAGAACTGAGCTGTTGAAAGCTTGTCACAAAGGTATGCTCTTTCAACATGTCATCGGAACATTGCTCTGAGACTGCAGAGGTGGTGCTCCTTAACTCCCTCAAGCACGACCCTTCAAGGCACTATGTGAGGAAAGTCCTCCTCAGAGCTATCTGCAGACAGAAATAAGTCAGGACTGGTGGCCAGCAGCAAAGAAAAATAAGAAGCACTAAGAAGGGAATTCACTAGAGCGGTAGCAATATAATCTACTCTTGCTTACTTTGTCATAGTCATACTGTGAAGAGCACCTGCTGTCAAATCTCAGGTACAGGCAGCGAGCTCCAGGAATATGGACGGTCTCTTTAAACTTATAGTTGTCTCTGACGGGGTGAACTGTTTCCACGGTCTTCCCAGCAGCCCATGGGGCAGGAATCTTTAACCCAGTGAGGAAGCCTGGCTCTTCCTTCTCCTCCAGCACTCTACAAGCGGAGGAGGAACAGTGGAATGGCTCAGCAGCAAGTAAAAGCAAATGGTGCAAAATAGCACGTTCCATTTTCCATGGAGCACCCAGGAATACTGTTTTCATTAGTTCTTAGGTACTACATTACTTACATGGTAATATATAACCTTAGCATACATAAACATATGTTTGGATTTCCCCCTTTTTTTCCTATGGAGAAGTCTGCTTGATTTACAGGAGACCTCACTAACTTTCGTGTAAGGTTACTGGGGGGGTGGGGTGGGGAGAGACTGTAAAGAATCTAAGATTGGCATCTTTCCAAACCCTGTAGGCTTACTTCCCTGTGAAATTCCCTTTGGTGGGTGTTCATGCACCAGATGCCCAAAATTCCCCAATTCTACGTCACTCATTCCTGCTGGGATTTCTACTAGCAGAACGTGCCTCAGAATGCAGAATGCAAACTCCTAAAACCCGAGCCGTGGCTTTGACCTCCTGTTTTCTTTCAACTCCAGTGGTTGCAGAGCTGCACCGACTAACAATGCAGCTGCTACATTGGATTTCAAAGAAATAAAATGTGAAGCCCGTCTCTCAGTTACAGGGGCTTTGGATGGCACAGATACAAGTTTTCCTCAGTGCAACGACTCGCTGCATACATAGCTAAACCTGGAAAATCCCTTCTGACCAATCTTGAATGAAACAGATAAATAACACACTGCAAACATTTACAACATGCAACCTGGCAAGTTTTGATATTTGCATAGAGCCACAAATTTCCTTCTTTCCCTCTGCCACCTGCCCTTGTTCCCTGGGGCAATCACTGGATAGCAGCCTGCATTTTCTAGAGGTTGATATAAAGGGATCTGCGGTGTGTGACTGGCTTCTTTCTCCCAGTGCAAGTACTCTGAGTCCACCCAATGTGCTGTTCGCCCACGGCCTGTGTTTTGCTGCTGGGGAGAAGCCTCTTCTGGGACAGCCCACAGTTTTCCATTCCCCCTGCTAAGGGACACTGGGTTCTTTTCAGTTGTGAGTTTTGTTCACTAAAGCCATTATAAACCTTCAGGTCTGAAATATACAAACTAACAAAAAACTATAGCTAGGTCATATGGTAGGCGTATAAGTAACTTTTTGGGGGGTCCAGTCATGGGGCCTGAACTCTGGGCCTGGGCGCTGTCCCTCAGCTCTTCAGCTCAAGGCTAGCGCTCTACCACTTGAGCCACAGCGCCACTTCTGGCTTTTTTTTTCTTTTTGCTTATGTGGTGCTGAGGAATCAAACCCAGGGCCTCATGCATGCAAGGCAAGCGCTCTACCACTGAGCCACCTTCCCAGCCCCGTATGAGTAACTTTTAAAGAAAAGAAGGCAGCCAAGTATGGTAGGTTGTGCCTAGTGATGTGGGAAGCTAATAGGAGTTTCAGTGGAACCCATCAAATTGGAGCCGACCTGGGAAACACAGGAAGACCTTGCTCCTTACAACAAAACAGGACAAAACAACAAAATCTCCTGAAATTGGTTTGGAAAGGGAGGGTAGGGAGGGTGAAGGAGAGTGACAGAGGAGTAAGTCTGATCAAGGTACATTGTATACACATGTGGACATGGGAAAATGAACTCCTCCTTTTTTTTGTCGGTCGTGGGGCTTGAACTCTTGGCCTGAGCGCTGTCCCTGCGCTCTTCAGCTCAAGGCGAGTGCTCTACCACTTGAGCTACAACACCATTTCCCGTTTTCTGGTGGTTTATTGGAGATAAGAGTTTCATGGAGGGCTGGGAAGGTGGCTCAGTGGTAGAGCACTTGCCTTGCACGCTCAAGGCCCTGGGTTCGATTCCTCAGCACCACATAAGCAAAAAGAAAAAAGCCGGAAGTGGTGCTGTGGCTCAAGTGGTAGAGCGCTAGCCTTGAGCTGAAGAGCTGAGGGACAGCACCCAGGCCCAGAGTTCAGGCCCCACTACCGGACCCAAAAAAAAAAAAAAAAGTTTCATGGACTTTCCTGCCTGTGCTGGCTTTGAACTGCGATCCTCAGCTCTCAACCTCCTGAGTAGCTAGGATTATAGGTGTGAGCCACCAGCGCCCGGCTTTATTTTTTTTGGGGGGGGGGGGTTGTTTGTTTGTTTGTTTGTTTTGCTGGTTGTAGGGCTTGAACTCTAGGCCTGGGCACTGTCCCTGAGCTCTTCAGCTCAAGGCTAGCACTCTACCACTTGAGCCATAGTGCCTTTCCGGCCTTTCCTGGTTATGTGGTGCCGAGGAATCGAACCCAGGGCCTTATGCATGCGAGGCAAGCACTCTACCACTGGGCCACCTTCCCAGCCCCCCCCCCTTTTTTTTGTCGGTTTTGGGGCTTGAACTCTGGGCGTGGGCACTGTCTTTGCGTTCTTCAGCTCAAGGCTAGCGCTCTACCACTTGAGCCACAGCACCATTTCCGTTTTTTTTTCTAGTGGTTTATTGGAATAAGAGTCTCATGGACTTTCCTGCCCAGGCTGGCTTTAAACCGTGATTCTCAGATCTCACCCTCCTGTGTAGTTAGGATTACAGGTGTGAGCCACCAGCACCCAGCTGAACTCCTCTTGTATAACTAATCAATGCTAATAAAAAAAAAATGTGGAGCCAGGCACCGGTGGCTCACACATATATCTTAGCTACTCAGGAGGCTAAGATCTGACAATCACAGTTGAAAGCCAGCCCAAGCAGGAGATTCCTGAAACTCTTATTAACAATAAACCACCAGAAAACCAGAAGTGGTACTGTGGCTCAAGTGGTAGAGTGCTAGCCTTGAGCTGAAAAGCTGAGGGACAGCACTCAGGCTCAGAGTTCAAGCCCCACCACTGACCAAAAAAAAAAAAATGTGAAGGGAAAAATACCCTGTCAAACTATTTGCTTAAGCCCTAATATTTTATTATATTCCTACCATTAGTATATGAGAGTTTCAAGTCAATTTCAAACTAATCATTTGATTCACAGGACAATTTATTCTAACCTGATCCTACCATACATTTATAAAATAGTTGTAGTTATCTGTAAAATTTTATGCCAGTTTGATCATCCTTGCTGAAAATCAGCATTGTAAAAGGACAGAAGACGGAAAGGACCAGCATTACCTCTCGTCTGGGAACAGCCTACACTTCTGGTCTGAAGAGCCACATGGCGAACAGCCCACCTCAGCAAAAACCGGACACTGTGTTTTAAGCAGCAGAGCCGTCTGAAACACAAAACCATATGTGTGTCTTAAAGTGCTTACTGTAGGTAACCTGGATGCACAAGAGACCAACTTACAATTCTCATTACAGTCATCGTTTACAATCCCAGTATGCTCTTTGTCAGTAAGAAATGCTTTGCTACTAAGGTCACCCAAGGTCATCTGCCTTAATCTGAGAGGGACCACATTCATCTTACTACTTTCAACTGCCCAGGTTTCAGTGGCTTTACATATTAATTTACACTTTTATAGCTGACTAGATCACCACTTGCTGAAAGACTAGCCAGTAATTTGCTCCCACAAACAAACAACACCTGTTCCCTGAACCGTCCAGTCTGTTTGGGGGACATAGCCCCCTTTTCTTGGTTTCTGAAAGGCACAGGCAGACCCGAGAGCGGGTCAGAGGCCCGCAGTTCCCACCTGACTGGTGTAGAGCACCAGCTGTACAAGCTGAGGCATCAGGGCATCTGCCATGGTCAGGGTCTGCAGATTGGGGTGCATCAGGGAGGTCAGCAACACTGGGAGGAGGTGACCGAGCATCGTGGCCTTGGTGACTTGTTCCAAGCCTTTCAACCTACAAGTTCAAGAAAGTGCATATCCTAAGCAGTGTCCTGACATAAAGAGAGGAAATCAACATTGTCTATGCTGACAAATATAGTGAAATACTTGTAGCTGTAGCCACCCTCCCACAATTTCCCACCTCTTACCACTGAGGAAGGGAGACAGAGCTATTCATGGATTACCCCTCCAACCTGGGCAGGGCCAAAACACACTTTACAAATGCATCCTGAAAAGCAAAGCTGTCCCCAGGTTCTTCTTGTCCCTACAGATGTCTTTCTGAGTCTTGCCCATAGTTGTGAAATTCTCTCCTGCCTGTAGCAATGGAGGCTCCTGTAGGCCACAGAAGTAGGCACCATCGGGTTTTCCCACTTGTTTTTATTGTGGCAAAATTTATCCTCTTCACCATTTTTTCCCCAGCCTGGGGCCTGAACTCAGGGCCTGTGCACTGTCCTTGAGCATCTCTATGCTGAAGGCTAGCGCTCTACCACTTGAGCCACAGTGCCACTTCCGGCCTTTTCTGTTTATATGGTACCAAGGAATTGAACCCAGGGCTTCATGTGTGCTAGGTAAGCACTCTACCACTAAGCCACATTCCCAGCCTCCATTTTTTTTTTTCCTTTTTGTTGGTCACGGGGCCCGTGAACTCTGGGCCTGCACACTATCCCTGAGCTCTTCAGCTCAAGGCTAGTGCTCTACCACTTTGAGTCACAGCACCACTTCTGGTTTTCAGGTGGTTAACTGGAGATAAGTCTCACAGACTTTCTTTTTTTTTCTTTTTTTTTGTCAGTCGTGGGGCTTGAACTCTGGGCTTGGGCGCTGTCCCTGTGCTCTTCAGCTCAAGGGGAGCGTTCTACCGCTTGTGCCACAGCACCACTTCCGGTTTTCTAGCGGTTTATTGGAGATAAGTCTCACGAACTTTCCTGCCCGGGCTGGCTTTGACCCGCGATCCTCAGATCTCAGCTTCCTGAGTAGCTAGGATTACAGGCGTAAGCCACTGGCGCCTGGCTTCTCACGGACTTTCTTGCCTGAGCTGGCTTTGAACTGCAATCCTCCTGGGTAGCTAGGATTAGAGGCATGAGCCACCAGCGCCCGGCCCAACCATTTTTAAAGTACACATTTTAGATATGCAAACCACCAACATCTATCTCTGTAATGCTTCATCTTGTAAAACTTAAACTCTACCCTAGCAAGTACTATTCCACTTTCAATCTCTGCAATTCTGACTACCTTAAGGAGACAGATTTTTGTCTTTAATATTCACTAAAAGAATTAAAGTATAAAATCTCCTAGGGCACTGAGGACACTGGTGCCAACAGAAACAGATGGCAGTCTCAGCCTGCCCCTTTACACTCCACTCCTTCTACAAACCACGGGTGGATGCTACATGTCCTAAGCAGCCCTGGCACAAAGCGAGTCTGGGTTATACACTTCTCAGCCCTGCCCCCAGTAGCCCCCTGCCAGTGGGGGAGAATCAAGGAAATGGGGGCATACAAGGCCTATTGTCTGCATGAAAATTATGCTGCACTATTGTTTTTCCTCCATATCTCTTAACCAGATTATCACATAATGGCACACAATGCAGCTGTAAACACCAGCCAGGGCAGTCATTGCAATGGAAGGCCGAGAAGGACTGGGTGACTGTGAAGGAGTTGCCACCCTCTACAAAGGCCAGGCCTGGATCTGGAGAAGGGCAATTACAGTAAAATCTTGAGGTGCCATGTCAATGCTGACCTCTGTGTAGCAGCTGAGTATCACTTCTTCCTCTTTAAAGTGAATGTGGAGCTAAGCTAGACAGTGAAGAGAAAGGCCAATTTGAGAATGATGACAGAAGTCCCAAATGTGTTGTGTGCAGTAGCTCACATAGTGATCCTAGATACCCAGGAGGCTGACACCAGAAAGATTGTGGTTTGACATAAACTATGCCCAAAAATTTCTAAGACCCTATATTAATCAATAAACTGGATATGGTGGTGCATGGCAGCCACTCCTCGCTATGCAGGAAGCATGGATGTGGTCCATACCCACCCAGGCCAAAAAAGAAAAAGGAGAGAGAAAGAGATGAGAGATCCTATCTGGAAACAACTATAGCGAAAAGACCTGGGGGCATGACCCAAGTGGAAGAGACTCTGTATAGGAAGCATAAGACCCAAGTTTAAACTGACAAAAATAAAATGACCCCAATGTCAGAGTTGAGGCTGTCACCAGAACCCTTCAATCCCTAGGTCATGGCTACTGGCTCAATCTCACCTCAAAGCACAGTAAGGAGGAGTTTGATTGCTCGTGGCTTTGAAACATGGCTAGTCTAGCCTATTCTCACAGAAATGTCTCTCTATAGCAAAAGACTGTTTTATGATCTGCCCAGAAAGATCTCACTTTCACAGCAATTCTCCTGATGAAGGGTGCAGGCCCCATCCTGCCTGCCTCCTCACCTCTGCTCACGGTCGGGCAGGTCACTGTGGATGAGGGCAGTGGTGACCTGCTGTAGCATCTCCAGAACCTCGTCACAGCCCGTCAAGATCTGGGTGGCAAGAGCCAAAATACTGACCTTTAGCTCCTAGGTGGAAAAGACAGCATATTATTTTTAAGTTTTATGATGACCAAACACAGCGACAACATAACATGATGTATTTGATGATGCATTCTCAAATGAAATGAGGTGGCCAGAGTGAACCCAAAGCAGAGAGCCCCTCTGGGACGGCAGGCAACAATCTGATTTGGGAGGGGTGGGTAAGGCCAGAAATACGTAGTATTTCACTGGGAGCGAATGCATGCCTAGAAGGAAAGGCCTCGCTCCCATCCCATCCAGCACAGGAGAGCTCCTGGTGGCCAGCCCAGAAACTGTCCAGGTGGAAGATTGCCTTGGGTAGATGAGGACAGCTAAAGAGAAAAACAGAACAGTAAAGCATGTATAGGCGGTGAATAAAATGAGACAAAACCACAACATTCTGAAACAGTACGAGTGACCTTCTCTTCATGTCTCCAAACTCATTACACTGAAAATCAGCAAGTTTAATAATTCAAAGTAGGCAGTCCTAGGCCATTAAAAATTAAAAATGACTGTTGGGGGGTTCATAGAATACACATACTAAATGTGTTAAGAAACACTAGTTAATATCATATAAGTAATTATTTTATGATTATTTTTTAATTTAAAAAAAAACACATTAACTCTCTGGGTGATTGCTATGTGTCTTAAATTTTTCCCTGGAAAACCTATACAACCAAGTTTTATTCTGCCTTTGTGAAGAGTCTTCATATTTCTCTCCACGATTTAATTAAGAATTTGAAAAGTTTAATCTTTCACATAGAATAAAAACTCTGGTGTATATTTCTTGGTAATTTCCACGGTTCTTTTTTGTATTATTAAATAAGTTTATTATTAAAGGAATTCTGAACTGACAGACTAGCTGGACCATGACTGTCACACTAATGACAATGATATCAGTGAGAGAGAGAGAAAATGTTCTTCTTTGATTAATTTTCAGTGTGTTCAAGTCAACATTTTCAGGAAGAAAAAGTTCTGATTACTTTCTCTAGTTTTCCCACAAAGATGAAATGCTGAAGAACAATGCAAACAACTGCCTTGAGCACTGCTACAGAAATCTTTAAACTTTCTAACTGGTCAGGCGAGAATGAAGGACTGAGCTCACACTGAAGCTAGTTTAAAAGACAGAAAATGAAATGAACTATTGATTTAGAAATTAAACTATTCAATACAAAGAGAGAAAATTATCTTTTTTTTTTTTTTTTTATTTTGGTCAGTAGTGGGGCTTGAACTCTGTGCCTGTGCGCTGTCCCTCAGCTCTTCAGCTCAAGGTTAGTGCTCTACTACTTGAGCCACAGTGCCACTTCCAGTATTCTGGTGGTTAATTGGAGATAAGAGTCTCATGGACTTTCCTGCCTGAGCTGGCTTTGAACCGCAATCCTCAGATCTCAGCCTCCTGAGTAGCTAGAATTATAGGCATAAGCCACCGGCGCCCAGCAGATTATCACTTTTAAATGGTTATTTGGGTCAGAAAATATAGTAAACCATCAAATGTCAAAACTATTTAAAATGCTATGTTCCTCTGTGTGTGTGTAAAACTTCCAGGTATGATGAGGTCACTGGTGAGTGTGTATTTCATGGTTCTCAAAGGAAGATGACAATAAGCAAAGGCGCAGAGACTGACAGGAGCACGTGAATGCCATATCATGAGTCACAAGTATGGCAACCACTGTAATGACATTAAAATCTATGAGATGAATGGCCTGGCACTCCTCAGAAGACTCTAACTCACATGGTGAATTCTGACACCATACCACACAGAAATATGCCCATTACACTGTGCTTTACATACTGGGTAGAAAGCATCTTTAAAATAAAGCTCGGTGTTTACCTGTACCTTCAATGTCTCTCCCTGCAAGGAGTTGTCACTGTCATCATTCTCATCAGGTTTAATCAAAACAGTGTTACTGAGAAGGTGATTCTGAACTGCCATCAGATAGCGCAGGCAGGAAGATGCAGCCTTTAACACAAACAAGGGTGTTTAAATGACTGAGCCCTCTTGAGAACAGGGCTCATGTAATCCTCAAGCTTTTATAAGATTCCCATAGGGAAACAAAAAGAAAAGTACAGAAAACAGAGCAGGTTAGTTTCTCAGGTTATTTATATACATATGACTTCCAATATAGACTCTGATACAGTACCTTCCTTCCTCCTTCTGCACAGGCCTCACTAGAGCTAGATGATCACTTGGGTTTTTGTCCCTTAACAGTTCCTTCCCTTCCCCTCCCCTCTCCATATGAAAACCCCACCCACACCCTGAAGATTCTTTTTTTTAGCCAGTCATGGGACTTGAACTCAAGGCCTAGGTGCTGTCCCTGAGCCCTTTGTTTGTTTTTACTGTACTTTTTTTGTCTTTTCTTTATTGGTAATGGGGATCTTGCTAGGCAAGCGCTTTGCCACTAAGCTACATCCCAGCCCTTTGCTAAAGACTAGTATCCTAACACTTTGAGCAACAGCTCCATTTCTGGTTTCTGGTAGTTAATTGGAGATGAGCATCTCACAGACTTTCCTGTTCAGGCTGGCTGTGAACTGTGATCCTCAGATCTTAGCCTCCTGAATAGCTAGGATAACAGGCATGAGCCACAAGTACCCAGATCTGAATATTCTTTTGATCACTTTCTTTAAAACATTAATAGCTTAGAAAGTAACACTAAATTAACAGGCAGAAAATCCTCACCAAACAAAACCCCAAATATAGTCAGACAACTATTATCAGTGTGCGTGCGTGCGTGCGTGCGTGTGTGTGTGTGTGTGTGTGTGTGTGTGTGTGTGTGAAAACAGGGACTTGAGGCAATTTTGGTTGCAGTAAACACATCTTTACTTACAGGCACAGTTGAAAGGAGCTTTTGAAAATCATCTTTAGAGACAGTTTGGCACTTGGTAATTAAGATACAAGATTCTCGTACGACAATCTTCAGAATGTAGTGTAGGAGTTCATCATTTAGTCTTTCAATTGCAGGAAAATACAATGATAAAATATTGATGGTTTATTAGTCACAGGGTAAATTTGATACAACTAGTACAAGATGACAAACACAAGAAATAAATTTTTTTAAAGATATAAAATTAATTGACGCTGCAAGCCAATCTCCTTATTCAGAAATGATGCTAACAACTAAATATATTATCTAAACTAAACCTATAAACACAAAATGCTACCAAACCATCTAATCAAAGTACTTTATGAATAACATAGCAAAGTAAGACTTCCTCCCCATCCCCAGCTTTGGATTGCCCCCTCCACCACCCCCCTGATAGAATATTTCTAAAAAATCTTCCTTCTGCTACTTCTGCTAAGCACTTTTTGCCCAGGCAAATGTGCTATCACTGGTTTTTAGGTCTGGGATTTATTACTTGGTAATCAATTATCCAGGCTTTAGGCCTCCATACTAATGATCACATAAGCTACAATGAAGACTCACACTGGCCAAACATATTTCAATGTGATGACATTACTCGTAGAAGAAGGTAAAGAAGAGACTGGCAGTGAGTGATTAGCATCATGTCATCACCTGTAATGATCATCCTCATCGCTGCCGAATCGATTATTTTGAAGCTGTTCAGCTAAACTGGTGAGGATCACATCTCGAAGCTGGGCAAGTCCACTGTTTCTCTCCCCTAATACACAACAAAGCTCTGTGAACAACCTTGGTGACAGTGCTTAGAAAACTGATGCTTTTTAAAACAAAGTTTTTAAATGGTAGGTTGTGGGCCTAGAATCTAGAGGCACCAACCTAGACGAACACGACAGTAGCAAAACTATATGCCAGCCAACTATACTGCTTTCTGCTTGGGTATCCTGGCCTCTTTAAAGAGTGACTGCCTCTGGATTTTCATAAAGCATGATTTTTTTTTTGGAGGGGGGAGATAGGGGGGTTAGTCGTGGGCCTGAACTCTGGGCCTGGGTGCTATCCCTCAGCTCTTCAGCTCAAGGTGAGCACTCTACCACTTGAGCCACCACTTCTGGCTTTTTCTGCTTATGTGGTGCTGAGGAATGGAACCCAAGACCTCATGTATACATTGGCATGCAAGGCAAGTACTCTACAACTGAACCACCTTCCCAGACCCTTATAAAACATGATTTCTGATTCCTTAAGGCTGTTTGTCAATGCTGGTCATCTTTAACACTGGATGTCTTCTTGTTGTTTGTTACCTTAAAGTTTGGGTTCTAATGTGGGGAAAGGGGGAACTGGTTTAGCAGTCACCAAGAAGTCATTTATCTTTAAGTATGGTAAACATCAGGCTGGGAATGTGGCTTAGTGGTAGAGTGCTTGCCTCGCATGCATGAAGCGCTGGGTTCAGTTCCTCAGTACCACATAAACAGAAAAAGCCAGAAGGGCTCAAATGGTAGAGTGCAAGCCTTGAGCAAAAGAAGCTCAGGAACAGTGCCTAGGCCCTGAGTTCAAGCCCAGAACTGGCAAAAAAAAAAAAAAAAGTAAACATCTACAGTCAGGTAGGTACATCAGATGATGCCTTGGAGACAGGCTTACAATGCCTGAAGATACATAAGCATGGTTTCTCTTTCAGTGTGACTGAAATGTTGCATCCATGCAGATAGTTTTCAAATATTTTGACAAACAGATAAGAAGGAAACAAGACTGTAATCTGGATATCTAGTTGTTTCCTTAGGGACAAAGGAAACTAGGGACAAAGGACTAGGGTTGAAGAGTAATTCTTACCTTCAGTTAAGACCAGCTGAAGTAAGTTATTGATTTCAGTTTCACCAGGGTACAAGATGTTCAGGCCAGAGCTGAAAGACAGAAAAGCCAAAAAGTTTGTAAGCAAATTTTCTAGAGGCTTTGAATTTGAAATGTTTACAATTTGATTTCTATTAAAGATGCCAGAATAGACCAACACGGTAGTACATACCTTAGTCCCAGTGCTTGGGAGGGTGAGACAGGAATATGTTGCGTGTAAGGCAGCCTGGGAAACATAGTGAGGCCCTGCACACCAGTCCGGTTATGTAACACTGAGGTACACTTCACCCAGTTTATTTATTCATTGGCTACAGTGCTGGGGATCAAACCCAAGACTTCAAGAATGCTAGATAAATCACCAACCACTGAGCTACGTCCCCCACTCCCAGCGTGAGGTTAAGTTTTATTACTAAGAAAGCATTTGAACCTAAATATATGGACAAAATTGAATCCAATCACTTCCTTGAAAAATGAAATCCCTCTGCTGCTATCTGTGAATTGCCAAGAAAGTAACTTATTTGAAGCCCTGTATGAAAACAGAGAGAATTGGTAAGCTATGAAAAGCCAGTGTAGCCAAATCAATCATACATTCAGATTGTGCCCCTCAAAAAAGTCACTTGAGAAAGAGAATTTCTAATCCTTGGCTTTTCCAAAAAGGATGGCAAGGAGAGTAAAAAAATAGTTCTTTTTCTTCTTTTATTGAAATGTGATGCAGAATAAAGTGCATATAGTAAAGTATACAATTGGATATATTTGACATACATATGTACTTATAAAACATCCATTTTTACCATAAGAATGACACTGCCTGTCACCTCCAGAGGAGACAGAGAATTTAGTTACTGGCTTTAATACCCAAAAGAAAGCAGCCTGCTCTTGGTAGTCACATTAAGGTTATGATTTTAGATGAAAGTTCACTGGACCTAAAGTTGATAGACTTAGATAGTACTCATAAACTCAAAAGAGAGTCTAGGCTTTAAGCAGGTTCATGAAAGCCAATATCCTAACTTGCAACAGAACTTCACAAAGTTCCACAGGAGGTAAGATGTCTAAGCCCATTCTCCAGCTGAAGATGGAGAACCAGTAAGCCAAGACGCAGGAAGTGAGTAGCAGAGCAAAGCTGTTCCTAACCCTCTACTACAGTCTCTCACATTATAAGAACAGTAGCTTAGAAACCAACTATCCAGCCAGGAGCTGGTGGTTCATGCTTATAATCCTAGCTACAGCTGAGATCTGAGGATCGTGGTTCGAAGCCAGCTTGAGAAGGAAAGTCAGTGAGTCTTTTATTTTTTTGGTCCAATCGTGGGGCCTGAACTCTGAGCCTGGGTGCTGTCCCTCAGCTCTTCAGCTCAAGGCTAGTGCTCTACAACTTGAGCCACAGTGCCACTTCCGGCTTTTTTCTTTTTGCTTATGTGGTGCTGAGGAATTGAACCCAGGGCCTCATGCATGCAAGGCAAGCGCTCTACCACTGAGCCACCTTCCCAGCCTCTCAGTGAGTCTTTTATCTCCAATAAACTTCAAAAAAGACACAAGTGGTGCTGCAACTCAAGTGGTAGATTGCTCGCCTTGAGCAAAAAAAGCTCAGGGACAGCGCCCAGGCCCAGAGTTCAAGCCCCAGGACTAGCAAAAAAAAAGAGAGAGAAAAGAAAAGAAAACAACTATTCATTTAAAGGGTATCCGAAAGGTTAGATGAAGAATGTAGGCATGCGTTCGGTCCACTAGAGTGGAGCACAAACCCTCTGATAAAATCATCCCCAGTGCACAGGGTCCTAGCTGCAGAGCAGGCCCAGAGGACCATGCTGCCAATTACGGGGAGAAGTACAGTGCTGGCAGGAGCACTAAGGGAACCACCTGCTGTTTACCTGATGGCAAGGCAGACCTCCTTCTGAATCTCAGGACAGATTTGATCTTTGGGTGCCATCAACAACTGCCAAAGAAGCAACCCTGACCGTCGAATGATGTCTCGGTTCCTTTCACTTTGTGGGCTGAAGAAAAATTTAAACACCACCTACAGAAACATACATACGGGGTGAATCTCAACATGCCAATTTCCCTGGAGATAAAATTAACCTTTAAAAGAAGCACATGGTAACTAGACTTATGAGGATATAACCAGGTATTTTATTTTTGGGGGGGGTCCAGTCGTGGGGCCTGAACTCTGGGCCTGGGTGCTGTCCCTCAGCTCTTCAGCTCAAGGCTAGCGCTCTACCACTTGAGCCACAGCGCCACTTCCAGCTTTTTGCTTATGTGGTGCTGAGGAATCGAACCCAGGGCCTCATGCATGCAAGGCAAGCACTCTACCACTGAGCCACCTTCCCAGCCCCATAACCAGATAGTTTTTTAACTGCAATGTCACCTACTGTGTAACAGTATAATTATAGCATATATTTTACATACATTACCAGCAATAAGCTATGTACAGCAAGACTCCATTAACTGCAGTGAAACATCATCATTCTAATCAGAGGACTAGAAGAGGTGAAGATAGAAAAGCAGAGATGGCCGGGCGCTGGTGGCTCACGCCTGTAATCCTAGCTACTCAGGAGGCTGAGATCTGAGGATCGCGGTTCAAAGCCAGCCCGGGTAGGAAAGACCGTGAGACTCCTATCTCCAATAAACCACCAGAAAACCGGAAGTGGCGCTGTAGCTCAAGTGGTAGAGCGCTCGCCTTGAGCTGAAGAGCTGAGGGACAGCGCCCAGGCCCAGAGTTCAAGCCCCACGACCGACAAAAAAAAAAAAAAGAAAAGAAAAGCAGAGATGCTCCTGAAGGTGTGATCTCGGGTAGAAATCAGCTGGCTGAATGCAAGGGTTGTGTTCTTTTTAGTCTAGCATACTTCAGAACAGTCCATTTACCTGAAAGACAACGAGGATGCAGCGTATGATGCAGGTGTCTCCGTTGACCATGGCTTTCTCCATGATGTCACAAATGCTGCTTAGATGGTGCGCTTCGATGGGATGCTGCTTGCCCAGGACGCTTGTGATGGGAAGGTTGGGGTTGGTGGCCAAAAGATTGAGCTGGTGGATACACATTGCACCAACGTGGTGCAACAATTGGTTGATAACCTCATTGGTGGTGATGGCTTCTTCTGGAAGATGAAGAGAAAGCGTGAGCAAACACCACTGGTGGTTCTCTGAGGTACAGACTCCCAACTTTCATCACTGCTGCTGGAGAAGCCAGCGTGTGAGGTGAAAACACTTGGGATTTCTATTTAGTTACCACTTATTGGGCCCACTCTCTACACTGGATGATGGCTCATGTTGGACATGCATTACCTTACAACATGGTTATAAACTTAGACTACTGAGGCCCTTTTTGCAGGCTGGTAAGCCACAAGTAGAGAGGGTTAAGGAAGTCACCCTAGGTTACACAACTCCAAAGTGATGGAGCATCTCAGCCCATGCTGGAAACAAGACTCGTAAAATATGTCCTTCTTCCTCAGGTGCCCTACTGTAGAACCACCTACCTATAAAAAGCTCATCCTCAGTACTCAATGCTTCTATGAAACATCTACAACTAAACCTGTGGGTATCCACAAGCATCCTCTTATATAAATGGTTTGAAAAATGGCTTATGGATGTGGGCTCAAGTGGTTGATTGCCTGTCTAGCAAGCCTAAGACTGAATTTAAACCCCAGTAACACAATGATGGAACGAACAAAGGGAGGGAGGGAAAGGAGGAAGAAAAGTCTTTAGGCCACATCAGAACCTCTGTTGACTTTTCTACTTAATCTATTAACCAATCTCTTCAGGTTAAAGTAAGATTTTGGGGGCTGCGAAGGTGGCTCAGTGGTAGAGCATTTGCTTTGCATCCATGAGGACCTAGGTTCAATTCCTCAGCACCACGTAAGCAAAAAGAAAAAAGCCGGAAGTGGCGCTGTGGCTCAAGTGATAGAGTGCTAGCCTTGAGCTGACGAGCTGAGGGACAGCGCCCAGGCCCAGAGTTCAGGCCCCACGACCGGACCTCCCTCCCCCCCACACACACAAAAAAAAAGAAAAAGAAAAAGAAAAGCAAGATTTTGGGTTTCTAAGTTCAAAGAAAGAAGGCTGTTGGTACAAGTCCCACACATGGTGCTCTGTAGGTTGCCAGATTAACAGAAGACCAAGAGAGCACCTGACCTTTGGGCTCTGTGATAACATGGCTGACGCCCAGTCTCTGGCACACGTAGTGGAAGGCCTGGTTCCCGGGGTTGCACCACTGATCAATGTAGTCATTCGAGCACGTCCATAGCATGTTGTTCACTGTGTCATAACAGGCACCTGTACAGAGCAGAAGGGTGAACATTCCCTCTAACGCTAACAACCACACCCAACCTGCAGATTGACTCTGTCAAGCACTAGACTGGAACCCAACAAGAAGCCAGGATTTAGCTGGCTGTGGTAATCCCAGCACCCAGACAGCCTGGGCCACACAGTGAGACCTGTCTCAGAAACAAAGGGTGAAGCCAAGATTATACTTTTAATTTTTTTCCATTTCTGGGACTTTATTTCAATACATATTATTTTGTAGAATCAGAGACACATAGGCATTGCACCTTTGTGTTTTTCCCTTAAGGGAATCCTCCTTTGGTCTCACTGTATGTAAATGTCTAGAGTCTTGTATAATTGATCACGTCCTGATGTATTTTCGATCTAGCTATAAGAGAAAACATGCACTGTTTGTAGGATTTTATCTTTTAAATTTAATTAACTCCCATGTGAAAAGAAATTATCTTATAAAAAATGATCAATTCTTAATTGTGATCTGCTTCCAAAAACAATTTAAGTGGCTTACTAGGTAATAACAGGACCAACAAACATAAACAAGAAACAAAATCTGGATATAAGCTTTCTAGTAGCTAGCATAAAGGTAAAATCCACTATACAGCAACATGTTCACTTTCTAAAAATCACAGGAATCAAGTTTTTTGAGGGCACAGACTTTTGAGAAGAATGTTATAAGCATCACCATACAACTTAATGGACAGGATCTCAATGATCCTTAATTAGGTGAAGAATTTTATGCATAACAATTTCTTATACTGATTCCTCAAATTAAAGAGCAGTTTTTTTGTTTTTGTTTTTTAACTTTTTCATTTCAAGGAAACTATAGGGAATTGGGAAAATATTTCAAGAGAAATTGCTAACACCTTGACTTTCAGAAGGAAATGTGCATTCATTTCTTACCCAAGCCAGGTACAAGAGCACCACGTCCCAGTGAGCTTCCAGCAGCATCTATGAGATCCGCACGGCTTGTGAACTGACCATCCGAAATATTATACACCAGGCTGGAGGCGAGGACTTTGGAAACAAACAGTCAGGTGTTCAGTGAGCCAACAGACTACTTTTAGGCTCTTAACAAGACATTTATGAGAAACACCCCCTTTGGTTGTCCATTGGTTGTAACAATGAGACAGAAACTACACACACAAGACCACTGAAAGCCTAAGTTAAACCCTAAACTATACTCTTCCCTTTCTTTCCCATTCCATTTTATCCATCTATCCATTCGTATATTTTTGTGGTACTGGACGTGAAAATCAGGGCCCTGTGTATCCAGGCAAGCGCTCACCACTGACCTATGTCCCCAGCCATAGCAGCTTCTGCAGTTCCAGCAGCACACCAAAAGAATGACGGTCCCCAGTCTTCTTCCTCATTGAGCTTACTATACATACATGTCTTCTCTACTCAGCCACTTACATGAATACTACTCATTCCTGACAACTTCTTGGCGGCCTCTTTCCTGCGTGCTACCCACGGTCCTTCCTCCCTCTGCCCCTGCAGCATATCCATGTGCTCCCAGAGCCACCAGCAATGACACAGCGAGACTAGCTCCGTCCCCATTTCCACATTTTCTTTTTTTTTTTTTCTTTTTTTTTTTTGGGGGGGGGGAGGGTCCAGTCGTGGAGCCTGAACTCTGGGTCTGGGCGCTGTCCCTCAGCTCTTTAGCTCAAGGCTAGCGCTCTACCACTTGAGCCACAGCGCCATTTCCGGCTTTTTTCTTTTTGCTTATGTGGCACTAAGGAATCGAACCCAGGGCCTCAGGCATGCAAGGCAAGCGCTCTACCTCTGAGCCACCTTCCCAGCCCCCCATTTCCACATTTTCAACTAGATGAGAAGCTCCTGAAGGCAAGCACCAGTTTTCCTCCTTACAGCAAGCAGCCTCCGCAGTGACCAATGTGGAACGTGGGCACATTATTATATTGTTGTTGTTGTTGTTATTATTATTACCAGTTCTGGAGCTTGAACTCAGGGCCTGGGCATTGTCCCTGAGCTTCTTTTGTTCAAGGCCACTTGAACACCACTTCAATTTTTTTCCGTGTATGTGGTACTGAGGAATCGAACCCAGGGCTTCATGCATGCTAGGCAAGCACTTTACCACTAAGCCACATTCCCAGCCCCAGAGGATATTTAAGCATTTACTGACTTGTCAGGCCAAAATACAATTAATGGAGTATACATCATCATGAAAAGAATGACACCATGCAAAGGAGAATAATTTTAGGGGACGAACATGAAGATACAACATGCCTCTGATCACATAAAATATTTATCAAAATGAACTCCAGGAAATGGAACAACAACAACAAAAAGAACGATACCATGAAGACCTGCTTTACTCAAATGAAGCCAATTTCAAATGAGTAAAAAAAGCAATACCAAGGAGACTAAAAAGTGTTTAATAAGTCTAATGATCAGTAACTCAAAAACAAACTAAACATTTGGATAGATATTCCTCCAAAACAAAGACACTCAACACATGAAAGTATGCCCAGTGTTGTTAGTCATTGGACAAATACAAAACAAAGCTACAACCAGGTCCTTTCTTATGACCATTAGGATAGGTGCAACAAAACTAAAAGGAAAATCACAAAGATGGCCGGAAGTGGAGAAATCCAGGCCATTTCACTTTGCCAATGAGAACAGAAAGGAGCAGCCACTTTGGAAAACAATGTGGTGGCTCCTTCAAAGAATGAGCACTGTCACACAGTTACCAGAGGACCCGGTAATTCCACCCTGTGCACATAGGCAAGAGAAATGGAAACCTGCCTCAGCAGCCACAGCAACATCACTCAAAACAGCCAAAAGCAACTCAAATGTTCAACAAGCGATGATCCCATACAACGGACACACACACACACACACACACACACACACACACACACACACACACACACACCACACACACACACACACACACACACACACACACACACACACACACACACACACACACACACACACACACACACACACACACACACACCCCTAATTGCATTTGTATGCTACTGGAGGAAACATTACACCCCTAATTGCATTTGTAACACACACACACACACACCTAATTGCACTTGTAACACACACACACATACACACACACACACACACACCCCTAATTGCATTTGTATGGAAGTCCAGAACAAGAAAAACAAGAAAATCCAGAAGCAGAAAAAGATAGGTGGATGATGCTGGGTACTCATGACTCATGCCTATAATTCTAGCTACTTAGGAGGCTGAGATTTGAGGATCATGGTTTGAAGCCAGCCCAGGCAGGAAAGAAAACCAGAAATGGCACTGTGGTTCGAAGTGGTAGAGTGCTAGCCTTGAGCAAAAGAGCTCAGGGACAGTTCCCAACCCTGAGTTTAAGCTCCACAACTGACCCCCCCCCCAAAAAAAAAAAAGATAGGTGAATGCCAGGGACTCAGTGGTGGGGTGAATGACCACTAAGGAGTGTAGGGCTTCATTTTGGAGGTGATATACAGACAGTGGTGAGGGATGTAAGCCTCAAATTTGTGAACATATTTAAATCCACTGAACTATACACTTTAAAAGGATTAATTCTGTATGTGAGCTAGATCTCAGTAAAGCTATTAATAACACTTAAAGAAAAATAAAAGCTAATGGTAAACTTGCATGAGTTACTCTACCTTAGAGACTTAAGGGGATATGGATATGAACTGATAGCAGAAAAAAAAGCATTGAGATAAAGTCCAACCAACTTGAGTGGAAAGGCAGAGAGAATGTGGGGCCGTCAGGAACAGCAGAGGTTCAAGCATATGCAGCAACCTGAGACAGCCTGACACTGGCTACTCTGATGCTGACACTGCCTGAACTGCTGAGGTCAAATTTACCTGAGGCTTTGGTGAGGGCAAGAAATACTTTTCTAAAATCTAAATGTGAAATAAAACCCTTTCAAGGAATTACTGCTAGAAAAATTATTTTAAGAGGACATTATGAAATACTGGGAAATAAAATGAAGTAAACTAACTCTAGAACATTTTAATCTCATGTGCCTAAAAAAGTTTCAAGAAAAAATAAAGGTTTAATGATGTCCTTAAAGTTAAAAAGGAATAAAATGATAGTTCCAAAAGACTGTATATTTTATTTCATTTAATTATTTGGCTACCGTGAAGCCAAAATTATGCTGATTTAGTGATGTTAGTGTGTCCCCTCTTCCATAAAAATCATTACCAATACATTACATTTAGAAAACATTAATAAATTTTACATCTATTACTTCCTTCCCATGTTTTTGTTTTACACTTTGCATAGGTTTTGTTTTTTTGTTGTTTTTTGTCAGTTTTTTGGGGCCTGAACTCTGGGCCTGGGCACTGTCCCTCAGCTCTTTAGCCCAAGGCAAGCACTTTACCACTTGAGCCACCACGCCACCTCCAGCTTTTTTCTGCTTAATGTGATACTGAGGAATCAAACTCAGGGCCTCATGCATGCAAGGCAAGCACTCTACCACTGAGCCACCTTCCCAGCCCCCACTTTGTATCGTTTTTTTATATATTTATTTAATAGTTTCAGAATTTTATCAGTCAGCAGAACTCTTTCTATATCACCAGTAAATACATTATTTATTTCTTTACTAAAACTTCACTAAGCTGATTACTATTTCTAGTAATCTTATAGAGTGACAGTTTCATAATATTATGACATCTATAAAAATTGTATTTTGGGCTGGGGATGGAGTTTTTTTTTGTTTTGTTTTGTTTTTTGTCGGTCATGGGGCCTGAACTTCTGGGCCTGAGCACTGTCCCTCAGCTCTTCAGCTCAATGCTAGTGCCCTACCACTTGAGCCAAAGTGCCACTTCCAGCTTTTTCTGCTTATGTGGTGCTGAGGAATCGAACCCAGGGCCTCATGCATGCAAGGCAAGCACTCTACCACTGAGCCACCTTCCCAGCCCCTGGGGGATGGAGCTTGAGGGTAGAGCATTTGCCTAGCAGCACAGGTCCTAGTTCGATCCCTAGCACCAAAAATCAAAAGTAAAAGTAGCTCCCAGGCTATAACAACATTATAATTATTATTTTAGGTTGCTATCAGAGAACTATCCCAAACAACTATTTAGCAGAGTAAGTTTAAAATAATAAATAGGGAAGTCTTAAGTTTCAGGTAAATTAGAAAAAGTACAACTAAAATGCACTTACTTTTTAAAGACGACAAACCGCTTGTTCCACCAAAAAGAGAGCGTGTGGCAGAGCTGCCTGATCCTCCTGGAGGTGGCACCAGCATCACCAAGTATGTGCCACAGGTGTAGATGGGTGTCTTCCGCAGCATCTTCAGAGGTAGCCCACAGCTAGTATTTGCTGGAGAAACAAATGAAAATGCTAAGTGAAAATATCAGAAAGACTAGTATATCATAAAGGAGACCCAAACTTAAAACAGGTATCCCCAGATTAGACACAGGCAGAGTGGATCATGCCTCTCATCCTAGCAATCAATGGAGGAGGTTGAGATTAGGAAGATCATAATTTGAGGCCAACCCAGAGAAAAAGTTCATGAGACTCCTTCTCAACCAACAGCTGGGTGTGGTAGCACGTGCTTGTCATTCCAGCTACATGGGAATGTAAGATCTGAGGATTGCGGTTCAAAGCCAGGCAGAAAAATCAATGAGACTCTTTTTTTTTTTTTTTTTGGATCCGGTCGTGGGAGCTGAACTCTGGGCCTGGGCGCTGTCCCTCAGCTCTTCAGCTCAAGGCGAGCGCTCTACCACTTTCTGCTTATGTGGTGCTGAGGAATCAAACCCAGGGCCTCATGCATGCGAGGCAAGCGCTCTACCACTGAGCCAACTTCCCAGCCCATCAATGAGACTCTTATCTCCAATTAACCATCAAAAAGCTGGAAGTAGAGTGCTAGCCTTGAGCAAAAAAGCTCAAAGACAGCACCTAGGCCCTGAATTTAAGCAACAGAAGCAGTCCGCACACACACACAAAGCAGCTGAGCCAAACACCAGTGACTCATACATATAATCATAACTATTCAGGGGGCTGAGATCTGAGGATCATTGTTCAAAACCAGCCTGGGCAGGAAAGTCTGTGAGACTCTTATCTCCACGTAAGCACCAAAAGAGACTAGAAGTAGAGCTGTGGCCCAAGTGATAGAGCATTAGCTTTAAACTCAGGGACAGATTCTGATATCAAGCTCCAGGACTAGCATAACCGCGTCCCCCCCCCCCCACACACACACTCCAAAAAAGTAGATGAACACGAGCATCCAAGGAAGCTGTCCTTGGGTGCACATGGCATCATACCCGCTTGGTCCTCCTTCAGTGTGTTGGAGATGGTGGAGCCAGTCAGGGCTGCAAGCGTTGCCGATGGGGAGGCTCTGTACCGAGACAGCCTGCTCAGAAGCATCTCATTAATGCTCTTGGCAGATTCGCCCTCTTTCCTCATGAGGATCGTGCGTTCCTGAAGCGGGTTGGCTACACGTACCCCATTTTCAACCTAAGATTTAAAGTGCAAGAGCTTCTGAAATGATACCTGTTTCCAATTAGGTGGCAAATTTCTACTTGAGAATATTACTGTGACCTGTTTGCTTAACATTTCTAAAATTGCACCTGAGTGAGCATATCCCTCAAAACTTCCATGCTCTATAGGTGACTACAGGCTACACTGTTTGAGATCTGTCGTTTTTCACAACAGCCTAGATTATTCTGAATGTAATCAGCTGGATTTAATAGGTTCTCTGAAAAGTAGTTGATTAAAATTCCTTAGACTGCATTCTGCAGTCAGAGCTCACTAATCGTGGCCTCTGACAGTTACCAGGAAGACAGAGGAAAACAAATCAATCAGGCTTTGAGTTACTGTGAGGACAACTGTGAGATTGATGTCTTCTTGAACTATAATTGGTGGCTAAAATCCAAACTCTCGATGAACAGTAGTTAATATTCACTCCAGCTGCTTGGACACTGGCAGGCTAATACTGGAGCAAGGCAGACCTGGCTAAAAGTGCACGCCAACCTCAAGTGCACCCTGCTCAGGCCTGGTAGCCATCTCATTTGTCACTGGAGCCTTTCCCATCTCTGGAGTGGTGCTGCCAGTGTGGGGCCTGCCCTTAGCACCCTACCTTCCTCTCCTTGTTCTTGTTCTTCTTCCATTGATATCCTTACTGCCTAAAAAAGATGCAGACTGTGCCCTATAGCTTTTCCCTCTCATTCCTCCAACTCTAGGATCTTTAAAATCCACTCTCATACTTGCTCTTCTTGCTTTCCCAGGAAGAAGCATCTTGCCTCACATAATTTAAGGCTAATTTTCCTCTTCCACCTTAAGTCCTAGGCTTGCTTCTGTCCCTTCCTCCTGATCAACTTTTCTCCTACATCAACTTTCTTCTCTGTGTTCAGATTTCACACACCTGTGCATCTTAGCAAATCCTCCGTGTCTATGAGCATACCTCCCTTTCCCCACTTCCACTGTCAAATGTCCCAGCTCTATCACAAGTGTCTCATAGGCTGAAGTTCTGTCATTTGAACAGGTCCGAGAAACTCATCGTGCTGGGAAGGCAGGCACAACTGGCCTACTGAGGCGCATGAAGACAAGAGGGAATGAGAGTCCGGTGAGGTGGGATCCTCTGTAAAGCCCACAGAAAGTGAGTCCCAAAGGAAATGCTGGTAGCAGACAAGAGGCCAGAGAAAGCACAGGCAGGAACAAACCTAAAGAGCTGTCCGTACATTCCCAGATGGCAGCAGAAAAGAGATCTATGAGAGAGAAAATGCTGCTTCTTCCCATCTTGTCTGGCCTCTCAGTTCCACTCCCAAGTGAGTAGCTACTCACTACTGGAACAGAGAAACCCAAACTCTTTCCTTGACTTCCTCGCAGGGTGGACCATGACTGGCAGCCTTCTTGAGATTCTCGTTCCTGCATCTCAGCCTCAGCCACAGTGACAGACCACACTCCTGATTAGTTTCTTTCACATATTCAGGGTGCGAGAGGGTGGAGCAGCTCAGTCCCTGCCCTCCCTCCTCTCCCATTTCCTCACTGGTCCCACATCTCCAGTGAACTCTACCTCTTGGGGCCCAAGACCTCCATCTGGGACTCTGCCCAGATCTTCCTTCATACCTCAGGCAGAATGCCACCTACTCAAAGAGGCCTTACTTGATGACCAAGATAGAAAAGCACTTCCCCCTTCCCCACTGCATAGCGCGTAGCACTCTGAAATGACTCTGCTCATTAATTCCCTACTGGCTTGCCTTTCCATTGTCCCTTCTCCCAACTGAATGCCAGCTGTCTGAGAGCAGGGTGCCCGCCAGATTCCCCTGGGATGGCCACACTCGGGAGGTGGTAGGTGGGTGGACACATGATGCCTTACTGGACACACAGATCCAGGCCCTCTCTTGTCAATGTCCACCTCTGTAACAACTCCCAGGCTTGACCCACAGATCCATGCTTGCTGCTGAGACCTGGCCCCACTATCTCAGCACCCACAACCGCTCCATTGGCATTTCTACTCCAGCAGCCTGTCTCCTACAAACCCACTTTCCCCCCCGCCCCTCTTTTTGGTGGCACTGAGGGTTGTACTCAGGGCCCTGCACTTGCTAAGTGTGCTACGACTTGGGATCCACCTTCCCAGATCTCCTTCTTTTGGCATTGTTTTACCCTCACTTTCCTACTAACTAACCTTTGGTAGTCATACATCTATTTATGTTGCACAATTCTAAATATAATCCTTTAAAAGCATCCAAGATAAAAATCAATCTCTTTAAGCCTGACATTACTGATCTGGCCCTATGAGAAAGTCAATAGATAGCTTAAAAAACAAATTATACCAGGCACTGGTGGCTCATGCCTGTAATCCTAGCTACGCAAGAGGCTGAGATCTGAGGATTGAGGTTCGAAGCCAGCTTGGGCAGAAAAGTCCCTATGAGGCTCTTATCTCCAATTAATCACAGAAAAAGCCAAAAGTGATGCTGTGGCTCAAGTGGTAGAGTGCTAGCTTTGAGCAAAAGAAGCCTAAGAACAGTGAGTGCCCAGGCCCAGAGTTCAAACCCCAGGACTGACCCCCCCCCCCCAAAAAAAATCACAAACACATCCCCTACCTGTTAACTGCAGTGACTTCACATGGGTTACACCAAAAGCCACACTCCTGCCCCAGTTCTCTCCCTGGCCTTGGCCTCCCCTCCAACGCAACTCCACGCTGCCTCCTAGCTCTAGGTCCCACTTTTTTTTTGTCGGTCATGGGGCTTGAACTCTGGGCCTGGGCGCTGTCCCTCACCTCTTCAGCTCAAGGCTAGCATTCTGCCACTTGAGCCACAGCACCACTTCCAGTTAATGTTAAATCTTAGGGAGGAGAGACCCAGATAGCCATTATGCTACTGCCCATATCTTTAGGAAGCAACACTGAGAAGATAAAATAGCAGCACTAAAACTGTCCATCTAACTGGCTAAAAACACTTTATGCTGAGGAATGGGGGCACGGACTGTGAGACTACAATGGAAGCCACATGTAAAAGTGGTCTGCTAAGGCAGAGGAGTTACAAGAGTCACAAGTCAGAATGTTCCGCAGCAGGCATCGGCCACTGTGTCATCCTCAAGTCCCCATGGCTGCTTAGCAAGCGAGAACCGTGAGGCTCAGAGAGGCTTGAGGAGTGCCCTTCCTCCCTGAAAACAGCTCCATGATGCCCAGGGTTAGCCTAGGTCACTGCAATATGGAGATCCAGCAGACGGGAGCCCTGGGGGCTGAGACAACCCAGCCAAGCTCCCGGGAACTGAAATGGGAACAGCGGATGGTCAGACCACAACGGGTGATGTCTTCTCTTCTTTATAAAAAGAAGAGCACAGGAGTAGGTGGACCTGGAGGCCCAGGCACAGGCTCTGGCTGAGAGATCTCAGCCCACTCAGCCTGCTGAGATGCTGAAGGCCACTGAGGAGGATGAACAGCAAGTGCAAAAAGAAGGGTCCCGGAAACAAGCGGGTCCATGTGAGGGACATGGTGTGGCAGACAGGCTAAAAAGGAACCATAAGCAAGCAGAAAGCCAGGAAGAACAGTGCCACTTACATCCAATCCTGCTAAAGGTCAAGTGAAAAGAAGACTGAGTTGAGGAAGACTAATCTTTGCCAGGTGTAGGAGTACATGCCTGTAGTCCCAGAGCTCAAGAGGCAGACGCAGAACAACTTCAAGTTAGCTGGGCACCAGTGGCTCACATCTGTAATCCTAGCTACTCAGGAGGCTGATATCTGAGGATCACAGTTCAAAGTCAGCCTGGGCAAGAAAGGCCATGAGACTCTTATCTCCACTAAAGCACTAGAAAACCAGAAGTGGTGCTATGGCTCAGGCGGTAGAGGGCTCGGCTTGAGCAAAAGAGCTGAGCGACAGCGCCCAAGTCCAGAGTTCAAGCCCCACAACCAACAAAAAATAAAAAACAACTTCAAGTTCACAGGTTAACCTGGGATTCATATCAAGGCCCTCTCTCGCAAACAAACAAGTAATAAAGAAGACTACAAGCCTTGCCAGGCGCCAGTGGTTCATGCCTATAATCCTAGCTACTCAGGAGGCTGAGATCTGAGGATCATGGTTCAAAGCCAGTCGGGCAGGAAACTCTGTGAGATTCTTATCTCCAATAAACCACTAGGAAACCGGAAGTGGTGCTGTGGCTCAAGTGGTAGAGCTCTCGCCTTGAGTTGCTCTCGCCTTGAGCTGAAGAGCGCACAGACAGCACCCAAACCCAGAGTTCAAGTCCCACGACCAACAACAACAACAAAAAAAAGACTACAACCCTTTAGTTTCATCTACTGTTCCTAATGTTTCTTTTTTTTTTTTTTTGTCGGTCATGGGGCCTGAACTCTGGGCCTAGACGCTGTCCCTGAACTCTTCAGCTCAAAGCCAGCACTCTACCACTTGAGCCACAGCTCCACTTCCAGGTTTTTCTGCTTATGTGGTGCTGAGGAATTAAACTCAAGGCCTCATGCATGCAAGGCAAGCGCTCTACCACTGAGCCACCTTCCCAGCCCCTGTTCCTAATATTTCTATATTCAAATTTCAAATGATCTCCAAAAAGATTTTTTTTTATAGTAGGCTTATTTGATTTGAACCCAAAAATGATTCCAAGGTTCCTCTCTATTGTAGAGTAGGCCCTTTCCTCCCTGATGTTTGATTTAATGCTGTGGGCAGGAGCTATTTTAGGTATTCCATTTCCTCCAGGACATGTAGGAGCTTTTAATCTATAAGTATACGAGCAAAAATATGAGCTGGGCACCCACGGTGCACACCTGTAACCTAGCTACTCAGGAGGTTGAAATCTGAGGACTATGGTTCAAAGCCCGCCGAAGTAGATAAATTTGTAGGACTCCTATCTCTACTTAACCAGCAAGAGCTGGAAGTGGAACTGTGACTCAAGTGGTAGAGCACCAGCTTTGAGTGATAAAACTAAGTAAAAGTGCAAGGCACTGAGTTCAAGCCCTAATACAGCAGCAGTAGCCACAGAAAGCACTTGAAATATGGTTAATGCAAATAAGTTTTTAATTTTACTTAATTTTGATAACTGAACTTTGAGTAGCTATATGTGGCTAGTGGCTTCTGCATTGGACACTCTCCTTTTCTGAATTTGAAACACCCCAGGCCATTTTTATTTCCTAATACATACTCATTCCTGCCACTGGATCTTTGCACTTTGGCTCAAGGCTAATGCTATACCACTTGAGCCCAGTGCCACTTCAGGCTTTTTCTGAGAAGCGTACTGAACCTCATGGACTTTTCTGCCCAGACTGCCTGGCTTTGAACTGTGATTCTCAGACCTCAGCCTTCTGAGTAGCTAGGATTACAGGCATGAGCCACTGGCGCCCAGCTTCCTCAAATTCTTTATCTGCTGCCACTTTTCCTTCACTGCCTTGAATGATCTTGTTCTAACTTGCTCACTTGTTTATGGTTATGATTATTTTATTTCTCCATGACCATCACCTCCATTCCTAGAGGCATAACTCAAGTTTCATTTGAACATAAGCATTATTCACCTTGGCAGTCACTGTGCCTCCACCTACATGGCACAAATGCTGTTTAAGCTTTGGGCTAATAATGCACATTAACTGTCACCTCTCAGGGACTCAATTCCACTTTGTGAGCTTTCTCACTACTGCAGGGTAGCCCCACACCAACACCCATTAACATTTCTCCTTCAACATCCCCTGTCAGCACACCCAGTACTGTTATCTCCTCTATGGCCCAGATTAACTTTCTGAGATCCCAGCTCTATGTATGCCACTCAATGCTAACAACAATAAAAGGTCTTCAAAGACACTTGAGAAGAAACCCCGCCATAAGGAAACAGGACCTTTGGACACTGACAGTAAGTGAGAGCGAATGGAAATGTTTCCTCAAAGATGAGAGTGGAACGCTTACCACAAGTTCAAAAATGTCCATGAAGACAGAGTGTCCCTTGGGAGTTTTCTCATTCAGACTGGCAGGGGACCAGATCCAGTAGAAGTAAGTGCCATCAGAAGAGAGGTGTACGGTGCTCATGGTGCTGCCGACAGGGAGGTGGTTGGGTGGCATGGGCACCATCTGACACACCTGGCCAGGAAAGGGGAGATGTCGTCCATTAGTGAGACTCAGACACCCTAATCATTGGTCATAAACTGTTTAGATATTATGTCCAAAATAAGGAATCACTGATCTTCCTGGGTCAAACAAAACTTATTTACCTCTAAGAAGAATATATAAAACTTACATGGCAAAAATATAAAAGCTCTGCTGGGAAGGTGGCTCAGTGGTAGAGCGCTTGCCTCGCATGCATGAGGCCCTGGTTCGATTCCTCAGCACCACATAAGCAGAAAAAGCCAGAAGCCACGCTGTGGCTCAAATGGTAGAACGCTAGCCTTGAACTGAAGAGCTGAGGGACAGTGCCTAGGCCCAGAGTTCAGGTCCCATGACCAACAAAAAAATAAAAATTTAAAAAAATATAAAAACTCATAAAGTGGGTAGTGAAATAATTTGATTAGCCATGTATCAGATGAAAATATGGAGGGCTAGGAATGTGGCTTAGTGGTAGAATGTTTGCCTAGCATGCATGAAGTCCTGGATTTGATACTTCAGTACCACATAAACAGAAAAGGCCAGAAGTGGCACTGTGGCTCAAGTAGTAGAGTGCTAGCCTTGAGCAAATGAAGCTCAGGGACAGTGCCCAGGCCCTGAGTTCAGGCCCCAGGACAAAACCAAGATTAATTTCTGAGATTAAGGGAAAGTATTTTTACTCGATACTTTGAATCTGCTACGCATGTATATTTTATCTAACATTTATAATGAAATTTTAAATTGGGCATGGTGATACACACTTATAATTCCAGCACTTGGGATGCTGAGGGAGGATGATTGTAAGTGGAAGGCCAGCATGGGCTAAATAGGCCCTGGCTCAAAACATGTACACATCCCCCACAATTCCACACATATACAACATACATGCTTAAAAAAATTATATGTATATATACATATATATATAAGGGACTGGGAATAGGGCTTAGTGGTAGAGTGCTTGCCTGATGCATGAAGCTCTGGGTTTGATTCCTCAGTACCACATACACAGAAAAAGCCAGAAGTAGCACTGTGACTCAAGTGGTAGAGTGCTAGCCTTGAGCAAAAGAAGCTCAGAGGGGCTGGGAAGGTGGCTCAGTGGTAAAGCACTTGCTTTGCATGCCTGAGGTCCTGGGTTCGATTCCTCAGCACCACATAAGCAAAAAGAAAAAAGCAGGAAGTAGTGCTGTGGCTCAAGTGGTAGAGCGCTAGCCTTGAGCCGAAGAGCTGAGGGACAGCGCACAGGCCCAGAGTTCAGGCCCCACAACCGGACCCCCAAAAAAAAAAGAAGAAGCTCAGAGACAGTGTCCAGACCTTGAGTTAAAGCTCCAGGACTGGCAAAAAAAACAAAAAACAAAAAACTAACTAAAAATATAAACAACAACAAAAACAAAGTGAAGTACCTTCTAGAATTTCTTTAGTAAAGGAATTTAAGACCATTAATTTTATTTCAAAGACAGGAACCATATCTTATACATTTTTATATCCCTGGCACCTAATGAAGAATCTCATTTGAAGTGATTTAATAAATATGTGAGAATAAAAGAAAGAGCTGAAGATACTGAGAAAGAAAAGGCAGAGGAGAGGGCAAAGGAGAGATTCAGAAAAAAAAAAAAAAAGAAAGTCTATGGCAGATCCCAATTAAGCACACAAGGGGCTTACCACCCACCAAGTCCACTGGCACAAAAAGAAAAAAGAAATTAAAAAAAAAAAAATAAAAGAAGTAGAGTGTGTGCTCAGCATGCACAAGTTACTGGGCTGATCCCCAGTGCAAAAGCTAAAAAGAAAACAAAAAGTTTGCTGTTGACCTTTGCAATCAGTCAGATCTGTGGGAGACCGGAAGTCATTGTAGAAAAACTGTAAACAATGAAAGGAGGTCACTCCAGGAGGCAACTATATCCACTGTATTACTACTACTTCTGGTGACATCAGGAGTGTTTGTCACTGCCTCCAAAATACCAAAGAGAACGCAGTGTCTTCTGTTTACCTGGAGGGTGTTCTGGTCAATGACCTGGAAAAGGGAATGAGGTTTGTTGTCGAAAGACACAGGCCGGTGGAGGAGACTGCCATTGCCGAAAGCCACCCATCCTGGCTCCAGCTCCTCGTTCCGGCAGTACACAAATCCTCTGGAAGTGAAAAAGACACAGGTAGGACCCTGACACCGGCAGGTAGCACAACCATGAGATATGACAGACAACTGTGACTAAATATTTTTTAATGACCAACAAAGTAAAACAACTGAAGAAGAGATTATGCAGGAACGTATTACTGTAACTTCGGGACCAGAGGAGTACGGCAAATGTTAACTTTACACAAGGAGTTGGGAAAAGGAAAAGGCTAGGTAAAGCAATTCACAAAACATATTCAGCTAACTGCAATTTCTGTTGTTAAGAATTTATGGATCTGGGTGGGGGAGCGGAAAAACAAAGGAGGAGCCAACCATGCTTGATAAGAAATGTACTCATAGCCGGGCGCTGGTGGCTCACGCCTGTAATCCTAGCTACTCAGGAGGCTGAGATCTGAGGATCGCGGTTCAAAGCCAGCCCGGGCAAGAGAGACCATGAGACTACAATCTCCAATAAACCACCAGAAAACCAGAAGTGGCGCTGTAGCTGAAGTGGTAGAGCGCTAGCCTTGAGCTGAAGAGCTGAGGGACAGCGCCCAAGCCCAGAGTTCAAGCCCCACGACCAACAAAAAAAAAAAAAAAGAAATGTACTCATTACCTTGCTCATGTAACCCCTCTGTACAATATTTTCACAATAAAAAACATTTCAAAAAGGAAATGTACTCATCACCTTGTTCATATAACTCTAACCCCTCTGTACAGTATTTTCACAATAAAAAACTTATTTAAAAAATAAAAAGAATTAGGCTGGGAAGATGGCTCAGTGGTAGAGCGCTTGCCTTGCATGCTTGAGGCCCTGGGTTCGATTCCTCAGCACCACATATGCAAAAAGAAAAAAGGCGGAAGTGGCGCTGTGGCTCAAGTGGTAGAGCGCTAGCCTTGATCTGAAGAGCTGAGGGACAGCGCCCAGGCCCAGGGTTCAGGCCCACAACTGGACCCAAATAAATAAATAAATAAATAAATAAATAAAAATAAATAAACAAAAAGAATTTATGGATCTAAGCCGGGCACTGGTGGCTCATGCCTGTAATCCTAGCTACTCAGGGGGCTGAGATCTGAGGATCACGGTTCAAAGCCAGCCTGGGCAGGAAAGTCTGTAAGACTCTTATCTCCAACAAAAACCACCAGAAAACTGGAAGTGGCGCTGTGGCTCAAGTGGTAGAGCACTAGCCTTGAGCTGAAGAACTGAGGGACAGAGCCCAGGCACAGAGTTCAAGCCCCATGATCGATCAAAAAAAAATTAAATTAAAACATAATTTATGGATCTAGTATCTCAACCATAAACTTCAGCTAAGCTAATGTCAAATCTAAGTAGAAAATGACTTATCTAGCAAAATGTGTCCATTTGTCAACCTAGAAAGGTCATGATGCTCTTTATAGACATCCAGACTACAGAAAAATGTCTGGACAGAAACAACAGACTTGGGGCAGGAATCAACACAAAGCTAAAAAGCATTCATAAAAAAGATGGAGAAAGTGGCCATCAGAAAAGCCTGGAGTCCTTTGCATTGAAATCTGTTGCTGGACTGGGGAATGGAGAACGGGGATACACCCCCACAGCTTCTCAGAGATTGATGTAAGAGAAAAATGTTTCAGCCAAATTATTCAGGAAGTTCCATGCAACTGACCTGAGAGTACCATGTAATCCAGACCCCAGTTTGCTTACTCCTCTTCCAACTGAGTTAGTGGTGTACAAGTAAAGACCATCCGCAGTGAGACAGCGCCCCAAGTCAGCATCTGCAATCCATGTGCCACAGGTAAATTATATACACACTTCTTTAATGAAACCATAAACATGCTTTTTTTTTCCCTAATGAAAACGGCATTAAGAGGCAGAGTGAAAGATAATCTTTCATGTAAAAAAAAAAAAAAGTGAAATGTGACTTTTAGGATGGATGGCTTGAAACCCTCAAATCAAACATTCAGAAAGCCTGTGGGCACAGGGACTAACAGCAGGTAGTTCCTGACACAGGCACTACCCGTTCAGCCTGCCAAACGCTTTTTCTTTCTTTTTTGAAAAACAAAGCTCTAAATCAAGTTTATACATTCTAAACTTGAACCTGAAATGACCAAGAAGCCACATCTCCACTGCTGATTGCACAGCGAGGAAGGAACAAGTTCTTAGGGCCTTTTGTGTTTGGGTTTTTTTGTTGTTGTTGTTGTTGGTCGTGGGGCTTGAACTCTGGGCCTGGGCGCTGTCCCTCAGCTCTTCAGGTCAAGGCGAGTGCTCTACTGCTTGAGCTACAATGCCACTTCCGGTTTTCTAGTGGTTTTTATTGGAGATAAGAGTCTCACAGACTTTCATGCCCTGGCTGGCTTTGAACCATGATCCTCAGATCTCAGCCTCCTGAATAGCTAGGATTACAGGCGTGAGCCACCAGTGCCCGGCTAATCTTAGGGCCTTTTGAAATGCTGGTCTGGTCATCTGCAGGACAAGATAAAGGCACTGTCCACAAAGAACAAATGGGATTTCCCTGAGGGTAATGGAACCTGAGGACCTACACCCAACCTCTGCCAGAAAGCTCCCATTCTCACATTCCAATTTTAGTTCTGGAGGGAATAGCAGGAAAGTTTCGCTAACCTCTCATGAGTGAATACAAGTAATAAAATTATTTTAGAAACTCAAAACAGCAATTATACTGTTAACTATATCTTCCCTGTACTAAAACATGATTTCTGTATTTGTTGTTGTTTTATTAGTTGGGGGGCTTGAACTCAAGAGCCTGGGCTCTCTCCCTGAACTCTTTTGCTCAAGGCTAGTACTCTACCACTCTGAGCCACAGCACCACTTCAGGTTTTCTGGTGGTTAATTGGAGACAAGAGTCTCACAGACTTTTTTCCCTGCCCAGGCTGGCTTTGGACCGGGATCCTCAGCTCTCAGCCTCCTGAGTAGTTAGGAGTACAGCTGCAAGCCATCAGCAGCCAGCCTAAAACACAGTTTCTATACATGATAGTAAATAATTTACAAATCTTCAAGAATTCACCTTAGAGCTCATGGATAAAACTTTCAGCGCTTTCTATCAGTCTATTCCCTATATTTCAGGGGTGTGGTCTGTCTGAAGCATGTCATATTAGTTGGAGGAAATTCAGTAGCACATCATGCAAATTAATACTGTGGCTACTATTATCTTAAAAACTTGATCTACTAATCTGAGATAACCAATCAGGACTTGTACCTACTGTTTATTAAAAAATATCATTTTAAAAAGGAATTTCAGCCGGGTGCTGATGGCTCATGCTTGTAATCCCAGCTACTCGAGACTGAGATCTAAGGATCGCAGTTCAAAGCCAACCTAGGCAGGAAAAGTCCACGAGACTCTCATCGCCAACTAACTGCTTAAATAAAACCAGAAATAGAGCTGTGGCTTAGGTGATAGAGCAAAAACCTTGAGCACAAAAGCTCAAAGACAGTGTCCAGCCGGAGCCCTGAGTTCAAGCCCCAGGACTGGCACATACACACACACACAAAAAGGAATTCACACTTCAAACACTTTTGTACATACTTATAAACTATATTTCTTATTTATTATATAGTGTGGTCTGACAGAATAGAAGTGAAGGGGAAAGAATAAACCAATGGGCAGAGGCTGAATGAGGACTGTACAGGGCTCATTAGAGCACTATAGTACTCTCCCAAATTCTGACAAGGATGATTACTTCCATGTGAAAGAATTAATCTAACTAGCAGGCTAAGGTGGTCCCTTGAACCCCAGAGGTTGGGGCCAGCTTGGGCAAGATAACAAAAACTCATATAAAAAACTATTCTAGCTAGGCACCAGTGGCTCACGCCTATAATCCTAGCTACTCAGGAGTCTAGATCTGAGGATCACATTCAAAGCCAGCCCAGGCAGGAAAGTCTGTGAGACTCTTATCTCCAATAAACCACTAGAAAACCAGAAGTGGTGCTGTGGCTCAAGTGGTAGGACATTAGACTTGAGCAAAAGAGCTCAGGTCCTAAGTTCAAGCCCCACAACCACCACCACCAACAACAAAATTATTCTAAAAGTTAATATTATAAGAAAAACATCTTGTATCTAGATGCAACCCAAAGGAACAAGAGGGTAACCAGCAAGGAGATCAGCTAACACCAGCCCTCAGTGAGTGCCTACCCTAGCAGATACCAAAGTGGATAAAGAAAGAGCTCCAGTTCTTTTTTAGTTTTTAGTTTTGTACAGAAGAGATGTTGGGGAGGGACCTGCACATGTTAAAACACTGGCAAAATTCATTCTTGCTGTAGTATAAAGCAGCCCCTTACAGGAGACTATGGCTTCAGCCACAGATGAGGAAGACAGACTGTAGAAAAGGACTGTGGAGGACTGAGAAGGAGCTCATTTCTTCTGTACAATTAGCTATTAGACTTGTCTCTATGTGTGCCAGAGTGTTAAAAAAAAAAAAGCCAAAATGTCAAGGAGTGCTCATTTTTTATGTTATACATTAAAAGATGATTCCAATTTTGAGGAGAAAAGGGTGGGCTTTATCTCTCTGCATGACAAAGTAGGGCCCATCACATGTGAGGAGAGCTGGACTGCAGGCTGTCTGCTTCCCCAGCTAACCCAGGTTGGGTGAGTGAAGGGGGCCAGATCGGAAGCTGCTGCCGCCTCCCAGCATTCTGAGGCTGGGAGGTGCTGGGCTGCCTGCTGCTGGCTTGGGCACTGTGCCCTTAGGCTAGCTCAGGGAAGGTGGGAAGCCAAAGGGTAGCCACACAGGCCTATAACCAAGCACACCCCCAACCACTGTCCCAAGGCTCATTTGGTTGAATCTTTCTAAAACAGACACTTTCTTGGAAGAAATAGTCTCTGGGGTATTTTGATTCCTATGTCATCAGTTATATAATATCTAATAATAAGGCAACATGAGTCTAATACCGTTATAATAACTGATGATATAATAAATATGAAGCACAGTAACAAACTAGTTTGGGAGCACAGCCCAGGCTTGGCGAGCAGCAGCGCAGCTCCACAGGCGGAAGGCCATGCACGAAGAACCACTGGCAGCGTGGGTGAAGGCCTCGGCCCTGGTCTGCTCAGTTAGGGAGTGAATGGAGAGGTCTAATTTGCCTGGAAGTCTGTTAAGTAGGTCACTTAAAAGAACTTCTGCCATTTTTGCTGAGACAATGTAATAAACTCACATGTAATTCTGTTAAACCATGCAACCTACTTTGTTTAATGGAGTTACTGAATAATCATGCTCCCTCCCTTGAACCTTCTTTTGTGCTTATTACACACATGACAAATTACTAAAAGGAACAGTACCATGCAGCAATATCCAATACTCTGTCAGATGACCAACAATTTCAACTATGGTTTCCAAGCCTAAACTCAACCACCTAGGAAGTAATTTAAGTAACCACACTGCCCTGGAAGGACTGAATACGTAGTCCCTTTTCTGGAAAGTAAGACCTATCCATTTTCTTACCTCACTAACTAAATATCAGCTTTTCTACTTTTACTGATAAGCAGACAAGGAGCACAGTGTATAGGAACCATGAGCTCTTATTAAAGGAATACAGAGCCAGATGCCAGAAGCTCACCCCTGTAATCCTAGACTCTGGAGGCTGAGATCTAAAGATCACAGTTCAAAGCCAGCCCAGGCTGAAAAGTCCCTGTGAAGACTCTTGGCTCCAATTAACCACCAGAAAACCAGAAGTGGAGCTGTGGCTCAAAGTGGTAGAGCATTAGCCTTGAGCAAAAGAGTTCAGGGACAGTGCCCAGGCCCTGAGTTCAAGCCCCACAACCAGCAACAACAACAACAAAAGGAACACAGAGTTATAGCTAAAGTCTTTATCACCGTGACCTAAAACCTTTCCTCTTCCATCTTAATATTAACCCCAAGACCCACAAGCTTGAGTTACCTTTGTTTTCAGAACTGGAGCCCATGTTGCTGTCTGGGGCAGGCAGCATGTCTTCATAGCCCCAAGATACTATGTGTTTGCCCCCAAGCAAACATGAGGGGGAGCCAGGCCCTCCTTCCAAAAGCAACAACCTGGAAGGGGAAGGGAAATTGCAAGGAAAGTAAGACTGTCTAGTGTAGCAAGAAAAGTCAAAGAACATTGGGCAGGGAATGTTGCTTAGTGGTAGAGTGCTTGCCTAGCATGCATGAAGCCCTGGGTCCAATTCCTCAGCACCACATAAACAGAAAAAGCCAGAAGTGGTGCTGTGGCTCAAGTGACAGAGTGCTAGCCTTGAGCAAAAGAAACTCAGGGACAGCGTGCAGGCCCTGAGTTCAAGTCCCAGGACTGGCGAAAGCAAGCAAGCAAGCAAACAAGCAAGCAAGCAAGCAAGGAAGGAGAGAGAAAAGTCGAAGAGCAGAAACTAAAATAGCTTTATATGTGTCTCAAGATACTCACAGCATATTTTCAATGAAAAACAATCACATAGCAGTGCTTATAGCAATGGTATAAGACAATTCTATTTCTATGAAATGGAGAAAGAAAAGCACACAGACAAATGCTGGAAGTGTTCATCTGTAGGGCATGAGATTGTGAAGGATTTTTACTTCCTCTTCATACCTTATCTCATCTCAAATTCACAACTAGAATGTGTCACAAGCTATTGCATTTTTTAAAGATACAAAATATGAAAAAGAATATATTTAGAGGCACTTTCAAAGAATGAAAGGTACAAAGCAAGAGCATGGATTATCCATTGATAAGAGCTGTGTTTGGCAGAATGCATGTAAAGCAGCAGCTCACCTATACAGTACGTCAGCGACAGGCAGGGACCCGAGGTCAGTCTGTTTTTGCAGTAGATGGACAGTGTGGACAAAAGTTTTCAAAGAGCCCCTAAAAAAGAAAAGAAAAGAAAATCACCATAACTGAAAATTAGCTAGGCACAGGAGGCTATAATCCTAGCTACTCAGGAGGCTGAGATCTGAAGGTCTCAGTTTAAAGCCACCCAGGGCAGGAAAGTCTGTGACGCTCTTATCTTAAATTAACCACCAGGTAATGTGGTTCAAAGTGGCAGAACACTGGCCTTGAGCGAAAAAGCACTCAGGGACAGTACCCAAACTGACTTCAAGCCCCACAACCAATATTCCCTTGCCCCCCCAAAAAACACCTGAAAAATCAAATAATTGAGGAAGTTAGTGTTAATTTTATTAACCACATGGGAAGATACCAAAATATGTCTGCTTCTGTCCATCAGAAAATGTGCTATACAAAACACCCTTGATTCTTACCTATAAAGGGGCTCTTACCAGGGGCGTGGCACCTTGCTGACTATGAAGAAGCTCTCCTTGCCTCTGGAAAAGTAAATGACTTTTCCTCAACACACAAGCACCAAGCAACATGGGTATTCTGCTTGGATACCATTTTTATCCCATGTTACCTAGTCAAGGACCAAGCAACCTTTGAAGTCTAACAGCAGTTCTGGGCTTGATTTTTCAAGCCTTAACCAAGTTCATCCATTTCACATGACATTCAGTATGAACAAAGAAACAGCTACCCAGTGCTTGTGCTAACAGGTGTTCCTCCTGCACCCTGTGATGGGAGACACAGGGTGACTCTGTCTGCAGCTGAGAGCTGGTTTCCCTGTGCTTCCTGAGGCCCCAGACTGTTGGGAGTCTGTAACATGGTCAGCAGGATCTAAAAGAAGGTGCTTTTAAGAAACACCAGACCTACCTGGCCACGTTCCAAGTATAAATCACCACAAGAATACTTCCAAATGAAATGATCACCTATATCAGATGGCCGACTCCGGCTTGCCGCCCTCTCCTCTCAGCCAAAGCTCTAATTGCTAGGTATCATATCCCTAAAGTGCAACAGAAATGGAACCCCTATGCTGGACCAAGAAGGCCTAAAGACTCTTAATAGCTCCTTTCAGAATAGGGCAGGGAGGCGGCACAGTATCACAGCTCCACTTGGGAGCAGGACACAAGGCTTGGAAGCCTGACACTGCCACTCACAGCTGCCATCTGTCCCCTCACAGATGAGTTTTTCCCCTTCCGACTCCCCAGCGGATGTCTCCCTCTCTGCCTCTGGCTCTTTTGCATGGCTAGCTCTTTCTCCTCACCCAGTCCTCAGTTCTAATGCCATCTCTCTAATAAGACTTCCTGGTACTGCCAGCTAGCACTAATTCTAGTCATACTCCCTCAAATACCCAGATTTCTATTCCTGTGGTGGCTATCCATCTCTGAAATTCTCCTTTTTTGTACTGGTCATTGGGTCCCTCATTCTTGCATAAAGTCTACAGTTTTTAAAGTCCACCTGGGGCTGGGAATGTGGCTTAGTGGTAGAGCACTTGCCTAGCATGCATGAAGCCCTGAGTTCGATTTCTCAGTACCACATACACAGAAAAAAACAGAAGTGGAGCTGTGGCTCAAGTCTCAGAGTGCTAGCTGGAAGCTCAGGGACAGTGCCCAGGCCCTGAGTTCAAGCCCCAGGACTAGCAAAAATAAATATACCAATACATAACAATAGTAATAATAATAATAAAGTCCATCTCCCTGCTCACTACAGGATACCCATCACCTGGAACACTGAGTAAGCAACAAGGTTCTGCAGAATCCATCACCCTGAGTCCACTCAACCATCATCTCTGGCTAGGGACTTCTGAAGACAATGCCTCCTACAAGTGAATGTTCTCAAAAGGGATTCTTACATTGATTACAGATCTGTAAGTTGGGCACTGGTGGCCCCATCACACACCTGCAATCTTAACTACTCAGGAAGATGAGATCACAGAATCATAGTTTGAAGCTAGCCCAGGCAGAAAATTCCCAAGACTCTTATGTCCAATTAAACAGCAAAAAGGCCAAAGTGGAGATTTGGCTCAAGTGATAGAACACCTGCCTTGTGCAAAAAAGCCAAGTGAGAGTGTGTGAGCAAAACACAGCATACTATTAAATCTTGATAAATGTGAAGAGAATTTTCAGTTAAATCAATGAAGGAAAACACTGGGGTCCAGAAAGGCAGTTTGTAGCCAGGCACCGGTGGCTCACGCCTGTAATCCTAGCTACTCAGGAGGCTGAGATCTGAGGATCGCAGTTCAAAGCCAGCCCAAGCAGGAAAGTTCGTGAGACTCTTATCTCCAATAAACTGCTAGAAAACCGGAAGCGGTGCTGTGGCTCAAGCGGTAGAGCGCTGGCCTTGAGCTGAAGAGCACAAGGGCAACGCCCAAGCCCAGAGTTCAAGCCCCACGACCAACAATAAAAAAAAAAAAAAGAAGCCGGGCGCTGGTGGCTCATGCCTGTAATCCTAGCTACTCAGGAGGCTGAGATCTGAGGATCACGGTTCAAAGCTAGCCCGGGCAGAAAAGACTGTGAGACTCCTATCTCCAATAAACCACCAGAAAACCGGAAGTGGCGCTGTAGCTCAAGTGGTAGAGCTCTCGCCTTGAGCTGAAGAGCACAGGGACAGCGCCCAGGCCCAGAGTTCAAGCCCCACGACCAACCAAAAAAAAAAAAAGAAATGCAGTTTGTGACTTAGCCTTGGGATGGAGTCCAGATGATCAATAGCCACTAACCAACTGCCAACACATAATCTACAGGCAGGCATAAATAAAAGTCAAATGCTCACTGGGCACCCAATGGCTGTAACCCTAGCTACTCAGGGGGCTGAGATCTGAGAACTGTGGTTCAAAGCCAGCCTGAGCAGAAAAGTCCCTGTGAGACTCTTATTTCCAATTAACCACCAGAAAACCAGGAGTTGGGCTGTGGCTCAACTGTGGTAGAGTATTAGGCTTGAATAAAAGAGCTCAGAGTCAGTATCCAGGCCCTAAGTTCAAGCCCTACAACTGACAAAAAAAAAAAAAAAAAAAGAGTCAAAAGCTCTCCACAGAAAGCTCTGCAGCCCAGGAGGAATAAAACCGAACATCTTTGGCTAACTACCTGACGCAGAACATTCGCCATGTCAGGGTGTGCAGGCCAGGGGTGGCACTCACTGGAAGCTGCTGTTATGGTAGAGCTCAGAGGCCTGGCATTAGGTTTTGGCAAAAGCATCGCATGCTTGGTCTGGGCTGTGAAACAAACACTGCAAACCTAGAAGGGCTCGGAATGCTCAGACTTCCATTCAGAGCTTGGCCTCTTACTCACTTGCCTGACCCTAGAGTGGAAGTCACAGATGGGAGGGAAGGGAAAGGGGGTAACTTCCGTTTTCCTTACCTGGCACATGCCAAGGCCACCAGGGCAGCAGCAGCGTTTTCTTTCTGTTTCTGTGGGATGTGTCGGCCTGTGTCCGAAGTCTCCTCTAGCCACGAGCACAGCAAGGTTTCGATCCCGTTGAGGCAGTCAGCAGGCTCCTTGGTGAGGCTCAGAGGCTGGCAGTCGCGCAGGCAGTTCAATAGCACCTCAGCAGTTAGGTTACAGAGAGAGGGGTCCGTTCGACTCTGGGACTGGATGAGGGGGAAGACCAGCAGCAGCCCCATCCGTGACGTGAAGGGCGCTTGCTCTGGCTGCTGCAGCAGGCCCTGGCGCTTGAGCAGGGCCAAGGTTTCTTCGTCTCCAGAACTTTCCCTCTCATGCTGCTCCTCCAGGGCCAGCTGGCGCTGGGCGTTCCACAGCCCTCGCAAGGCATTCAGGCGGTATTCCAGCAGGCGGGCATAGGCGTTGCTCTGATTCCCACAAACAGAGCGCAAACGTTCTGCTAACTCTGTTGGGTTCTTGGTCTCAAAGGTTAAAATCTAAAGGAACATACAGCAGAGAAGTGAGTGTGTGTTGCTTTCATCAAAGTGGCTATGAAAGCAAGTCTGTCTAATGGCATCTAATAGTCCACATCAAGATTATTTTAATTGCAACCAAATAAAAAGCATGTACTCTATGTATTCTTCTGAATAACTAATGTAAGCTAACAAAAGACTGTAAAAAGAAAAGGTAGGGAGGGAAGGGATGGTAGGGGAAAAACAAAGAAGGAGGTAACAATGCTAGATAGAAAATGTACTCATTACCGTACTCATGTTACTGTAACCTCTCTGTACACTATTTTTACAATAAAAAAAAATTTTTAAACCATAAAAAGCCAGGCACCAGTGGCTCACGCCAGTAATCCTAGCTACTCAGGAGGCTGAGATCTGAAGATCACGGTTCAAAGCCAGCCTGGGAAGAAAAGTCCGTGAGACTCTTATCTCCAATTAACTATTAGAAAGCCGGAAGTGGTGCTATGGCTCAAGTGGTAGAGCGCTGGCCTTGAGCTGAAGAGCTGAGGGAGAGCACCCAGGCCCAGAGTTCAAGCCACATGACCGACCAAAAAAAAAAAAAAAAGCGGAGGCCGGGCGCTGGTGGCTCACGCCTGTAATCTTAGCTACTCAGGAGGCTGAGATCTGAGGATCGTGGCTCAAAGCCAGCCCGGGTAGAAGAGACCGTGAGACTCTTGTCTCCAATAAACCACCAGAAAACCGGAAGTGGCGCTGTAGCTCAAGTGGTAGAGCGCTCGCGTTGAGCTGAAGAGCTGAGGGACAGCGCCCAGGCCCAGAGTTCAAGCCCCACGACCGACAAAAAAAAAAAAAAAAAAAGCGGGGGAAATATGGACTGTAAAGTCCTTAGCTGATGAAATGACCCTGCCAGGCTTTCTGTTAGTGCTTTGATTAACATCAGAATTAGAGAGACTGGAGACATAGCTCAGTATACACTATGAACCATACAGGCCCTGGGTTCAATCTTCAGCAGGAAGAATGAGGGGATGTGGGGAGCAAGGGAGGAAGTGACACAGAAAGACTCAGAGGACAGACACAGAGGGAGAAACAAACCCAGGTAAATAAGAGCTCAAGGTAGGGCAGAGTGGCACACTTGTAATCCCAGCTTTTCAGCAGCCAAGGCAGGAGGATTCAGAACTTTAAGCCAGCCTGGGCTACACAGACATTTAAAAAAAGAAAAAAATCACAAACTCAAATTATAAAAGCATACCATTAAATGTGAAAGTATAATCCAGTTAACTTTATTTTCGAAAAAATCAAAATACTAATCTTCATGAAATGGTCTTGAGGGTTTGGGTGTTTGGTTTGGTTTTGAGACAATCTTAACTGTATAGCATAGGCCTGGGATAAATCCATGTACCACTACACCTGGCTAATCTTGAGTTCTAAATATGGTATGACTAATTCTTACTACCCGCAGATGGACTGTGAGTGAAAAGTAACCCAAATCGTATCTTTATTCTTCAAAACCTAATATACCCACTAATAAATGATTTTTACTGCTCTTTGGTTTTGAAGCTACCCCCTCTTCTTTTGTTCACTCTTAGGTCTGTGCTCAGTACAGACTTACCCATGCACCCTTTGTTCTTTCCAAAACATATGATTACCAGGAAGGTTTCTCTAGATTTTCATGAAGGACCCAGCTCTTAGGACAAATTATTAAAGTATTGTACAACTACTTAAAAATGATCTAAGAATGTTTAAAAAAATAAAGCAGCGCCAAAGTAAATTTCCAAAGTAGCGCTTCACATAAGGTGAGGGAGGACACAGCAGCAGCAGCACGCCATGGCCAGGGCTAGGTTCTCAGGGGACCACAAAGTCAGGGTGGGATGAGGCTTGGGAGGAAAGCAAAGGAACTTCAGCTGGGTCGTCGTCTGACATTAAGAATGGTCCTACTACACTTTATGCAATGGAAATTGCAACTTCTGCCTTTCCATCTAAACTTTATTAGTCTAAGAAAGTAACAAGAACTCTCAGATGACGCAAATGCTCTAACTGCTTTGCTTAGCTATCTAGGCAACTCGCTGTGTGGAACTGAAAATCTGTTCATAGCGGAAAAACAACATAGCAGCAAAAAGGAAGCAGCAAAAACTAAAGAAAAACAAAACAAGGTGAGTCAAAGAAATTGCTCAGCTTAAGTAGAAGATGAAGTTGTATAGCAAGCATTATAATCAAAGAAGAAAAAAGATATCTGGGGGAAAGCTAATAACATAGAAAAAGAAAATGGGGGACCTTGTGCAGGTACTGGAATCACCTTTCTGATCGTGAGCTGGGGCAGGTTACAGGAATCCTGCCCAGGGCTTCCACATGAGGTACTCAATGAAATAAATGTACCATTTACAGAGCAGGAACACTGCTCTGCAGAGGAAAAACTGAGCAAATGGGAAGTCAGGAAGAGGAAGCTGAGGCTTGGAGACACAGATCTAAGAACTCAAAGAAGTCAGCTAGCAGAGGTGTAAAGGGCAGGAAAGCTGCTGGGTCAGGTGATCTGAAGTTGCAGGCCCTGTGGTCCTCCCTCCGCAACATAGTCAAGAGGGAAATTACTCCAATTCCACGAACACACTTTCTTTTGGAGTCCAAAAAACCCACCAAAAAGATGTTCTTGGCAAAGAGTCATCAATTGTTGGACTCTCATCAAATAGATGACCAAGATGAAACAGCTTTCGGTAGATTTAAGAAAGAACAGGGGAAGATGTCACAGAAGCGAAACACCTTTAGAATGATCCAAAGGTTTGGCCACATATTTTACTCTTTGTACAACAGAATAGATGCTTTTGGAGTAAGAACTGGGAAATATAGCAAGAACAACTGGAAGATGGGAATTAAATAACAGAATAAATAAATGACAGGACAAATAAGGAAGGACCACGGGAAAAATACAAGAAACTGGTCAAGAGGGTAAAAGCAAACCAGGCACCGCTGGGTCATGCCAGTAATTCTAGCTATTCAGGAGGCTGAAATCTGAGGATCTCCATTCAAAGCCAGCCTGGATGCTTGTCATCTCAGCTATGTGGAGATAAATAGGAGGACTATGTCCAGACTGGCCCTAGCATAAATGTGTAATACCCTATTCAGAAATAACTAAAGCAAAAGAGGGCTGAGGGCATGGGTTCAAGTAGTAGAGTACCTGCTTAGCAAGTACAAGGCCCTGAGTTCAAAATTCAAATTTATAATCATAACAAAAAAAGTGTCAGTTCATCTAGTAGATCACATACCATACCTAATCATCATAAAATCCCAACCAACTTAACCAAAAATGAAACAATTTATTGATGAACAAAACTTTAAATGAATCTCAATGGAGTTTTGTTGAGTGAAAGAAGCCAATTTCAAAAGATTACATGAAGGGATAGGGGTAAAGTTCAGCAGTAAAGTACAGTCTTACTATGTGCAAGGTTCTGGGTTCCATCCCAATCACCAAGAAAAAAAAAATTTTAATCCAAAATATCAAAAGGGACTGGGTACCACTGGCTCACACCTGTAATCCTAGCTACTCTGGAGGGTGAAATCTGAGGCTCAAGATTTAAAACCAGCCTGGGCAGACAAAACCTCAAGACTCTTATCACCAATTAACTGGCAAAAAGTCTAAACTAGAAGTGTAGTTCAAGTGGTAGAGTACTAGCTGTGAGCCAAAAAGCCAAGCAAATAGTGTGAGATCCTGAATCCAAATCCCCAGTACCAATTAACACACACAATTAAGGACATTTTACTTAGGGCAACATACTCACATAAGTTAGAGTACTTTTGTCTGTTCTATTTTTTTTTTCAGAGGCAGTCCTGGGGTTTTTACTAGGGCCTTCTGTTTGCTCTACTACTTGAGGTACAGTTCCATTTTCTGCATTTTGGTGGTTAATTGGAGATAAGACTTCAAGGGACTTTCCTGCCCAGGCTGGCTTTGAACTTCAATCCTCAGATCTCAGCTTCCTGAGTAGCTAGGATTATAGGCACAAGCCATCAGTGCCTGGCTTTAAAAAAAATATCATTGGCTAGGAAGGTGGCTCAGTGGTAGAGGGCTTGCCTTGCATGCATGAGGCCCTGGGTTCAATTCCTCAGCACCACATATGCAAAAAAGAAAAAAGCCAGGTCTGGGAAGGTGGCTCAGTGGTAGAGGGCTTGCCTTGCATGCCTGAGGCCCTGGGTTCGATTCCTCAGCACCACATAAGCAAAAAGAAAAAAGTCGGAAGTGGTGCTATGGCTCAAGTGGTAGAGCACTAGCCTTGAGCTGAAGAGCTGAGGGACAGCGCCCAGGCCCAGAGTTCAGGCCCCATGACTGGACGCCCCCCACAAAAAAAAAAAATCACCTTTTTAATCTGAACAGCTTTAAACATTTATGGACATGTGAATAAGAACTACTATAGCATTTCTACAATGATTTTGTGATTTCTTTTTCCTCATATACGTTTGTACTTATATACACAAGTCATGTACTTAGGTATCTGAAGCAACTACTCAATAATTCAATCCAAGATTTTATTGAACTCAAGAATGAAAGAGCAACTCAGTAACAGTAAATCCAGCTATTTCTTTTATTATTTATCTCAAACACTGAGTGCCTCTGAAATATGCTATTTCATGGTACATAAAATGATATATATGTAGTGGAATCTAACTTTAATATTACAATTAGCTAATAAAAACTATATAATAGGTTTTGTGTCTTTCTGAAAAGTCTATTTTTATAAGTCCTTCTACTGTGTTTTTAGCATTCCACTTGAAGGACGAATTTTTCTAAATGGATCATAGCTGTAATAAAATTAACCAAATGTTGTGTTTATTGATTTAGTGGGATCCAAAGCACACTGCTTTCAGAAACCCATTAGACTCCTCAGCAGTACCCATCTCAACAACTGTCTGCTGCGCAGCTGCTTTTATAATTCTCAACCTTGAAGGTCATGGCCTAAAATCATTTTATGAAGACATTATACCTTGGGGTTTTAGTAAGTCAGCTATGGAGGATCTATTCTGGTACTCATGAATATTGAATGACTTGT